GGACAGCAGCTGCTGGCTAGCTACCAACACTCACTGTTTCGTGCTCGGAATTGCCATGTGGTGCCAGGAATTGAGGCTGCCCAGACTCCAACAGTGGCTGCTCAGAGACGGGTCCTCGGATGTCCGGTCACTGGGACTCTAGAATTGTCTCCCGCCCAGAAGGGTCATGCAGGTCCCTGTGGGCCCATCCACCCATCCACCCATCACTGTGAGCCTGTCTCTCTGCCTGCCTATCTGCCTGCCTGTCTGTTTGTCTCCCTGTCTGTCTGCCTGCCTGTCTGTCTGCCTGCCTGTCTGCCTGCATGTCTGTCTGTCTGTGTATCTGTCTGCCTGTCTGTCTGCATGTCTGTCTGCGTATCTGTCTGTCTGTCTGCATGTCTGTCTGCCTGCCTGTCTGTCTGCGTGTCTGTCTGTCTGCCTGCGTGTCTGTCTGTCTGTGTATCTGTCTGCCTGCCTGTCTGCCTGCATGTCTGTCTGTCTGTGTATCTGTCTGCCTGTCTGTCTGCATGTCTGTCTGCGTATCTGTCTGTCTGTCTGCATGTCTGTCTGCCTGCCTGTCTGTCTGCGTGTCTGTCTGTCTGCCTGCGTGTCTGTCTGTCTGTGTATCTGTCTGCCTGCCTGTCTGCCTGCATGTCTGTCTGTCTGTGTATCTGTCTGCCTGTCTGTCTGCATGTCTGTCTGCGTATCTGTCTGTCTGTCTGCATGTCTGTCTGCCTGCCTGTCTGTCTGCGTGTCTGTCTGTCTGCCTGCGTGTCTGTCTGTGTATCTGTCTGCCTGACTGTCTGCCTGCATGTCTATCTGTCTGTGTATCTGTCTGCCTGACTGTCTGCCTGCATGTCTATCTGTCTGTGTATCTGTCTGCCTGTCTGTCTGCATGTCTGTCTGCGTATCTGTCTGTCTGTCTGCATGTCTGTCTGCCTGTCTGTCTGCCTGTCTGCCTGCGTGTCTGTCTGTCTGTGTGTCTATCTGCCTGCCTGTCTGCCTTTCTGTCTGCCTGTCTGTCTGCCTTTCTGTCTGTCTGCCTGCCTGCCCGTCTGCCTGCCTTTCTGTCTGTCTGTCTGCCTGCCCGTCTGCCTGCCTGCCTGTTCGTCTATCTGCCTGTCCATCTGCCCGTCTGTCTGTCTGCCTTTCTGTCTGTCTGTCTGCCTGTTTGTCTACCTGCCTGCCTGCCTGTCTGTCTGCCCGTCTGCCTGTCTGCATGTCTGCCTTTCTGTCTGTCTGTCTGCCTGTCTGCTTGCCTGCCTGTCTGTCTGTATGCCTGCCTGCCTGTCTGTCTGTCTGTCTGCTAAAGCGTGCGCTGGCAAAGTGGCGAAGCAGAGGTGGGAGCCCCAGTAGGGGCCAGAGAAGGTGCCAGGAAGCTGGCAGCCATGCCCACGGAGGCGCTGGGGTGCGGGAGATGAAGCCCACCTCATTCAGGAGGCAGCGGCCAGCCTGTTGCTGCCTGATCAAAGCTTTGAAAGTCACACAGTGGCCACGTGGCTGTGCAGGTGGACCCTTCGCCCACTGCCCGTCTGTCCAAGCGAGGACGAGATGCCACAGAGGCCAACACACAATCAGGAGTGATCAGCTCTATTTTGTGATTCTTCATGATTTACATAAATGCTTGAGAGGCCAAGGGAAGGTTAATTGACCGAATGAAACAAGATTAGTGCCCACTGCGGTCAGCGTCCTGCTTCTGCTGCAAGTTTGAAGAGAAATATTTTTTAAAAATCACTAGTCTTGCACCAGCTAGGCTCACCGCCCCCCCCACCCAGCAGCTGTGTTTGAGGCTGGGGACAGTGCCTGGCGGGAGGGAGCCCGGCAGGGGCATTCGGGAAGCACAGCGGGTGCTCCAGGTGTCCCTAATGTATTCAGGGTTTCGGCCATGCCCGGCAATGCTCAGAGGTCCCTCCTGGGTGCTCGGGACTCCAGGATCCATCCCAGGCCAGCCAATGCAAGGCATGACCCTCTCGGCTGGAGACCCCTCTCGCCCTAGGGTACTTTACAACAACTTAACCTGCCCCCAAACCTCCCTGACTGCACCGGTTCTGTCTCTCTCCTCTCTGCCGCACTTTTTCTTCCCACCAACAGTTCACGTGAGGCTGTAACTTCCCGGGAAAGGGCTGGAGTGTCTGTGACAAGGGACAGTCACCGAGGGCACCCCGTGTCCCCCTCACCTGCCCCTCCCACCCTTCAAAGGGGATGGAGGGACACTTGCCCACGCTCCACCCGGCTCCCCCCAACTAAACCCTCCCAGTTCTGTTGCAGGGCCGGGCCTTGGCACAGCCTCTCCCAACTCTGCTCCAAGGGCAGGCAGCGCCAAGGGGGAGGGAGGAGGAGACCGTAGGAGCCTGGGGGAGGGCGCAGGGGGGGTGCAGGGAGGGGAGGGTGGGCCAGAAGTGCAGGCAGCAGCCCCAGGTCATCCACCTGAGCAGAGCTTTCATGCAGAAAATGTTTGTAACTAAAACCCCAGAACGCTGCTTCAGACCAACGTCCTAGCCCCACAGACTAGCTGCCCTGCTGTCCCCACACGCCTGCCCAACGTCCCACAAAGCCCAGAGAGCACGGCTGGAGCCAGCTGGAGGCAGAGGGAGACAGGCCCCAGATCTTTCTTTATTGAATCGCTGTGAAATAGTCACAAAGTTGTTCGCGATTGGGCTTCAGGCATGCAGGATTCCAACACCTGTCCCCTCACCAGGGCACATCGCCCATCAGCTGTGTCCCCAGTTCCCTCCCCTACCCGCGCCTGCCTCTATGGCAGACACCTTTCCCTCTCCCTCCCTCTCTCCTACCTTGTCCCTTTTCGGCACTGCGGTTTGCAATGCAGTTACTGAAAGGGCATCATGCATATCACTTTACCTCCTTCTAGCAGTAATAATTTCCAATGTCATTGTCATAGTGGTTCCTTCTCTGTCCTAACGGCCCTGTTCCCCGCCCCCCCCCTCCTTTTGTGGTAGGCTTCCTACCATCAACTAGTCTTCCTGGTCCTCATTTCTACTGCCCTTGGATATTAGTCTTGTACTTTTTATAAAAAAAAAAAAACGGCCACCACCACTGAGCAGGGCCCCGTCTCTGCGCGGCATCATAGCTGGGGCCCTCAAGAGCCAGAGGACAAGCTGGGGATCAGAGTCCCCGTGCCTGATAGCCCCGCAAATGAGTGCAATCATCCTATGTCTGTCCCTCTCCCTCTGACTCAGCAGGATACTCTGTGTCTATCCATGTATCCGCAAATCTCATAACTTCATCTTTTCTATGGTTGCATAGTAGTCCGTTGTGTAGATGGTCCATCCTTTCTTTAGCCAGCTATTCTTTGGCATCTGGGTTGTTTCTGGATTCTGGCTATTGTGATCAGTGCTGCAGTGAATATAGGAGGGCAGCATCATCCCTGACCCAGAGAGAGCCTGCTGACCCACAGGGCATCTGGGTGGCTCTTGGGGCCCAGACATCTCCTCCTGCAGCAGCGGTGGCACAGCACGGCCACCGCCACTGAGCAGGGCCCCGTCTCTGCACAGCATCATAGCTGGGGTCCTCAGGAGCCAGAGGACAAGCTGGGGATCAGAGTCCCTGTGCCTGGGCCAAAAGCATCTGGCTGAGGGGGGTCCCCCTCCCCATCACTGCTACGGACTCTGGTCGGCAGAAGCACAGCAGGCGAGGACTCCCGCTGGCCACCGTCTCCCGGTGCCTCCTCAGCTCCCAGGAGGCATCCATGTCTGTCTTCACAGTCCCCAAGTGCTGGAGGGTCCAAGGGCTGGACTGTCCCTCACTTCCTGCTGTGTCCGAGCCGGAGCTGCCCCTTGACATCCACTCCGCCCTGCTCCCCCTGAGGGGGCAGTGGGCAGTTGCAGCTCAGCGCGGTGGCCACTCTGAGTTCACCTTCAAACCCTCACTGTCCCTCACTTGAATCTTGACGATGCTCAGGCTGAAAATACTGGTCACCATTTGTACTGTCGGAGCTTCTGGCAAATGTGACACACCCCTGCCCGGTCATCCCAGCCGGGACACTTGGAGAAGCTGTCCCCAGCCTTCTGTTGGGTGAGGGGCCACTTCAGAGCGTAGCCTCACCCTCGAGCTCGTTGGGGACTGGAGCAAAGGCAGGCACCCGCCCTGCCTCTCCCGGAAGGTGACACACGTCCATCCCCTGCTCCTTGGCCCCCCAGGGCCTGTGCCCACGGCCTTCCAGACCACACGGCCGACTGTCAGTGTGCTCCCTGGGCCCTTGGCGCTGCCTTTGCACCCGGGGCTTTTGACCCTCTCTCGGTCACCTGCCACACGGCCACCAGGTGTTCTGGCTTAACACCCCCCCAGCTACTCCCCACACGCCCCCCCCAGCTGCCCTCGACCCTTCACCATCCCGCTGCACCCAGCTACCCCCTAGACCCGCACCTCCCCACCCCCGCACCAGCTACCCTTCAGACCCCTACCTTCACCCTGCACACCCAGTTACCCTCCACCCTTCACTCCCCTCCCCCCGCACCCCGCTACCCTGTGCCCCCGCCCCACTGGGCTCCAGCCCCGCCTGGCCTGCGCGGGGGAGCAGGGACGCTCCGGACCCCGCACCGGAGCCCTCCCCGCGTGTCCTGCGAGAGGCGAGCCCGGGATGTGCAAACCCGTGCCCAGCGGCTCAGTGGCCGGCGCCCGTGCAGGCGCGCGGGGGCAGCGGAACGGAACCAGGGCGGCCGCCGGGCCACCGAGCCGAGCCGCGCCCCCCGCGCGCAGGCGGGGACGCGACCGGAGGGGGCGGGGCGGGGCGGGGCGGGAGGCGGGGCTGCAGGGGCGGGGGCGGGGCCTCGCGGCGGGGCCCCGCCCCGGCCCGGACACGTGCGCCCCGCGAGCGGAGGGCGCTTCCGGCGTGGCCGTGCGTCGCGCGCTCCCGTCGGCCCCCGCGCGGCCCGGGCCGTACCAAGCGCGGGGGGGCGCGGGGCGTCCGCGCGGGCCGAGCGCGCTGCGCCGCCGGGCGCGTCCCCCCTCCGCGCGCCCGGGTGGCGCGCGCCGGGTCACGTGCGGCCGGTCACGTGCGGCCCGTCCTTGTGGGGGACGCGAGCATGGCCGCCCTGCTGCGCCCCGCGCGCTGGCTGCTGGCCGCCCGGCCCGCCGCGCCCGCCGCGCGCCTGCCGCTGTCCCTGCGCCTGGGCCGGGCCGCCGGGTGAGCGCGGGGGCGCGGGCGGGGTGGGCGCGGGGCTGTCCGCGGCGGGGGCTCCTCCGGCAGGGCCACCCCGCGCTCCAGGCCCCGAGCCGGGGTCTCCGCCCTTCCTGAGCCCCGGACCCCGCTGGGGCGGGAGCGACGGGCCCCGCGGACGGACGCCGACGCGGTCCCTGGGCGTCCGAGGGGGCAGGGGCCGGAGGGGCGCCCGCCGGGGGGGTCCGGCCGCGCTGGCCCCGGGCTGGGCAGTGCCAGGGCTGCCCCTCCCGGCGATGCCACCGCCGCCTGCAGCCTCGGGCCTGCCCTGGGGGCCCGCGGAGGCCGGGGGCGCCGGCGGGGGTCTGGGAGCGCGGGACGCGCCCTTGGGCGGAGAGGGTCACCGAGGCCAGCGGAGGAGTGCGGCCGCGTTCAGGCTGGCCGCAGGGGACCGCGTCTCTGCGGCCGGCCTGTGGCAGGGACCTGGGGTCTTGCCCCCCAGGAGCTTCCCCCAGGCCCGGGCGCCTGCTGCGGTGCCTCCGTGGGCATCCTCTCTGCAGCGGCCCACTGCCCGCTCCTGGTGCCCACCCCCTGGTCTGATGGGCAGGTGGGCAGCTTTGCTCGTGGCTCAGGGGCCCAGTTCTGCTGCCCCCTGGATCAGCACAGCAGTGCCTGGACTCGCCTGGCCTCCCCGAGAGGGACTCGGTGGACGGCTCTGGCCACAGGCCTGGGGCACCAACCTCCCTTGCTGGAGGCCGAGGTGACAAGATGAGTCCCAGGGCGATGGGGCAGTTTGGCTTTGCTGCTTTGGGGGCACACCCGGCGGTGCCCAGCGCTGCCTCCTGGCTCTGTGCTCGGGGCCCCTGGGGGTGCTGGGGATGGAGCCCTGGCGGCCTGTGCAGGCTGCGTCCGCCCGCTGTCCTGTCTCTCTGGCCTCCTTTTTGTGCTCTGAACACGTGGGATGGAGTCCACTCCTGTGTCCGCGGGCCAGTGGGCGGTGCAGGAGACTGTGCACACTGAGTCTGAGGCGAGTCGGCTAGGCGGCCTTGCTGCCCCCCCCCCCCTGCTGAGTTTCACTTTCTCTGTCTAACTGAGGTTACCCGTTTCCTGCTGCACGTGGGCCCGTTGAGCGCCTTTCAGGGTGTCGTGACACACCCCGGCTCTGCCCTTGTCTTACCTGAGGGTTGTGGTTGTTACTCTCCTCTCCAGCACTGACTAGCCCTGTGTCTCACACTTGAGCGTTCGGGTGAGCGTGGGCCCTGCTGGGCAGCTGGAAGTGGCCCGAGGCCAGAGCACACTGAGACCACCAGCAGCAGCACCGAGCACACGGGCTGGAGCCCTGGCCTGGCACACGGCCAGCCCGGTTCGACCGCTGGCACTCACTCCGTAGGTCCCCGAGTCCTGCCAGGAGCAATCCCCCAGCACTGAGATAGGAGTAAGCCCTGAGCACCTCCGGGTGTGGCCCAGAAACCAAAAAGAGGCACATCCAGAAGCCTAGAAAGGAGTACTGCTTGACCAGGGGAAGACCAGGCTTGGAGGCCTGTCCTGCACCGTCAGGGCCCTGTGCCGGGGGCAGGTGGGACTGGGCTGTCTCCTCCGAAGACTCAAAATGAAAACACCTTTAATGCCCGAATTTGCAGGGGACAGCGCGTGGGAAGGGCCTCTGCAGTGCTTTGGTGTGGCTGCCCGAGTGGGCCCTTTCAGCACACCAGGCCTGGGTGCCCTTTCTGCTAAGGTGTGTCCTGCACCCACAGACACACTGCTCTCTGGCCTTAGGACACGCTGGTCAGTAACTGCCTTCCATGGGAGCATGACTTGGTGGTTTTTTTTTTCTTTTCTCTTTTTGGATCACACCCGGCGATGCACAGGGTTCCTCCTGGCTCTGCACTCAGGAATCACTCCTGGCGTGCTCGGGGGACCTTATGGGATGCCGGGAATCGAACCTGGGTTGGCCACGTGCACAGCCAATGCCCTCCCCGCTGTGCTGTCGCTCCAGCCCCGCCTGACTTGGGTTTGATGTCACCTTTTAAAATGCGGCTTTAGCGGATGACATTTTCTAGTCCTTCGGCTTCTCAGGGTTAATTCCAGAGTTTCTGTGTGAATCGATTTTGTTGTTGGGCAACAGTGCTCGTCTCCCCCCCCCCCCCCCCATGACCCGTGGTTCTGGTGGTTGTAGTCAGTGTTTGCTTTACTGCAGAAGGCAGTACTTGCCCTGCCCTGGGAGCGGAAAAGTAGGGAAAACGCTGGGAAATACAGGATAAGAATGTGATGTTTTTGTCCATGGTTTGTGGCATTTGATTAACTTAGTTCCTTTAACCGGCCCGTGATCCGTCTGCACTGCCGACCTGGACTGTCTGTGCTGGCCTGAGGTTTTACACAGTGGCGTCGGTGATGGCGACTGATGGCCAGGGTGGTCTCCAACCGGATCCCAGCGGGGGTTCCTGTTGGTCGTCAGTGAGGGTGGCGTGGGGATCTGGCGGCCCGTGTTTGGTCTGTAGCATGTTTAGTTCTGCGGCAGGCAGAGCAGACCCCCGAGGGCCTCTCCGTGGCCACCCTGGGAGCTGCGTGCCTCGGTGTGGGGCTGCAGGTGCCCACCTGCCCAGGACACGCTCACTCGGTCTGTGCCTGATGTTGTGGAAAGTTTCAAGTGTGATGTGGACCTCTGCAGGTTAGGGCTTGGTTCTGTGAGCGTGTGGGTGGGGAGGAGAGGGTCGTTTGCTGTCGCATAGGCTCTGCATGCCCGAGGCCTGGTTCCATCCGTGGCTCTGTGCGGTTCCCAGCGTTCACCCTCGGGAGAGCTGGGTGGGGGCCAGAGGAGGGCAGCGGGCGGGTGCTGGCCTTGCGCGTGGCTGGCCCGGGACTGATCCCCACACTCCGTTTGATCCCCCAAGCATCGCCAGGTGTAGCCCCCCAAAAAAACAAGGGTTTCCAGTCTACAAGTAAGTGCCGGGATTGAGCCCAATGGGCGCATCACATCCAGCACCTTCCCACTGTGCTCTCTCGGGCCCTGGAAGTTTTTTTGCCAAGTGATTCTTGTAAAGCAAACAAAGACTATATAATTTGATTTTTTTTTTCTTTTCTGGTTGTATCCAGTGTTACTTGGGTTACGCCTGGCTCTGCACTCAGGGATCACTCCTGGTGGTGCTTGGGGACCACGTGGGTTGCTGGGGATTGAACCCAGCTCGGCCGTGTGCAAGGCAAACGTCCTCCCCGTTGTGCTATCACTCCAGTCCCAACTCTATAATTTTAACTTGAACCTTGGTCTTTTTCTGGGGCAGAGGGTCATACCAGGCAGTGCTCCTGGCTCTGCACTCAGGATCACTCCTGGTCGTGCTGGGGCCCACGTGGGAATGCTGGGATTGAACCTGGGTCGGCCTCGTGCAAGGCAAGTGCTCTGCTCACTGCACTATCACTGGCCCCAGCCTTGGGCTACTTTTGAAACTTAAAAGTCAGATTTGGGGCTGGAGTGATAGCACAGCAGGTAGGGCATTTGCCTTGCACGCGGCCGACCTGGGTTCGATTCCCAGCATTCCATATGGTCCCCTGAGCACCGCCAGGAGTAATTCCTGAGTGTAGAGCCAGGAGTAACCCCTGTGCAATGCCGGATGTGACCCAAAAAGCAAATCACTGTCACTGTCCTCCCATTGTTCATCGATTTCCTCGAGCAGGCCCAGTAACACTGTGAGACTTGTTGTTACCGTTTTTGGCATATCGAATATGTCACGGGGAGCTTGCCAGGCTTTGCCATGCGGGCAAGATACTCTTGGTAGCTTGCCGGGCTCTCCGAGAGTGGTGGAGGAATCGAACCTGGGTCGGCCAGGTTGGCCTTATGCAAGGCAAACGCCCTACCCGCTGTGCTATAGCTCCAGTCCCCCAAAAGCAAAAAAAAAAAAAAAAAAGTCAGATCTAGGACCATTTGGGGGCGGCGTTCAGGTTTTCGGATGTATTTTAGGCATCTTGAGTGGTTTGCAGCCCTGACCTGCTGTCCGGTGACTGGCCGGATTTTGCTTAAACTCAATCTGAAGTTTCCTTGGGCAGACTCGCTTGAGTTGGGGGGAGGCCTTGGGCCGGGCAGCTGTCCAGAGCCCCAGTGCCCGGCGGGCGTGATGGTTGGCTCGAGTTCGAGTGCCTGTGGATTGTGCCGACAGAGGCCGCGTTGGGGGGGGCACCCACTCACAGCCTCGTGCTCCCCCCCCAGGGCGCTGCACACTCGCGCCCGGCTCGGCGCCCTCGCTGCGGAGAGGAGGCGCCTGCCACAGGAGGAGCCCGCCAGCCCGCCCCGGAGGCCCGCCGGCCAGTTCGACTGGGCGCTCATGAGACTCGACAACTCCGTCCGGAGAACGGGCCGCATCCCCAGGTCACTCCTGCAGAAGGTCTTCAACTACACCTGCAGCGCGGGTAGGCGTGGCTGCCCGGACGGGTCGGGACGCGGGGCCGGTCGCTTCCACTCTGGGCGGCGCAGTTTTCTCTGAGGGCTGGGCCGTCCCCCTGACACCCAGGCAGTGTGAAGTGAAGCCATTTCCCCGGGATTTGCACACCTGCTCGGGGCACGCGGTGGACCCTCAGGGCGCCCACAGCCAGGCTTCAGGCTGCGCCTTGGAGCGAGTTGAGCTTCCGTCACCCCCCATTTGCTGGGGCTGGTGGCACTGTAGCACTGTCCTCCTGTTCTTCATTGGTTTGCTCCAGCGGGCACCAGTAACGTCTCACAACAAATTGTGAGGCTGGTTACTGTGTTTGGCATATCGAACATGTCACGGGGAGCTTGCCAGGCTTTGCCGTGTGGGCAAGATATTCTTGGTAGCTTGCTGGGCTCTTCGAGAGGGACGGAGGAATCGAACCCGGGTCGGCCGCGTGCTGGGCAAACGCCCCACCCGCTGTGCTATTGCTCCAGCCAGCTGGGGCTAGTGCCACAGTCAAATTTGGTTTTCAGACATTTTTCTCACTCCAGCCCGAGACCTCCATCCTCACAACCCCCCAGCCTGCCTCTTGCAGCCCGCAGCGTCCCTGGAGTAGCCTGGAGAGGCCTGGAGACGGGCGGAGGGGTCCCAGGGTGGCTGATCTTTCCTTGGTGGCTGGCCGATGGCCGGCTTGACTCACGGCAGGTGCTGCAGGAGCCGGGTTCTTTGTTCCCTGGGGGACGGTCCCTGCGGGGGCTGGGCATGCCCTGCAGGCGGGTCTGTGTGTCTGTCGGGTTCAGGGCTCTGTCCCCTTTCTCCAGGGACCCCCGGTGGCAGCCAGGCGCTGCTTCTCCTGCGCAGCTGTGGCTCGCTCCTGCCGGAACTGCAGCTCTCTGAGAGGACGGAGCTCGCCCACAAGATCTGGGACAAGCTTCAGGAGTTGGGTATGTGTGTGGGCCCCCCCCCCCCCCCATGGTCGTGATCTGATTTATTTGGTGAATCACAGTGACATCTAGGGGTAGTGAGAATAGAATCACTCTCTCCACAGTCGGTATTACTTGAGTCGATGGAGACAAAGCTAGGGCCTTCCCCCGCCACTCAGCCTCCCGTGCGTGTAGGAGAAGGTCAGGGCAGTGGGGCCCAGCCGTCGCTCCTCGAGGGTCCCTGCGTGCTTTGGAGAACTGTCGGGGCACTGACAGGTTCTGGGCGAGTCTGACTGGCGTTCCGTGCTTTGTTCTGAGCTCTGTGAGCATGGCACTTCAAAAACATTTTTTGCTTTTAATATAAAAGATCATTTGATAAAATCTGGCATTCACGCCTGGCTCAGCTCTAGAGAGAGTGTGTGTGGGGGGGGGCACTTGCCAACCCGTGTTTTGTCCCCATCCTGGCTTTCATCCCCAGCACCACATAGGGTCCCCCGAGACCCTCTGAGAGTGAGCCCTGAGCCCCACTGGGGCGCAGCGCAGGTATTTTACCCAGCTTGCAGGTGAGAATTGAAGTTAACTTCTTGCTGCTGTATCTGTTCATGATTTTTATAATCGGCATTTTTGAATACATTTTGTAATACTAAAAAACTCAGTAACAAAGAGAAGGATCCTATTTTTTCTTTAAAAAAAAAAAAAAGGCCTGTTTGAAGCCAGCGAGTAACACGTGTGAGGGCAGAGAACTGCACCCTGGAACACTGGGCGTCATCCCCGCTGTGTTTCGTGGTGCTGGAGATGGAGCCACCATGTAGGGTCTGCCGTGTCGTGAGCCCCAGTCCCAGGAGTTGTGGGTTTTAGCTGAGGTGATTATTTACCTCTCAGATACCAAAATATTCAGCTCTGGGAATCAGGTGGATGTATTTAGTACTCGGCAGTCTGATTTTCCCTTGTTGTAATATAAAATGGATTAAACGATCTTAGCTGGAAATGTATCTTATACATGAGCCCATATACTTTCTAAAGACAAACGTATAAAATCTCCAGTTTTCTCTTTGCAGGAATATGTAGGCCTTAAATGAAAAATACCAAAATTACAACAGTCTCACCTCATAGGGGATTCAATAAATCACCTTAGAGTGTTCCATTTTTCTGTGATTAATTTTTGTGAGTTCAGGTTTTAGGGTTTTTTAAAAAATAGTGATAAATGTTGGGTTTCAGAAAGGATAAAAGGGCAGGGGTGAAGTGAAAGAGTTGGCCAGAAAGGCCAGAACTTGTCCTGGGACACATTGCAAAGGCCCGAGCTGGGAGTTGCCCGCTGCCCGAGCAGACGGTCCGGGCCGACAGAAAGTTCCGGGTGGGCGCAACCAGCAGCCGTGGCCAGGTGAGGGTCGCCTTCTCGTGGTTCAAGTACGAGTCTCGGTTTCTGTCCCGAAACTTGGAGTTTTACGTTAAACTCGGTTTAAATGTGATTGAAGTGGAGTGTTCTGACATCTTAATTCAATTACAGAAGATCTCTAGTATTAAAAAAGCCCGAAAGACAGTCAGCAGTTCTGAAATTGTTCTCTTCTCTTTGTGAAGACACGACCCGTGAATTGAAATGAGACGCCAGTTAAGTCTCATGAAATCGCGCAGAGCCACGCAGTCTGTCGCCACAGTGGCAGAAACCAGGCGAAGGAGAGGTGGCGCCTGGCAGTCTGCTGCGTGGGGTCGTGTCCCGTCAGGGGAAGGATGGTCGAGGGTCGGGCGCGCTCCCTCCGCTCCAGCAGCCCAGGCCGAACGTCTTTATGAAGTCAGAGAAGACGGTTTTTTCCAGAAAATTATTTTTTCTAGTGTGGATGTTCCTCCCTAGAGCCAACTCCATCTGGTGGTTTCCTGAGGGACGTTTGCCAACACCCGGTTTACCCCGGGCAGGCCCTCGCCTGGGCCCGTCTGAGTTTGATGTGTTTAGTGGGAAAGCACCCCTGTGTCCAGAGCTTGGCCTCGGGCGTGTGGGTGGGTCTCCCCGCGTGGCAGGGGAGCCGTGCCCGGGCACTTGTTGGCGACGCTCCTGTGGCAGAGCCCACGGGCCTTGGCACCGGCCGCTGGTGATGCCGCTTGGCCCGGCTGCCGCAAAGGGGTGAGGGGGTCGGCGGCGTGGTTGGGTCGATGCGGTTGGGGGTGGGTGGGGTCGGGGCTCTGGGCGGAGGCGCCCGTTTGCGCGGGGCCCAGGGCCAGTTCTGCCTCCTTGGTGAGCGAGCGGCGGGGCGTGTGCTGTGATCACGGCCGGAGCCTGAGCCTGAGGCATCCTCACGCTGCTCAACGCGACCCACAGGTGCTGTGTACGACGTGAGTCACTACAACGCCCTGCTGAAGGTCTACCTGCAGAACGAGCACAGGTTCTCGCCCACCGACTTCCTGGCCCGGATGGAGAAGGCCGGCGTGCAGCCCAACAGGGTAGGTGGTGGTGTGCGCGGCCGCCTGGGGGGCGCTTCCCAGGCCTCACCTGTCCTTCCCTCCACAGGTGACATACCAGAGGCTGATCGCAGCCTACTGCCACGCCGGGGACATCCAGGGCGCCAGGTAGGCTGTGGGCACCGGATGCACCTCGCTTCCCTGGGGGCTTTCCCGGCGAGGGCCCAGACCGAGGTGGACGGCAGACAGGGACGGGGAGGGGCTGTGTTAATTAAGATTTTGATTTGCTGGTGCAGAGATTTCAAACTATCTTACTAGAATTGAGATGTTAAATAATATTTAATATTATATTTATTTCCTAGAGGGATTTTTCAGAGCCTTTAAACCATTCATTTGTAAAATGTAGTTTTCTCCGTCTCACTAGTTTGTATAAAACCGGTTACAGTTTTCTGCTTGCATAAAATTCTGTATTTTTCATTTTTTGGGGGGGGTGGAACCACACCCAGCAATGCTCAGGGCTGACTCCTGGCCCTTCACTCAGGAATTACTCCTGGTGGTGCTTGGGGGTCCATATGGGATGCCAGGGATCAAACCTGGCAAGGCAAAGGCCCTCCCCGCTGCACTCTCTCTCCTGCCTCTGTGTAAAATTCTGACTTTTGAGTGGAGAGTTTAGGCAGTTAGTGATACGCTGAAATGGTTGATCATATTTTCACTGACTGGTTCTTAGTGAACTTGATGCTTTTCACTCTTCATCTTGGGGGTGGGGCTGCTTGGGCCACAGCTGGCAGGGCTGGGCCCAGCCCAGGCCTCTCGTCCGGAAGGGCAGCCTTTTGATCTGCTCCTCAGGCTCAAAACTTGCCGCTTTCCAAAGTGGGCGGTGTAGGATGAAGCTGCGAGCCAGCTCAGAGGTCTCGGGTGTGGGCTCTGCTCTGGTGACTGACAGGCACGTCTCTCCCTCAGCACCATCCTGGGCTTCATGAAGACCAAGGACCTCCCGGTCACAGAGGCCGTGTTCAGCGCCCTTGTCACGGGCCATGCCCGAGCTGGGTAAGGCCCCGGGGTTGGCGGCATCGGAGTCGTGGGCGTTACGGGGTAAACGCTGCAGTCACCTTTGCCCTTCAGCAAGAGTCGAGTGAGGTGGAGCTTGCGTGTGCGTAGGACCCCACTCTCAGCCACCAGTACAGGCCGGTGCTGCAGAGTCACTTAGTGAGGCTGTTGGCAGCTGGGGCCCGGGCAGAATGTCCACTCTGAGGAGTGACTTGCTAAGAGGTACTCTTCCACAAAAGGTAAACTAGTGAGAAAATGCGCCTTATTTAGCTGCAAAACTTGGATTCTTTTGTGGAAAAGCTTGCAGTGTGTGTAATACTTTTATTCTGGGAGCCTGTGGTCCGTTCCCTGCGTGTTGGTCCCTTTCTAATGCTGTACTGCTCTGCGGCCACAGGTCGGGTGCTGGTGTTGCACTCAGTCTTCTGTTTTCTTTGAACTAATTCACAGGGACATGGAAAATGCAGAGAACATTCTCTCTGTGATGAGGGAGGCTGGGATTGAGCCGGGGCCGGACACGTACCTGGCTTTACTGAGCGCATACGCAGAGAAGGGCGATATCGACCGAGTGAAGCAGGTGGGACTCCCCCTGGAGAGGCCCGGGGGTGGGGGGGGGGGAGCCGAGGGTGTAGTTTGTTTGTGATCATACTTTATGGGATAACATTGGCTTGTCCTTTCTCCCTTGCCTAGGGAACTTGGTTTAACGGCTACGCCCATCACAGTGCTCCCAGGCACTCCCATTCCTCTGTGTTGTCTGTAACCTCTGCTTCTCCTATCGGTTAATCTCCTAGATCCCCAAATCAGACCCTGTGACTTGTGACAGGGTGTAAAGGACTCTGGATTTTGTATTTATAAGTGAAATACTGCTTTTCTCTTTCCCTTATGTCTTTTGCATAGTTTACGTTAGAGCAACGTCCTTTTTGTATAGACACCGGAAGACAGATCATTCTATGCTTTTGTAACTTGGGAGTTAATTGACACCAAATAATATTCACTCCTGGTCATCTGTCATATTTACTTGACTTAAGCCTCAGTTGCCCTTAGTTTCTCGCACCCCAAAAAGCAGGGTCCCGACAAAGGGACTGGATGGACCCAGGGCAAGCTGTGAGCTACCCTCGCATCAAAAAGGGACAGGCCAAGTGCATGAAACTATATAGTAAGTTAAGAGCTCGGTCGTGGACAAAGTCTGTCATGGCCCAAAGTGACTGGACAAGGACTCTGCAGGGATTAGGAAGGACTAATCTGGCCTGAGCACTGTGGTCTGGGATCTGTAGTGAGATGCCCCCAGGAGAGTCGCCCTATAAGCTTAATGTGTCTCTTACTGACACGTCTTACTTAATGTATCTCATTTTATGTATCTACAAAATGACTAGAAAGATTTCTAGGGAGATTGCTAGAGAGATTACTAAGAAGTGAATCTAAGATGATTGTTTATGGACAAGGAAAGGAGAAGTGTGCCCTTGAGCAGCTCTCCTAGCAGGATCTTTGTCTTAGAAGAGCTGCCCTGGAAGGACGGGAAGGACAGAAGGTCCTGCTGCCTGACCTAGGTGTAGCCGCCACCCCGGCCCATGGAGGTCGGGCAGGGAGGCGGGAACGAGGGCCGGGCGGATGGACCGGAGCGCCCAGTGAGATGGGGACAGGCGTGGGGAGGGGGGAGGAAACGGGACTGACCAGCCAGCCCGCGCCTGGTCCATCCTCCATGTGTCTGTTGGTGGCTGTGGGCCGGGGTGGGGACGCGGCTCGCGGCCCCTGAGCGCAGTGGCCAGGGAGAGCTCTGTTGCTGACTGCGCGCACATCTTGCGCACAAGAGGGTTGGAGGAGATTTTGTTCGACTTCTGATGCAGCAGTTGCCGGTCGGAACTTCTGGTTTTCTAGAAGAAATCCTCGGTCTTCAGTTGCCTTAGCAGCCCGGCTGTAAAACCTTGGTGTTGCGATGCATTTTGCATCAGGGAAGGTGTTCCTTCTACTGTCTAGCTTTCTGACTTCCCGTTTCCGACACTGTAGACCCTGGAGAAAGTGGAGCAGTCCGACCTCTACCTCATGGACCGCGACTTGCTGCAGCTGGTCTTCAGCTTCAGCAAAGCTGGTCACGTGCAGCACGTCTCCGAGATCCTGAGCAAGGTCACGTACGAGAGGAGATACATTCCAGGTAGTGGACAGCCGCGCTTCTGCCTTCTGGGAATAGGGATGGCCGCGGCGGGTGGGGGGTGGGGAGATCGGGGCTGTGGTCGTGGACAGGGGCCACTGGCTGGAGGTGGCTCCTTGGTGGTGCTGAGGACACCGGGAGCCTGGTGGTCAGTGTGAGGACTTCTGGGGGCGGGGGTGGCCTGTGGCCACGGTGCTGGCAGGGAGGCAGGGGACTGGGCCCTTGGCGTCCTCTCTCCAGCCGTCGACCTCGTGAGGTCTGCTGTAAGCCCTGCCCGCGTGGTGGAAGCTCGCTGTCATTCTTCGCGCAGGGCCTTGCGGGGTTTCAGTCCGTGGATTCGCCTCTGCTCTGCGAGTGTAGAACATTCTCCCCGTGCCGCTCAGTAGCGAGCCCGTCTCTGTTCTCTCCCAGACGCAATGAACCTCATCCTGCTCTTAGTCACTGAGAAGCTGGAGGACACGGCCCTGCAGGTGCTGCTGGCCTGTCCCATCTCCAGGGAGGACAGTGGGAGCGACTTCGGCAGCTTCTTTCTTCGGCACTGCGTGGCCATGGACACGGTACCCCCCCTTGCCTTTGTGGACAGTGCCTGGAGGTGGGCTGAAGCCCGGGTCCCGGGCCCGCGTCTAGGCTCAGAGCTCGGGCGCAGGTTTCCGTGCGGTGAGATCTTGAGCGAAAAGGGGCGAAGGGCTCCGGTTCTTCAGTCCCGGAGTGGCAGGCGGGGGGCCGGGGCGCAGGCGGGGCCCCTGCAGGCCAGGTGACGCAGCCCCTCTTTGCAGCCTGCGGAGAAGCTGCAGCACTACTGCCGGAAGCTGAAGGAGGCCCAGATGCACTCCTCGGCCCTGCAGTTCACGCTCTACTGCGCGCTCGCCGCCAACAAGCTCGGTAGGTGGCCGTGGCCAGGGCCGCGGGGAGGCTCGGGGAGGCTGGGCTGAGGCAGCTGGTGACGCCCCTGCTCCGTCTCAGGTCTGGCGAAGACTCTGATGAAGGCCCTGAAGGAGGACGGCTTTCCTCTCAGAGCTCACTACTTCTGGCCCTTGCTTGTTGCACACCAAAAGGAGAAGAATGTCCAAGGTGAGTGTGTAGTGCTTGGAGACCGGGGCAGTGTGTGCTGGGCTTGCAGTGGGGAGCACTGGGGAAAGCAGAACTGAAGCCAGAGCGGCACAGAAGCACACGGCGGGCTGCGAGGCCGCAGAACCTGGCCTGAGGAGGCCCCGGGGTCAGCCTCAGCACAGTGGACACAGGGCCACCCCTGGTCTCCGCCGTCTCCTGTCTCGGTGCTCACACACGCGAGGCAGTTCCCAGCGGCTCAGTGCTCGTAAGTCAAAACTCTGTGGCACTGGCCGACTCGGCGTCGGAGGCCGTTTGCCTCGTGTGAGGTGACAGCCCGTGGCCGCGCGTGAGGAGCCACTTGGTGGGCCGCACTGAGCCCCCTCGGCAGGAGGGCGGGCGAGTGTCCGCAGCGGCCCCTGTGTGCCGCCCCGCAGCGCGGTGGAGGGACCCACGCTCGGCTCGGCTCCGGCTGGCCCGAGCATTATCAGGCTCTTCCCTCGCACTCGGGGGACGGCCGTGGGGTATGAATAAGAATCGAGCAGATACGAAATTTTAGAGTACGGGGTCTAATTCTTTAGTTTGCATTATTGGTAATTCAGGAAGCGCATTCTCGTAAAAAGATGCTTTTAACAGAAGTACTTCCCCCTGGGGGAAACAAAAAATGGTCTTTTTCACTTTCTCTCACAGTATAATGTGCTTTCGAATGAGATGCAGAGTTGTTAGTGTGACATTGGGTGACAAACAAAATGCACAAACAACAAAAAAAGTGCTTTTAGCAGACTTCATATTGCAATTTTATTTTAAATATGAAGCCATCTCTGGCTTAAAGGAAATAGTGAAACAAGTATTCCCTAATTGTTTCTGGCTGTAAACGTCTCCAGATCCTTTTTAGAAGACTCTTCATGAAAACAATCTCTGGGTTAACCCTTGCCTCCCTCCCCGCCTGGGAGCCGTGAGGAGCCGCCTCAGCCCAGGGCTGGAGCCTCCCGCCGTCCTGCTTGCACACCCTGAACGTCCTCCCTGCCTCTGCCCGAGAGGCTTCATCAGGGGTCCTCGGTCCTGTCGCACCCCTCGCACCCCTCCAGTCGGTGTCGGGCCGGTGCTTCTCTGGCCGCAGCTTCCCCTGCGGGCACAGAGGCCCAGGCTGACCTCAGCGCGTCCTGCAGGGTGAGGAGCCAGCGCTGGCCTCCGCCTGCAGAGCTGGGCCTCGCCTCGCAGGCTTCCCTGACTCGGCCTGGCGTGGGCCTCCCTCACACACAGCCCCCGCCTTGTCCCATGGCCACATCCCTCGCCTTTGTCCTCCTGTTTGTTTTCACGAGTTTGGTGTGGGGCTTCTGGCTCCTGTGGGCCCCGACGTGTCTCATCACCCGCTCGGTGCCTGGCGCCGGCCGCTCCTGCTGCCGTGTCGTGTTCCTGGTGTCAGGCTCGTGGCTGCCGTGGGAGTCGGACGGTTGCCTGCACTGAGGACGTTCCCATAGGTAATTTTCTGTGTGGGAACTCACGCACTCCCGGCTCTGCACGCAGAGGAGTTCGTCCGGGTGTGCTGGAGGGGCTCTGTGGGGCCAAAGGATTAAGGAGGGAGCGGGGCCGCGCGCTGCAGGGCTGGGCACGCCCTGCCTGCTGTCCTGTCCGCTCTCACCTCTTGGAGCTGTGGAAAGCTGGGAAAGGAAAGCACAGGCTTCGTGTTCGTCTGCGCAGAAGGGAAGTCAAGGTGTGGGAGAGTCATTTCTCTTCAGTTCATTTTTTTTTTTTTCCTTTTTGGGTCACACCCGGTGATGCTCAGGGGTTACTCCTGGCTCATGCTCTCAGGAATTGCTCCTGGCGGTGCTCGGGGGACCATATGGGATGCTGGGAATCGAACCTGTGTCGGTCATGTTGGCTGCGTGCAAGGCAAACGCCCTACCCGCTGTGCTATCGCTCCAGCCCCGTCAGTTCAGTTCTTGACTTTTGAACCGCACCTAGCAGTGTGCAGGGGCTGCTTCCAGCCCAGTGCTCAGGAGCACCCCTGGCGATGCTTGGGGAACTGCGGCTCTGGGGGCCATCCGCATGCCGGGCGCCGCCTTGACTCGTTCAGTCTGCCCAGCCCCCTTCTCCCTGTCCGCAAGCGAGTCCCGCGTGACTCTGAGCACGGGGAGGGCTGCGCTCTGCCTCCCCAGCGTCCAGTCTGGCGTGGCCTCTGCAGGGTCATCACTGTACTGGTTGGTGGTGTCAGTGAGAGTCTGGACAGTTGGGGGTGCTGTTAGGAGCACTGGGCGGGGAGTCTGGGAGGAAGGCAGTCTCCCTGAAAGATGGCGTGTCGGGTCGTCAAGTGCTTGCTGAGTTTCTGGGGTTTTTCTGGCTGTAAGTCTACCATTACTGGTCCCTCAGGACGGTTTGGCGCCGGCCTCCTGGGCTGTTTCTCCGAGTGAAGTGGGGAGGAGTCGGCCTCCACGGGAGAACGAGCCTGGGAGACTGGAGCTCTGCATTCTCCGATGCAGCCCACGGGCAAGGAGGCAGGGCTGACGGCGCACAGGCTCTTGCCTTGCCACAGTGTCCCAGCCGCCATCTGTGTCCCGTGTGGTCCCACGAGATCCCGAGTGCGGGCCAGGAGTCTGCCCTGAGCTCAGCCCTGGCCAGAGCCTTCCCGCTGAGGGTGTTTTCGTGGTTCCTTCCCGTGTCTGTCCGCAGGCGTCGTTGAGGTCCTCCGGCTGATGCAGGAGCTGGGAGTGAGCCCCGACCAGGAGACCTACGTCAGCTACGTGTTCCCGGCATTCGAGAGCGTGGCCAGGGCCCGCACCGTGCTGCAGGTGGGCATACTCTCGAGGGGCTTCTGGGGGCCACCGGGTGAAGGGAATGGCTTGAGGCATGTCCTGCTGTGGGCCGGACCGGGGCTCTCAGCAGGCCTGAAGCCGGGGCGCCAGCGGCCTTTCCCCGCAGGTGGAGAGCAGGTGCGGCCGGGCGTGTGCTGCTTGGCGCCCTCGCGAGCGCTCTTCCTCGGGCCCCAGCCCGCTGCGGGGCTCGAACCCAGGTTGCCTTGAGTGCGAGACGGGTGCCTCGCCTGCTCCGCTTTGCCAGCTCCTCCTGTCGCTTCTCTGTTGGCTCCCAGTTCACGCTTCACTGTCGCCCTCGACCCTCCCTGCCCAGCTCTGAGGTGCCCGCAGACCCCGCCCCCGGCTCCCTCCGCTGTGGGGGCTGCGCTGCCACCCACAGTTACGGGGAATCGCAGCCCCTTCCCAGGAGTCTGTGCCTGGCCGCCCACGCCCCTTGCCGAGTGCTCGGCAGTGTTGAACTGTGAAGGGTGTGTCGTCGGGGGTCTGCGCCTGGGGGCGGGGCAGACAGCTGATGCCAGGACAGGGGTGTGCGGTGACACTACCCGGGCCTCCTGCCGCCTCCCTGGCTGCGCCCTGAGAGCCTGGGTGCTCGCTGCCGCCCGCGCCGTGATCGTGGACGAAGATGCAGGAGACACGTCACAGCTGAGCGTTGGCTCTGCTTGGAACCCGGACACAAGTGGCAGCGAGCCCGAGAGGGAGGCGGTTCTTTGGGCCGGATGTGATTATTCCTGGTGGTGAATTATTCCTGGCGGTGCTCGAGGCACCCTGTGGGATGCTGGGAATCGAACCCGGGTCGGCCACGTGCAAGGCAAACGCCCTCCCCGCTGTGCTGTCGCTCCAGCCCCGTTCAGTGGAGTTTTAGGCTAGTGATTGAGGTGAGTTGCTCGAGAGAACTAGTCCATTTTTGCTAATGGTAAACTTCCTGGCAATGTAACATCTCTGAACAACTTGTCTAAAATGCACTTGTATCCCTTCTAGCTTTCATGTACTTTCCAGCTTTTGAGGTGTTCTAGAACATGGCTCGAAGGGTCGTTGGAATATGAGGTCGGACTTGGGCCCCCAAGTGGCCCCCAGGGCCTCCAGGATTGCTCTGACTCCTGGGCAGCGGGAAACGCGGGCAGCCGGTCAGAGAGCGCGGGTCTGAGCGTGTGCTGACCATGCGTGTTCCCTCAGGAGAGCGGCTGTCTGCCCGACCTCGCCGTCTTCTCTCTGGCGGAGCTGCGGAGTGAAGCTGCTAGCGGGAACCTCGACTTGGTTCTGTCGTTCTGTAAGTACCAGCGAGCACGGCCGAGCCCTTCCCTGGACGCCGGGCCAGCTGAGGGGGCCATGGCAGCCCTGGCCGCTTCCAGAGGATGCCTGAGAGCTGTGGGGTCCGTGTGTCTTGTTCAGGCCTGGCTGACCAGGCAGTTGGTGACGCGGCTGCTAGTCAGCAAGAAGCTTTAGCAGATTTGGGGTTTGGGGGCCGGGGGTGGAGCCCGGGGCCTTCGCATGCCAGCTCCGTGTCCCCCAGAGCCGTCACCCGAGGTGCGGCCGGTGGTCCGGTCTCCCCGTGTTCGCCCTGAGCCATGCCTGGCGGAGGTGATGGGGGTGAGGGTGTGACAACTGGACAGAGCGGTCAGACCCGGGCTGGGGCTGCTCGGGAGTTTCCCAGGGAGCAGTTGGGCCTGCCCGCTGAGCCTCCGTGGGCCGTCCCGTGCCCGTGGCAGGACCGGGCTGGCGAAGGCTGAACTGCTCTGAGTGCTGCCTGGGCTGCCCCTCTCGCCCAGAGCACGTGGGGACCCCACGGGGGCAGGGCAGGACAGGCTGCATCTCTGGGCCCCTAGGGGACGTGAGTGGGGGAGTGGGGTGTGAGAGCCGGCGCTGCCCGCTGGGGGCTGCCAGCTCGTGGGTGCCGCGTGGGCCGTGCAGGCTGTGGGGCTGCGCCCACCCTGGGAGCCCCGTGGAGCGTGTTTCCAGGCCAGGGGGACGCAGCTTTGGCCTCTGTCTGTGCCTGACGCCCGTCGTTCTTTCTCGCAGTGAAGTCGAACACGCAGCCTCTGTCCCTCGCCGCCCTGAAGGGCAGCCTGATCCTGGGCTTCCGGAGGTGAGCTGGGCCGCGCGTCCCGTCCTGGGAGGAGCCGCTTCCGTGAGGTCTTGGCTGGGGCTTAGATAAGTTTGCGTGGCGGTAAGGTTTGCCGTCTGTGTCATGCCGCAGACGCTCAGGTCGAGGTCCGCTACTGTACAAGGGCGCTGACCCTTCCCTGTCCCTCTGGGGCTCGTGTCCTCCGCCGGCTGCCTGCAGGAGCCCTTTCTGTTGGGTGCCCGGGAAGGGGCTTTGCACTGGGCCAGCACGTCCAGCCCCTCCCCCCAAGAGGGAGAGCGAGGGCCTCTGGGGTGAGCCTCAGACCTGGAGCCTCGAGCCCCACGTGACCGTCGTCTCACCGACGCTCTTGAGCGACTGTCCCGTGCCTTTGTCTAGTTGAGGAAATGCTGGACAGGAGGAGGCTGGGAGTGTCTAGAAGGGAGGCCTTGCTGAGGCTGAGCCCCGCGAGCAGGGCGTTGGCGGGCGGGCGGGCGGGCCCGCGGGCCCAGCACCCACTCAGCTCACCACTGCGGGGCCTTCGGAACAGGCCGTGACCCGACCCAGGGCCGCGTGTGCCTGACGCTCCTGCCCCCTCGGGCCAGCCACCATCCAGTCTGTCAGGTATCCACTGTCCCGACTGCGTGGGACTCCCCTGGCCTCGCGCTGTGTGGCCCTTCCACAGCCGCTCTCTGGGCCGTGTGCAGGGCAGCGTGGCGGGCTGGTCATGGAGCATTCACAGGACAGTCCTGGCCGTCCTCTTGCGCGTCACTCCCACGCTGCCGTCCTTCCTGTGACCAGACTGTGACTGGCCAGGATAGCCCGCAGGTGGCTTGCCCTGCCCGGAGGGAGGGCCTCCGGGGACACGCCCGGACTCCAGGCCCTTCTCGCACCCTCACGGTTTGGTCCCTGTCGGCTCTGAAGGAGCCCTGGAAGTTCCTGGGCAGAGGCCGGCCATCGGTGTGAGCCCGAGCTGCCCGCCGCAGTGTCACGGTCACCGTGTGGGTGCTGCCACAGGCCGAGCCACCTGCTGGTATTCCCGAGTCCTCCAGGAAAGGCTTCTCGTGGGCCGGGTCCCCAGGGTCCAGCTCTGTCGTCATCTCTGTGGGACTTGGTGGTCTGGCATCGCCCGAACCTGCACTGGGCCCCTCGCCCTCTGGGCACTGTGCCTGACCGTCCTCCCCAGCCTGACCTCTTTAGGGCCACAGCCACCACGGGTGCCCCACGCGGTTCTGATGGTCACTGGGAGCCTGAGGCGATGGCCAGGGCTGGTGGGTGTGAAGGGTCGTCATTGTCCTCTTAGCTGCCCGCGGACACTGGCCCTGCCTGGTCTTGCCCCTCTGGTTGCTGAGCCCAGGTCGATGTTCCGAGCGGGTCACCCAGCAGGACTGCACGGCCCTGCAAGTCTCCCCTGGTGTCCGGCCGTGGCGCTGAGGGGCAGCCTCACCGACGGAGGGAGCGTCCTCGGTTCCCAGACTCCGGGGTCTCTGCAGGGCAGCGCACCTGGGAAGGGACTTCAGGCTGGTCCTGCCCAGGGCAGGTCATTCGGGAGTCGGAGGGTTCTGTAGATGTTCAGCTTTTCATTTGGAGGGACTCGCCCTGTGGCTCAGGGTGACGGGTGGTGCTGGTCGTGCACATGAGCGCTGACCCGCAGACCAAGGGCAGACCACAGCACAGCTGGACGCGCTGGAGCAGAACGTTTCGCTCCACCGTCAGGAGTCCGCCCCAGGAGCTGGGGTCACGGACGCCCACTGTGGAGGGGCTGCCTCTGACCCGCCCCGCCCTCCCCTCCCCTGCTGTCTCCTCCCTGCCCCGCCCCCTCCCCTCTGCTCCCCCTCCCGCCCCCTCCTCCCTGCCCTCGTCTGTTGTGGTCTCAGCCCTGCACACCCACACCCTTTCCTCTGAGCTCTCTTGGGTGGGTTCATCTTCAGCCACTCGCTGCTAGGGACAGAGGCAAAGGTCCTCTAGGGTCAGTGGCCTTGGGGTGAGGGAGGCTCTTGGCTTTGTGGGGCTTAAATGACCGAGGGGGGCCAGCTGCAGGCCGTGGCAGTGACCGAGTCCCTGCCCACAGGATGCCTTTCGGGACGGCAGGTGCCCAGGTCTGTGGGGGCATGGTGCCTCCCGCAGCTGCTTCGAGAGGGCGCCGTGGGCAGGGCCACTCCTGCCAGCCGTGGTCTCAGGCGCAGGGTGTCCCCCACTTGGTGCTGTGCCAGCGGGTGCCCAGGACCAGGCTGGTGACCGGGTCTGCCAGTGACCGGTGCTCCGTGGCGGGCCGGCCCCTCGAGCAGCGCTCTGACCCTCGTGACCGCCTGCATGGTGCAGGGACCCCAGGACCCGTCCTCAGCCCCCGCGGCCCAGCCCAGTTCCCCAAGACCTTTACGGTCCTGTCCCCCACGTGGCTGTTCCCAACCACTGGGCCTCATGTCTGGGATTCTGTGGCTTTGCAGAGGGTTATGAACGGACTTGCAAAATGTCTGATTTTAAGATTGGCCTTTTTTTAGCATAAAAATGCCTCTGTTATCTAGCTAGATTGTATCAGTTAATTCTGAGTATTTTCAAAGGGAAATACATGCACGTACTCACTATACCAAAATTCAGCCCATCCATTTGATTCATAGCTGATAGTATAAATTGTTATAACCAGTGTTTCTTCATTGAAAACAAAAGTTTGTTATGTGAAAGTGAATTAAAATTATTTTTTCTAGCACATAAAAATTTGCTTTATTTTTCTAAGAAGGAAACCAGATATAAAAATGCAGCTCATGGGGCTGGAGCGATAGCACAATGGGTAGGGCGTTTGCCTTGCACGCGGCCGACTGGGTTCGATTCCCAGCATCCCATATGGTCCCCTGAGCACTGCCAGGAGTAACTCTTGAGTGCAGAGCCAAGAGTAACCCCTGTGCATCACCGGGTGTGACCCAAAAAAGCAAAAAAAAAAAAATGCAGCTCATGGGGCCAGACCAGTAGTGCATGGGGTCGGGTGATTGCCTTCCGTTTGGCTGACCTGGGTTCAATATTGGCATCCCATGTGTTCCCCTGAGCATCTCTGGGTAAAGAGCCAGGAGTAACCCCTGAGCGGTGCCATGTGTGGCTCAAAAACAGAGTTTTTAGAAAGTTGCATTTTGAAAAAGAAAATCGGTTAATGCTGTAGGTAGATTGGGCTTGAATCAACAAGTTAATAGTAATTGTATCTTTGATCTCACTGTCACTGTCACTGTTCTCCCGTTGTTCATCAGTTTGCTCGAGCGGGCCCAGTAACGCGTCTCCATTGGAGACTTTGTTGTTACTGTGTTTGGCATTTTGAATATGTCACGGGGAGCTTGCCAGGCTCTGCTGTGCGGGCAAGATACTCTCGGTAGCTTGTCAGGTTCTCCGAGAGGGGCGGAGGAATCAAACTCGGGTTGGCCGTGTTGCCTGCGTGCAAGGCAGACGTCCTACCGCTGTGCTATCGCTCCAGCCCATCTTTGATCTCAAAGCTTATAAAGTTTCTTAGGAAAAAAGAAAGTTTTGTTTAAAAAGCTTAGAACAACCAGTGCTTATCGGTTGTCTTGTTTGTAAATGGATTTTCATTACGCCTGCAAAACTTGGTCCAGCTGTTCTCAAATAATTTTAAGTGTACGGAAAGTCCCAAGAGTAGCGTAGAATTCCTGCCCCCTTCCCTGACTTGTCACTTCACCACTGTCATCTCAGGCCCTTGGACCCACCTTTGGTCCTCGCATGTTGAGCGTCGTGGCCTCGGCCCCGGCAGACTCAGCGCAGCCCAGACGTGGGGTGACGTGGGGATGACGTGGGGACGGGCCCTCAGACAGCTCGGCACTGCCAAGCCAGGAGCGTCAGCTGTGCAGCTCCCGTTCTAGTTTGATCAGTATTTTTCTTTGCTTTTTGGTCTTGGTTTTGGCCATGCTGGCGGTGCTTGGGGCTTGCTCCTGGCTCTGTGCTCGGGGAACCGTCCGGGCGCTGGGAAGGAGCCTGGTCGGCCATGTGCAGGGCAAGCACCTTCCCCCTGCGCTGTGCCTCTGGCGCTTGGTGCTTTCACCTCCGTGCTTGGTCCAAGGAGGGGCGTGGGTGACCGAGCCTTTGCTCTGAAGCAGTTCCTTGCCTTTGTCTCTGAGGACCGGCACTTGGGTGGTGAATACTGGCCTGCTTCTCTGCCCTGGCCTCGGGTCACAGCTGTAAGCACAGTCCCCAGGTGTCTTCTCCTGGTGCTGCCCCTGCCAAGTCCACGGTGCACGTCACTGCTTCCCTGCTGACTGGCAGGAGCTGGGCCCACGGCTGAGGCCCTCACATCCTCGCCTGAAGGAACCTTGTTTTTATTTATTTATTTATTTTTGCTTTTTGGGTCACACCTGGCAATGCACAGGGGTTCCTCCTGGTTCTGCACTCAGGAGTTACTCCTTGCGGTGCTCAGGGCACCATATGGGATGCTGGGAATCGAACCCGGGTCGGCCGCGTGCAAGGCAGAAGCCCCACCCGCTGTGCTATTTCTCCAGTCCCAGGAACCTTGTTTTAAAAAAGCAAACTGTTGATGGTTATGTTGATGGCTCAGAGGAGGCAGAATCACCCTTTCACCCTTTCTGAGTTGCCTTGTCCTGGAAATGTGTCTTGATTTTGGAAACAGATTTACACAGGTTTTGATCTGTGTAATGAAATGTGTATTTTAAGTGACGATGCTGTTGAAACCTCTGGGCTCACGTGTGGTCCTTTGCTGCCCTCTGCAGGTCTGTGAATGTCGAACTCTGGAGCAAGGTGAGTGAGGGGCTGTTCTGCGCCCCAGAGGCTGGGCGGGGCAGGCAGGGGGTTATCCTTTCGCCTCTCTTTTCCTAGAGGGCGTGGGGCAGGGGCCGGGCTGCATGTGTATTTGTAGCGGGAACCTACCACATAGGCGTCTATGTCACCCATTTTTTAATTGGTATCATTTAAAAGAAGCTAACTGCTTTTATGTAAGAAATAGTTATCCTCACGCTAAATCAGAGGAAATATTTGTTAAAATCAGAGGGTACATTATTGACTGGAACTCCGAATTTAAATGGTTTCTTCAAAGATAATTTGGGCCAGGCAGTAGTACAGCGGGTCCAGGCTTTCCTTACGGGCCTGGATCCCATCCCTGGCACCACATAAGGGCCCCTGGGCTGCCGGGAGTGACTCCTGAGCACCACCAGGTATGGCCCTCAAACAAAACCCTAACTTTAATTTAGCTGTATTTTTGGTGTTTACTCTATATTTAGCTCTTTATTTAATATTTTGAATTTAGTATTATACGTGAGCCAATTTTAATATATGGTTGCGGTTTAAATCTAAGAAGAAATTTAAGAAATATCCCCTCTTCTTTGGGGGATGGGGGGGGTCACCCTCCGTGGTGTCAGGGGCCACTTCTGGTGGTGCTGGGGAACCTGTCCATGGTGCTGGAATGGAAGCCGTGTCGGTCTCAGCCCTGCGCTCGCTTCCGGCCCTCACTGCCCATTCCCTCAGGCCCAGTTCCGCAGGGGCATCTGCCTGCCTGGGTACCTTTGGGTGTGCCCACTGCTGCCGAGTCCAGACCAGCCCTTGGAAGGGATATTCTGAAAGAAATTTTTTTTTTTTTTTTTGCTTTTTGGGTCACACCCGGCAATGTACAGGGGTTACTCCTGGCTCTGCACTCAGGAATTACTCCTGGCGGTGCTCAGGGGACCCTATGGGATGCTGGGAATCGAACCCAGGTTGGCAAAGCAAATGCCCTACCCACTGTGCTATCGCTCCAGCCTCTGAAAGAAATTTTTGATTGATCTTTTTATTAAACACTTTTGTTTTGGTATTAGTGAAGCTATTGCCATTAACGGTACCCTGTTTTTTGTGGTGGAATGAGGTGGATGTGTTCGTTTCCAGCTAATTTTACTTAAAAGTGAGCAGACAGTAGTGGTGACTTGCGGTTTGTGTTGTAAAAGTTTACGCATAGGCACTGTTTTCAGAGCAAACAAGTTCATTCACAGAATGTACTAATGCAGTTCGGAATTCCTAACCCATGCCATTCTGGAAAAGAGCTGAACGTTCCATTCTTCTTACATTTGCAACTTAGGTCTCTAGTCAGATACAATATTCCCAAGTCACGAGCTCATTCTGCACATTTTACAGTCATTTTCATCAAAAAGTACGCGTGAGGATCATTTGGATCAAAATTGCGCTGGCAGAGTCAGTCCAGAGACTGTTGACAGTCTCTCTGCTTTAGGGGGCTGGCGCGGGTCTGAGGCACGCCAGAGCTCTGTGCCACTGGGATGGCACAGAACTACAGCCCCAGGAGCACTAAGAGGACAGTGCCGTGGGGACTGCCGAGCGTTTCCAGAGTGTTAACGGTCCTGTAAAGCCAGAGCAGCGCGGCAGGAGCCAGCGTCGCTGGAGAGCAGGGGTGCAGGGGTGCGGGAAGTGCGCGGCACGGCTCGCCGGTTCTGAAGGACAGACCGGCTACTGGAGGCGGCGCCTGTCGGGGGCGGCGGCTCCTCTCAGCCGCGGCTCCTCTCGTGTCTTCCAGATCACAGAGCTGCTGTACCACGATGGCCGTTACTGCCAGGACCCTCCGGGACCCATGGGTAGCGTGTCCCCATCTCTGCCGGGCGGGAGGGAGCCTGCCGGGGGCATAGCTGCCATAGCCGGGCTGGCCACTTGCCCTGGGCGTGGGGACCCGCGGTCGTTCAGGCTTAGCGTCTGGCTCCCGGGCGGCGAGGGCGGTGAGCTGCAGACGTGGGCTGAGGGGCTCCCCCAAACGTGACTCCCTGTCCGCAGGCTGTGTTTTGACATCTCGTTTTCTCCCGCGTGGTAAAGCCTGGAGTCCCCGGCTTGCTGGGAGGGTGCCTCTCCAGCACCCGCGTCTTCTGTCCTTGGTGTTAGCGCAGGGTCCCGCGCGGCTCACGCTCGAGTGCACGGGAAGATTACTGTTGGCACAAAACATCTTTGTTAATCTCGGTTTTTCATTGGCTAATAGGCAGCTCGCCGTGGGATTACTGTGTCTGCTTATTAAAATTATTTAACTTTCTGTGCTCAACATTTAACAGTCCTTTCTTATTTTATGTTCCCTGAGTATCGTCTATGCAGAAAAGTCAGCCCAGAACTGTCCACGAGGCTTGCATTGATCCTCACTTCTGCAGTGTGGACAGGACCAGGGTCAGGCCTTGGGCAGGGCCACTTCTGTCACAGAATGGTGGAACAAAATAGATTGAAGGAAGATGCAGTCCCGAGAAGCTGTCACTCGGCCTGAAAATAATTAATATTCCTTTCACTCACCAGTTAGCTGTGTGCGCCCCAACCACATAATCTCTATGCCTCAGTGATCATTGTTGCCACTTCAGAGCCTCTCATCAGGGTGACATCTCACACCAAAATGATTTCTTATAAATTAATCTTGATAACATGACAGCCTGGGTAATTTCGGTGGAACGCTTTCTCTTGCTGTTCTCCACAGAGGCTGTTGGCTACTTCCTTTATAGCTTGATTGACAGCATGAGTGACTCAGAGGTACAGGCCGAGGAGGCGCGTTTGAGACAATACTTCCATCAGCTGAAGGAGATGGTACCGTTTCATTTTTTGCTATATAATGCCTGTCCTGCCTGACATGTACCTATTAGGTCTGAAATTGCTGCTTTTAAGTACAACCAGACCACTTCTCAATGACACACATGAGTTGGAGACTTGAATTATGTCTGAGATAATTCCTGTTAGACAGATTTCAGTTTGGTCGTCTGAAAACTCAGTTTTTCCCCCTCTTCAGAATGTGAAAATCCCTGAGAATATCTACAGAGGCATCCGCAACGTGCTGGATAGCCGCCACGCTCCCGAGTTGATCAAGGTGTGTCCTGCCGTCCGCACCCCCGGGAGCTTGGCACCCAGGGCAGGGCGGGCGAGAGTCTCCCGGGCAAATGCGGCTTTGGGCCAACAGCTGTTTATGGGACAGAAATCATTAAAACGACTTTTCGTTGGCTGTTGGTGGAGATTTTAGAAGTCTGTGTGCAGCTTCCGTAAGGTTGGGGAAGGGCGGGTAGAGGCAGAGAGAATGTGCTTTTGACTTTCGCTCGAGATGATGCTTCCAGCTCCTGATTCTGTTCTCATTTAAACCTCGGTTTTAGGATGTTATTGTGTTGGTTGAAAGAGAGAAGATTGACTCCCGAAAAGTAAGTAGGCTTCAGAGGCGAGGCTGCTTGGGATTCAGTTACCACGGCTAACAGGGATTCCAGGCTGGAGGCCAGAGGCTCCTCCCGGCTCCGTTCTGTGTGCCTTTCTGAGAGGGGCTGGCCACGTCCAGCCACGAGCACTCCAGGCTGGTGCCCCCGGCCAGCGTCCCCACCAGGCCTGTGTCTCCGGGGGCAGCCGGCAGCCTGCACGGCAGAGGCAGCATGCCTCTCTGGGGGTCTTCCTTCCCCTCTTCTCTAGACCGCGCAGCGCCTGACATCATCTGACTTGGAGGCGACGCTGGAAAAACTGAAAGCTGAAAACCAGCCTGTAGGCGAGGCCCTGAGGCAGCTCATCCTGACTCTCTGCTCAGAAGAGGTAACGTTGTTCTCACCGTCCAAGTGTGCTCTTCGGGGAGAGTTTCTTTCACGATCGTGTCGCGCAAAGCCAAATGGGGCACCTACGATTTTCACAATTGATTACTGCATGTCCCGCCTGTACGAACACAATTAAATGAAAGGTTAACGAATTTCAGCTACACCTTGAATGGCATGTTTTGGGGTTGCTGAAGTTTGTTTACAATAATCTGCGGAGTGAATGACGGTAACAGCTGTGATAGGGTTATCATACATGCCAAATGTCCTTTCAAGCCAGGCTCCGGTCGCTCACATCCAGATTGTCAGCGGCTGATACGTGCCGCCGTCATTTGCAAGTCAAATATCACTAGGTCGTTAATGCAGGGATTGAAATTCCATTTTCCTGCTGGAAAAAAGCCCTTTCTGAGATAAAGGGTCCCTCGCCCGTTCCGGCAGGCGCCCAGCTGCCGGCTGCTCCATCTCCCGTGCGCCTGCGATGGGGGTACATGCGAGGCCTCACAGTTTCTACTTCAGTTTGAGTTGGTCTTTGCTGCTGCGTTAGGGCAAGAAAATGCGGCTGAGCTTAAGATTATAACGTGGTTCTCTTACGACGTTTCTTCACGTTCCTTGGTATTGATTTAGACTGGGAACTTGCGGTGATCCGTTTTTTGTACGTGTGAGTGTGACTGTGAGTAGGGGATAGAAATCTTTTTTATAATGCAGCAGCCAAAGTGGAAACATTAAATTGTCACAAGCAGTGGCCCGTTTTGCATGGCCGCTAACAAGTCTTGGAAGGGACCTTGCTTGTGTGTTGCTGCTTTTTAGAGGGTAAATACCGTGACCCCGGACCGAGATGCACGCGGTGACATGAATGCGTTGTTCTTAGGGGACCATCGTTGAGGCTGGCTGGGCTCCAAGTGGGGATCCCGGCGGCCTCACGCTTCACCGTTTCTGCCTGCTTCTCTTCTGTTCCATCAGAACATGCAGAAGGCTCTCGAGCTGAAAGCCAAGTACGAGTCAGACATGAGTGCCGGCGGCTACGCGGCCCTCATCAGCCTGTGCTGTCGCCACGATGACGCAGAGGCGGCCCTGAGCCTGAAGCACGAGCTGTGAGTGGCGTCCGCGGCCCCCGCCCGTCCGCCCCGAGCAGCCCTGCAGAGTGTTCCTGGCAGGGTTTCTGCGGTGCCGCACGAGAAGCTGGCTGCATGGATCATAGCTTGAGGAATTGTGGAGTCCTTGAAGCCAAACCCCCCCGCCCGTCCCCCCACCCGGGTGCAGTCGGGAGCCAGGGGCCAAGTCTGTGTGTAGTCAGGGGCCTCCCGGCAGTGCAGGCCCTTAAGGGCCCACGGTAGCACGCTCTCTGTTGCCAGCCATTCCATCTCTGCCAGGCCCAGTTCTCAAACTGAATATCCCTCTTTTCCCTGGGGGAGTGTGAAGGTGTGAACGCCAGGGCACTTTCGCAGCTATCTGATTTCCCTTCTAGCAAACAAAAATCTTTTTTTTTTTTTTTTTTGGTATCTAAGTGTTGAGGACAAGGCTGAGCTCACCCGTTAATATCATTTGCAAATGGAGTGACACCTGTTTGTGGTCTCGGAGACTCTTGCCAGTGCTTCAGATCTAATCCTTCCAAAATTGTAAACAGCGTCAAAAACAAATCTTACCTGAGGCCAGTCTTGAAAGCATTCACTAAGCTGGTGGCTTCTGCAGAGGGGCAGGTGGGCCTAGGTGATCCTTTTCAGCTAATCAGCCACGTGACGTTTGTGGGACTTCATTTTAGGGACCGCTTAGACTCGTCCGCTGTCCTGGACACCAGCAAGTACGTGGCCCTCGTCAGAGTCCTGGGGAAACACGGCCGGCTCCCGGGTAAGCAGCCAGGAGGACACCGCCCACCTGTGTGCACCGGGTGGGGCTGCGGGGACAGTGTCCCGTTAGCCCTGATGGAGCGGCGCCTGTCGCTGATCTCACGGCTCAGTGCCTCTGCGCCTCGTGCTCACAGCGTCGCTGTGACTTACGGCGCAATTTGCTTCTGTGCCTGCACTAATGGCTTTGCTTTTGCTCAGGAATGTTGACGCCTGGGCAGACCTTTGAGCATGACCCACGTTTCAGGTCATGGATTATGAGCATGACCTCACGTGTAGGAACATGGGTTGTAAACACGACCTTGCATACAGGAACGTGGGTTATAACGTAACTTCACATTTAAGAACGTGAATTTTACTCTAGTCTTTGTTTTAACTCTCAGTCACGTTAGTAAAATAATGTATTTGGATAAATATTTATTTGTAACTCCACGAGAGAAGTGTAGTTCCTCTATAGCTGATTTGCACGTTCTAATTTTCTCATCATCGAGAGAATGCTAATAAGCCTAATACAGCCAATTACTCTTGATAACATGTTCTCCCGAGTTGCTTGTTTCTTAACTTCCTCATTTGGCTGTTTTGAAATTTGCTTTTTAGGTTTCCCTTACTGTCATTCCTAGAACACTTTACGTTTTGCCTCAGTGGAAATTGTAGGAGGAATACTTGGGTTGAACGTGAAATTCTTCCCCAGGACTCCTTCATACACAGAAAACTAAGGATCAGCCTGCTTTTTAAAAATCACTTTTGCAAAGCGGTCAAAACATTTTGTCTGCAATAATTAAGAACAACATTATAAAAATGCACTTATTCCATACCCTAAAATGTTTGTTTCTGCCTTCCTAATGAAGCCTAATGAATGTAATGTATTAACAGGCAGTCCTTGGGAAGGCTTTCATTGGCTCTGCTCGGCTAATTAGTATCGACACAGCAAACAGGCCCTATCGGTATCAGACCATTAGTCAGGCTGTACATGCAGTGTAAACACATCTTTATTATCTGGCCTCCTGACAAGCCATCTGCTGAAGAAACAATGGTGTGATTTAGCAGATGTTGCTCTGAGTGATAAAAGCATCCATTTAGGGGGATCTCGCCGCCCGAGGGCAGGCCGGGCAGGGCCACTCGGAGCCTCGTGGCACAGCGTCCCTGTCTGTAATTTGTCCTCAGAGTTGCATGGAAATGATAAAAAAAAAAAAAGAAAAAAGAAAAAAAAAAGCCACACTATTGTGGATTTATAATTGTAGTCTCGTTTAGAAATGCAAGTAGTAATTAACTTGAAATCGGCATTATACACTGGAATTTACACTCCTGCCGGGCTTGAAATGCTGCTTTAATAGCAGTTTGTTTTCCCCACACGAAATTACCTAAGGGTCTTTTGTGTGACTTCATTGTAGATGCTATTAACATTCTCCGGGAGATGAAAGAGAAAGACGTTCCCATCCGGGAGGCCTCGGTGCTGTCCTTCTTCCACATCCTCAACGGTGCGGCCCTGCGCGGCGAGGCAGACACCGTAAAGCAGCTGCTCGAGGCCATCGTGACCCTGGGGCTGGCCAAGCCGACCACCTCCCTCACCTCCCCGCTGGTCACGCTCTACCTGCAGAAGTAAGTGGGCTCCTGGCTGCCGCGCCCGGCCGCCTCCCACGCCCGCCATGGCCTGGCCGAGCGACCGCCCATCCCCCGTCGGGGCCAGTGGCATCGCGGCCCCAGGTTCCCTGGGACCCCTCTGGCGGCTGGGCCGAGCCCGGAGGACCCCTGGGCCGGGGCAGGGGGAGAGAGAGGGCAGCATCTGCGTGCGCGTTGCCCCGGTGGCCTGCTCTCCAGCCCCGCGGAGGGGCCGTTCTCGGAGGGGGGGCAGTTGCCACCACTCTCCTTGAGAAAGAGCTTCTCACACTTGACCTCCTCGGCATCTGCCTAGGGCCCCGTGTAGACCGAACCCGCTTGCTTTGTGCGCTTGGCCCTTCTGGCTCCGGGTGCTGAGTGTCGCTGGCGGAGAGGCAGGAGGAGCGGCTCCCCTCGCCCCGCCACCCTGTTCCCCGTGTTGTCACGGGCCAGTGACCGAGTTGGTCTTGAATCTAAGACGCACAGTGAAGACCAGCTCCTGAGTGTCAGGAAAGGGTGTGCACTTGCATGTGCGCGCGCTGTGCACGCGTGTTGCGTGAAGTGGTCTGTAGTCTCTGCCTTCCCCTGGGAAACAGTTTCCTCCTAACCTCCACCACAGTCGCAGCAGTACACAGCTCTCTAGAAAAATGGGGACTCAAACAATGACTTCGTTTCTGAGTTTTATGTTCACCGCCAACTTTATGGAGAAATCCTATAATTAGTATGCTTCTTACTAGGATTTTTTGATTGTTTCAAAGACCCATCTCTGCAAATTGCATGAGGAACTGTGCTTGGAGATTTGAAAGAAATGGGCCCCGTGCCCAGACGAGTCAGGCCCTCCTCCCCTCGGCCGAGCAGCCCAGCCAGCAGGAGCCAGCCCTGAGGGTGCTGCACTCGAGAAGTCGCGTCCTCTTGCAGAGTGTCTGTGGGTGCGCTCGGGGTTGACCTGTGAGACCCCGTGGTGCCTCTCAGAGAGGGAGGAGGGCTTGGAGCGTGCTTCATCTGTGCGGGGCTGGATTCGGGCCCTCCCCCCTGCCCAGGGCAGCTCCAGGAGAGCTCCTGGCCTCTTCCAAGCTTGAGGACCGGGGTCTTGATGATTGGAAGGGAATTGGTGACTCTCCTAGTTGGTGAGCACTTGGAGGAAGAGGTGACTGGTGTTATTTTTGTCTTCCCAACTGCTGAGATAATTCAGAGCCTTGACAATGCAGCACAGCCTGCTTAAAGGCCCACAGAGGGTCCGGTTTGGCTCAAGACATTTGATCTTCTGTGATTCCCTGTGATTGACCTCAGCAGGTTAAAGCCCAGCTGGGGAACGGAGCGCCTTGATCACGCTTGGGGTAAAGGTTGAAAACCATTGCGGGCAGTCGACCTGGCTCTGCATGGTGCCAGGGGTTCTGTACAGGTCGTGGCCTGGATGCAATGCTGGGGCGTGTCCATGACCCAGGCCTTTGGAATAATGACTTTTAGGTTACAGCCTGCTTTCCATTTGAACGCTTTTTTTTTTGCATTAGATAAAAAACATGAGATATTGATTATGTCTTTTTTACTTGGATGTTATTATAAAACTCTGGCAATGCATGCATTTTTAAATGCATCTGGCTAGGGAAATGAAAGCCAATAAACAGGTTTTCAAAATAATAAAGTTACTTCCGTAATTTGCAGAAACATAATCTGTTTCTGTACTAAAATGGTAACAGTTGTGTTGAACGGGAAAGATACGCAGCATTGAACCGTTTTCCTGAGTTGCATCTGCGTTAGCTGCTCTCGTGTATTCCGTGGGTGTGGTGTCTCCTGGCTGGGTTGGACTCAGGCCGGGACTGTGTGCACTGGGCTGCGTCCCCAGGCCCTGAGCCTTGTTTCTGTCAGAATCTCCCTGGCTGCTGGAAGATAACTTGGATCTTTCATCTGGAGGAAGAAAATGCTTGAAGCTAGACTTTGCTGTGGGGAAGGAAGCCCTCGGGGTTGAGGCGTGGGTTCCTGAGGCTGGGGAACCGGTTTGGTTTCACTGCATGTGAAACATCTCAGAAGCTGTTGAACTGATTTGTCAAGCGGGAATTACCAAAGACCCCTCGTTTTCTCCTTCCGGTGAGGTTTTGCCAGTGCTCATTTGTGCCGCGGTGGCTACCGGCCCCCTGTGTTTCTCAGTCTCGTCGTATCTCTTGCCTGCCCAGAACTCTTGCCGTTTAATCTCAGGTTCTTCAGGAAGGTCACAGCCGAGTGGAACAGGGTGTTGGGAGCTGCCCGGACACGGTCAGGCAGTGAGACTCGGGCTGGTGGCCCACCGTGCACTCCGGAGGTCCTGCTGGGCACGTGTGTGCGTCGGAGCAGGCCACTTTCCAGGCCGTTCCGTCCTCGGAATTAAGAACGGAGCCTCACTGGTGCCAGAGGACAGGAGTGGCTCGTGGGCCCCAGTGGACAGGACAGTGATAAGACGGTGTCTTGGGTGGTCATTAAGGCACGTTCCTCGGAAGGGTGATTGGTAAATGACGGGCTCCCTGAGCGGGCACTGCGGCCGGCCGGAGCAGGAGGCAGCCCGCCCGCCCGCCCAAAGTCCTGTTGAGCCCGATCATGTAAATGTGGCATTTTATTCTGAACAAAGAGCAGGGAAATGAGCTATCTTGTCTAATCATTCAGTTGTTTAACACCGACTTCCAGTTTAGACTCAATTGGCTGGAAAGCACTTGACATGTGAAGTCGGTGCTCTTCCGAACGCATGTTTGAGTAAATTTTAAAGTAAGTGACAGCTAAATTGTACCTAGGGAAATTACAAAGCCTTCAACACAGTTAATTTTTTGGGGAGGATTAGTTGTAATTGCAACACCAGTCTCCTTGAAGATTCCTCATTTATAGATGATGAACAGAAAAAAAACATTCAGCTTCTCCAAAAGCTGCTTCTCCAACAGTCGTCTTTGTGGAGTTCTCCTTTCTACTGAATTGCTTCCTGCCCCAGGCCGAGCAGCTCCGGCACCGGAGACTGGTTTGTTTTCAGGTGTCAGGGGTCTCCCCCACCCCCCAGGTTCCAAGCTCTTGTCCCTTCGAGTCCTTTTTCCTGCTCTTTGCAGCCAGCGCCCACCCGGGAACAGCGGCCTGGGCTCTGGGTGACAGAAAGCCGCCTCCCCGCCCACCCCGCGGCCCGCTGCTGCCGCAGAGAGCTGCCTGCAGGAAGCAGGAGGCCGGGGGGTGTCCCCTGCCCCCGCCCGGACCCCCAGAAGCCACAGGCAAACCAGAAGTGAGTCGGAAATTCTAGCACAGATTCATAGGAACCGAGTGTCCATTTAAGTCAGCAACAGCCGTTCGGAGCCAGGTCTTGGCTGAGTTCTCTCCGTGTTTGTGACTCGGGATCGCAGGGTGTTTTCCTCTGGGTGGAGGGACAGGCCAGCGGTGCCAGGAGTCAGCCGGCCGGTGCTCTGGCACTGAGCCCATGCCTGCAGCGTGCGGGGAGTGGAGTCTTGCCTCTGCTCCACCCGTGCTGGGTTGATTTGCAGCAGTCGGTCTTCTTAAGTGTTTGCTTTTTGGGTTGGTTTTATTTATTTTTTAATTTATTTGAAGCAACATGGCTTTTATTTATGAAAACTAGATACTTCCTTGAAAAGCTTTAGTCACTGAAAGGAAAGGGTAATTACTAGACACCACCATGGGTTCGGTTTGGTTTTGTTTTTAAGAAATAAAGTGTGGGGGCTGGAGCAATAGCACAGCGGGGAGGGCGTTCGCCTTGCACGCGGCCGACCCAGGTTCGATTCCCAGCATCACATATGGTCCCCCGAGCACCGCCAGAGGTAATTCCTTGAGTGCAGAGCCAGGAGTAACCCCTGTGCATCGCTGGGTGTGACCCAAAAAGCAAAAAAAATAATAATAAAGGAATACAGTGTGTTCTGGGGTTGATTTTTATCATTTCATAAAGTTTGTGGAAGGAACAGTAATTAAATTTTTCTTAGGAATGGACATTTTAGAATTTGTAGCACATTTTACGTAACTTTGGGGAATCGTGCATGTATATTGAGATAAGCCTGGAATTATGTTTTGATTCAGACTTCGAGTCGCAGCAAGATTTCTTGAAAGGGGTCTTCTGGCACGGGGGCATTGGACCAAATCTGCCTGTGCTCAGGGCTGCCTCCTGCTCTGCTCAGGGGTCACCTTGGCAGGCTTGGGGGCCCAGCCCCATTCGGCCGTGGGCACAGCAGGTCCCTCCCGGCCGCACGCCACTCTGGCCTCCAGATAAGTGTTTCCTGTATTCGTTCACTCGTTCTTTCCTTCTCTTTGGTCTCTGGGCCACATCTGGCGGTGTGTGGGGCTCTGAGCCCACCACTGTGCCCGCTGCAGAGGGCTCCTGTTCCCCCAGGCTGCCGGCAGCGTCCATCGGTTGGGGCCCCTGAGAGCTCCGAGGGGCCGAGGGACCCGTGAGGTCGCAGAAGTGGGTCCCTCGTGGTGGAGAGGGTCCACGGCTCCCGGACACGGGTGCGAGCACCCTGCCTGCCTGCCCCGCCCGCCCCTTGTGCCGGCTGCTGGTGTGGACACCTGGCGGTCCTCCGAGAACACGAGCGCTGACCGTCCCCGTCCCAAACAGGGGCAGGGGAGGGGCCACACCCGGAAGTGCCCAGGTCACTCCTGGGGGTGCTCGGGAGATCTGTGGGGTCCAGGGACCTGCCGCAGGGAAGGCCGCGCCGCCCTGCTCTGTCCTCCCTCCCCACCTTCCTCTTCAAGCTGACGTTCGCCGGAGAGGGCACGTCCCGGCTTCAGTCATCCTCATCCTCACCTCCCTGGGTGGTGATTTCATCGTAGATTTGTAGCTCATTCTTCTGGCAACTGGAGAGCAGTAATGTCGGTACTTAAAGTCACTAACAAATATTTATGAACTATTTCCACTTCGCCGTTGTTCCTCCGTCGTGTGTGATCTCCGGAAGCGTGTATTTGGAGACCAAAGGCTATTAACGTGTCTCTTTGATTGACAGGCCAATTACTCATTTCTTTATTGATAGCGTTGACCTAATGCCGGGGAAGCACAGTCGCGACGTCCTGCTCCACTTGGGGAATTGAGCTGAGGGAGCCGCGCGGCTCGGCTCGGAGGAGCTGCGTGTGGCTCTCGAGCTGCGGCTTCATTGGGCGGCCGTGGAGGGGTGGCGGCAGCCCGCACGCTCAGACGCCGTGTCATCCGCGGTCCCCCGTGGCATTTCTCGCGTGTGACAGTAATCTAGCTGCGGCATCGCCCTGCCGCTTGAAATTAACCTGCAATTTAGTCTTCACCCCGAACGACAGAACCCCCGCAGCTCGGTGGGGTGTCGCAGCGGCTCTGTAAACAGGCCCAGAGGGGCCTCCGGGGCGCCCTCGGCGCAGACGCCGCCCCCTCCGCCCTGTGCGAACTCGGCCCAGTCTCAGCCTGCACCCGCGGCCTGGGATGATCTGAAAGGCCAGGGCCCCCCCAGGCCCCCGAGGTCAGACCCCCACGTGGTTCCAGGCCGCCGTCGGCCTCTGCCTCCTCCTTGGGCACCGCTGGGAAGGCTGAAGCTGCCGGGCCTGCTCACCGAGGAGCAGGGGGACACGGGAGGCGGCGTCCGGCGCGGCCCTGCCGCCCCCAGTGCCCACAGCAGTGCTGTGTGGTGGACAGTGCCCTCGGCCGAGACTGTCAGCGCTGAGACCTGGGGCGGCTGGGTGCCGCCTTCCCTCTGGACGGGCAGAGGAGTGGCGGCGGGTCCTGAGGAAGCGCCTCTCTGCCCTGTGCCGCGGGGGTGCGGCCCCGGCAGCCCCTGCTGCCCCTGCTCCAGCGAGTCTGTGTTTTCCAGGGAGGACCTGCCGGCCGCCCTGGACGTCGTCATGGACTGCTACCGGAAGTACAAGGCCTTGCCGCGGATGCACGACGTGCTGTGCCGGCTGATCGAGAAAGGCGAGACCGAGCTCATTCACAAAGGTCGGCAGCTCTGGCCCGACGCTGCGCTGGGCGTGAGGCACGGCTTCCTCAGTCCCACGAGTCTCGTGGTGTGGGGGCGAGGGGCAGGAGGCCGGCCACCTTGCGCATGCTGACCGGGCCCCGTCCCCGGTGCTCTCGTCTGGGACTCTGCCTCCAGGGGCCTGTCCCTCACCCTCAACCTCCGTCCCTCGCGGGGGTCAGCTGTGCCCTGGAGGGCCGTTGCCCGGGCAGGGGAGCGGGTCGGTGGGTGGCTGTCAGCTTGGGAGAGTGTCGTCCGGAGCTCAGGCGCGCACGTGCAGCGGATGCCCCCTCCGAGACCGCGCCTCCTTCCTTCCAGCCATGGACTTCGTGAGCCAAGAGCAGGGAGAAATGACCATGCTCTACGACCTGTTCTTCGCCTTCCTGCAGACGGGGAACGACAAGGAAGCCAAGAAGATCATCGAGGTGAGGTCGAGCGCCGCTCTGCTGTCGCCCCTGTGTGTGCCCAGTCGCCCCTTGCTCACACGCGTTCGGGCTCTCGTCAGTACTCTTCCGCTCCCGTCGCGGGGGCGGGGGGCTCTTGGCTGGCTCTGTTACTGCGTGTAATCCCAGTTCAGAGAAGGCAGCCTGGTTGCATATTGAATTTGTTTCCTCGCTTTGTTAAATTCCCTGTTACATATCAAAATGATATTTGCATATTAAATCTTGGATTGTGGAACAATTAAATTAAACTGGCATTCTTGGGTGTAAAGTTGCTAATCCTCTTTGCCAGGGAATTCTTTGTTCTTTAAAGCAGTAGAATTTAATTTGCTGCAGCCCATGCTCAGATTTATTTGTAATGCTTGTCTACAAGTTAATCAGTCAAACAAATGCTGTCTGCAACTGTTTGGCATTTAATTTAAATTTTTTTCTTTCTTTACGATGGTAAGCAGCTTACGGGAAATGGTAGGTGAGAAGCTTGGCCTATGTAGGATTAGTTTATTTTATCTGGACTTGATTGAAATTTTCTTAGTGGAATTGGTGAGTGACAGGGTGGCTGCGGAGTCTGTCCACTTGTAGCTGCTGTCATCGTGCCAGCAGGGCCCTGGGTTAGAGCTGGGCTAGAAGGCGTGGCCGTCGAGACTGGCCTCTTGCCGCCCTTTCTGCCCAAGGAGTTTTTCCTGCCACCCACGAATGTGAATCTGCAGTTGCAGGAATATCCACGAATCAGTAGAAATAGCAGATGGCACTCACGGGTGACGTTCCTCTTGGGGACTCCCAGGCCTGGCTCTGTGGGGTTGGGGTTAGACGCGGGCCCGCCCCGCGGCCCGCCCTCCCCTCGCTCTGCGATGCCGCGAGAGCTGGGCCCGGGCCCCAGAGCTCTAGGGCCACGCTCGGCGGCGGTGGGTGGAAGAGGCAGCGTCGTCCGGGGCCGCCCGGGCCTGGCGGGTTGCTGCCCTGCCCGTCGGGCGTGGCAGGGGAGGGGAGATGGCGGCCAGTTCAGTGTTTCATGAAGCGTTGACCCATTTTCGATGTCCGCTTCAGCGTCCAGATTAGTTCTCTCGCGTGCTTTCATTACGTTGCCTGTTTCCACGGCCAGCGGGTGGTGTTTAGGATTCAGAGAGACACTGGGAGATAAACTAGGAACGGAGGCGGCTGAAGCCAGGGATTATTCCTCGGCCCTCGATGCTCTTTTGATGATTGAGATTTCTGTGGGGCGGGAGTTCTCAGTTTCAGAACAGACGCGGGGGGCCCTGCGGCTGCGGGTTCTGAGAGTCACTTCGATTCTGTCAGGGCTTGGGTCCAGCTTGATGTCGGCTCTGTCCGTAACGAGGCAGAGCGTGTTTCTCTTGAGCACTGTCGGCTGACCCTGGCTCGTGGCTTCCCACGCCACAGCCCCAGGGAGCGACCAGCTCACCACCTTGGGCTGCTTCTTGGCTACCCGGCGGGCTCGGGGACGGCCGTGGGGCGGTGTGTGTGGTGCTCGGACTGACTTGCCTGCCTTTGCACCCTCGATCCCGGGGAGGGGGACGCTGGTGGGGCTCGGGCGACGTGGTGCGGAGGTCACACCCCGGTCAGCTGTGTGAGCCCCTTCCCGGACTGTGTCTGACCCCGGGGGGGGGGGGGGGGCGTCTCCTCAGGAGCCATTCGGGAGCTCCCAGCCTCACCTGTCTTGGTTTTTGGCGTCAGCCAGGACTGAAGTGACTTAGTGGCTTCGGACGCCGAGTAGCACCTGTGGGAGTCAGGGCTTTCCCAAGGGATCTCACACATCTGTTTTCTTTACTGAAAAAAAATGGTCAACACGGTTTACTGTGTCCACTGTTACAGGTTCTGTCTCCCGAACCTGTCGAGGGCTGGGAGGGCCCGTGTGTGTGTTGTGATCAGTGTATTAATTTCCTCCGTCCCTTGGGGACTTGGAACTGCCCAAGTGTCGCTGTGTCGTGCCGTGCTGCGGGCACCCGGGGAAGGAGGGCGTGTGGGTGACCTGGGAGCGGGGCCCGACCGACTGTCTCCTCACAGACTCCAGGCATCCGGGCCCGCCCCACGAGGCTGCAGTGGTTCTGTGATCGATGCATCGTAAACAATCAGGTTAGTGGGCGAGTGTGCAGCTGGGGCAGGCGTGGGTGCCAGACTGGGTTCCCCAAGGGCACGCGGGCCTGTGTGGGGCCTGGGCCAGGGTGGGCTTCCGTGACCTGCTCAGAAGCTCTCGGCCCTCTGCTCCAGCAGCAATTACATGTGCGTGTGTGACAGTCACGTGTGCCGTGCGTGTGCTGGTAAGTGACGCTTGTGTGGTTGTGTGTGTGCTGGTATGTAACGGTGGTGACGTGTGCTGTGCGTGTGCTGGCGCCCGTGTTTGTGTGTGCTGTCTTTCGGTGCAGGCGGGCAGGCCACCTTGTCCTCGCACAGTCTTGACCTGTCTCTTGTTTTCAAGGTGGAAACTCTGGAGAAACTAGTGGAACTGACGCAGAAGCTGTTTGAATGTGACAGGGACGAGATGTACTTCAACCTGCTGAAGCTGTACAGTGAGTGACCGGACTGTCCCTCCTCGCTCTGACACTCAGTGTCCCCCGGAGAGGGCAGGGGCAAAGGCCAGCGGCACAGCTCGGAGGGGTTGCTGGAGGCCTGCAAGGGTCCCGCCTTGCGGCTGGCGGGGAACAGGGCGGTGGGGGGAATCGGCGCCTTTCCACCGCGCATCCAGCCGGGCCTGGGCGTCACCAGCACGTGTGTGGCTCAGTGAGGAGACGGACAGCCGGTAGGACCTGGAGGGCCGTCATCCCGGAGCACTGGCCGCCTGTGTCCGAGCGACCGGCCCCCTGGGCTTGGCCGGCTCGCTCGCAGCGGCCCCGCAGCGTGTTTGTCATGGCCGCTGGAAGTTGTTGGGTTTTGAGCCCGCCCGCACGCTCCCTCCCAGGGACTTCCCTTCCCGTGTGGCCCCTGGGAGAGTCCCTCCACGGGGCCCTGTGGGGCTAAGCCGTTCTGGATGGAAATTCTGCCTCATGGCTCCGGGGCCGCCCCGCCCGCTCGCTGCCCTTGACCCAGGACCCTCCTCCCGCCGCCTCTGGGTCTCGGCGTTTGGGGCGCTGCCTGGGGCCTTGGGCCTTGCCCCACCTCTGCTGTCCTTTGGTCCCTGAGAGCCCTGCAGTTCCCTGCCCCAGCCCTCCTGCTCTGGCTTGGGCCTTGGTCTCCTGTCTGCAGCACACCCGGAGGGCAACCCCAGGACTCGTGCCCAGCCGGTGTTGGTACCTCAGGGCCCCGGGTGGCTGCTCCCTGCACTCCCCCCGCCAGCGGTGGGCGAGAGCAGAGAGTCGTTGCCTGTCATGATCTGGGTGCTGGCCGCCGTTTGTCTCACGGTCTTTCCGAAGAGGCTTTTTGCCAGCAGAGAGATTTTTCACAGTTGAACGAAGGGGCAGTGTTGCTGTGTGACAGGCCAGTAGCATTGCCGTTCAGAACAAAGAGTGCCTTGCCTCTGGGCCCGCGAGCCCCCCGCAGCCCAGCCAGGCCGCGAGAGCTTTGCTGACGAAGCCTTTTCTCCGCCCAACTTCACAGAAGTAAATGGTGACTGGCAAAAGGCTGATGCCGTCTGGAATAAGATGCAGGAGGAGAACGTCATTCCCCGTGCGAAGACGTTGCGGTTGTTAGCCGAAATCCTCAGGAACAGTAACCAGGAGGTCCCGTTCGACGTGCCCGAGGTACCCTGCCGAGACGGGCGGGGCGGGTCTGCTGCTTCTTAGGGGCTGGCTCCGCGGGTCAGAGGCCCCTTGTGCAGGTGCTGCGCCAGGGAGTCGGCGCCGTTTCTGGCAGCTCTGCCTGGGCGGAGGGGCGTGGGGGCGCCACCCGTGGGCTGACGGAATCCTGTGTCCCAGCTGTGGTACGAGAACGAGAAGGATGCCCCCGCCCAGGCGGCCCCGGCTCCAGCCAGACCCAGCCTCCAGGACGCGCTGCTGCTGGCCTGCCGGCAGAAGAAGAGCAAAGGTGAGTGGGCAGGGGAGCGTCGCGGATCGCGGCAGGGCGTCTGCTTTGTTAGCTGGTGTTTGCAGCGCATGGGAGAGTTGCTTAGGAGTCAGGTTTGCGCTGGCGTGTTGAGAGCCGGGCGTCAGGGTTTGTGCCTCCGGGTCGCTTCCCTGCAGCCTCAGTCGGCTCCCGCAAGGCTGGGGGTGGAGTGCTGTGGCCTCACCCAGCCTCTGCCCTCAGAGTGTGCTCACCCCGCGTCCTGCTGTGTCCATCATGCGGGCAGTCCTCGGGGTGGAGCGTGTGCCCGGAGCAGCCCCGTGGCAGGCAGTGGCTCTCGGCTGTCGTGGATCGACAGGACTGAAGCCGCTCGGCCCAGGGCCCGCGCTGGCAGCCGACCTGGTGCTGACCCCGTGCTGGTGGGAGGGAGCGCGGCGGAGGGTCCCATGCTTCGCCTCAGCCGGGGCTCCTGGGGCCTCCCGGCCCGCTAGTGCACGGCCCCCGCCCTGGGCCCTGGTCTCCCCCGGTCTGTGGGGCGCAGAGCACGGCGGCTCCGCTCCGGGGAAGCGAGTGACTGCAGGTGCGGTTACCTCTCCTGGCGAACATCTTTTCATTCGCTGACAGTTATTGTGAACAAGTGAAATAAAACTGTTAATCAGTCAAACAAATGTTGCTTAGTTTACCTGTTCGGTATCTGTATATTGGAAAATTGTATGTTTTTGTATAAGTCCTGTCGTAGCCAAATAATTGGATCTCCTAATTCTAGAATTATAGGCTATATTCACTTTAATGCTATTGTGTTGAAATGTGAACCATTATAACCACCCACTTCAGAGTAAAGATTGCTTTAAGGTAAATCTCTGCTCCCTCAATCTAAATTATACCTCTGGTTTAGTTGGACTTTAACATACATTTTGCGATTTTGAAACTGGCATCATCTTTTAACAAATAAATTTGGAAGAACTACTCAGCACGTGGGAATTATTTGCTGGCTTCAGAAAAGTAACTCGACGATAAATTCAGCAGGAAGACCTCTGGGCTTGGGGTCAAGTAGTAGCTGGCAGAAGTGTTGCTTCGTCTTCCAGAAGTGGGCCCCATGGCGGGCCCGTGGGTGGGCGGTGGCCGGCCAGAGGCCGAGCGGGCGTCGTCATCTCCCTGTTCTCTGCAGAGGCGTTCGATGTCTTCCTGAAAGCGGAGAAGCAGAACGTCGTGCTGAGCAGTGACGCCTACAGTCGCCTCCTGAACCTGCTCCTGTCCAGAGACGGTGGCCTGGAGCAGGCCCTGCAGGTGAAGAAGGCGTAAGTGCCCGGCCCCCGCCATGCCCGCCCTCTGCTCTGCTGCCCGACTGCCCACAGGGAGCATCGCAGCTTGTTGCCGACCCGGCCTTCCCAGCCTTCTCTCCTTCCCGGACTTCCCGCTTTCCTGGCCCTTCTTCACCTGTGTGGGTTCTCCTGGTGTTGTCTTGCTATTGTCCATGACGTCTGAATCTTTTTTTTTTTTAATCTTTTTGGGTCACCCAGCAATGCTCAGGGCTTCCTCCTGGCTCTGCACTCAGGAATCACTCCTGATGGTGCTTGAGGGACTATCCGGGATGCTGGGGATTGAACCCGGGTCGGCCACATGCAAGGCAAAAGCCCTGTCTCTCAGGCCTCCGACGGGATCTCTTTTCAAAGTGACTTTTCGTTGCATTCTTCTTGCTGAACTCTTGAGACCATTTTGCGGCGGACACAGTAGACTCGTAGACTTGGATGGTCCGGCTGCCCTGTGGGCCTGTGCCTGCCTGTGTGCACACTCGCCTCCTCCGCCCCTGCTCCTGGACTCCAGCGGAGTCATGGTCAAAGGCTTTGCACGCATGGTGACCAGAGTGAACCGAGTCCAGGAGGGTCTGGAGGGGAGGTGCTTCCGCCTGCTCCCTCAGGCCATGTGTGCCCCGTGTACCACTGTCCTGTCTCTGGCCACGGCCGCCTTAGACATAGATGCTGCCTGTGGGGTGGCGCGGGGCACTCCCGCCCCCAGCTCCAGAGTGCCCCATTGGCCACATGTCCTGAGTGACCTCTGCTGCCTGGACTCAGGGTCTCACGGAAACCAGCGTTCAGTCTGAGGCCCGTGGACGAGCTCCTGCCTGCCTCTCGAGAGTGTCGGGCCCTGGTGTTGGCGAGGCCCGGCTGCTGGCGGGGCTGGGGGCAGCTGTGACATGTAGCCTGCGACTCAGCTCCCGTCTCTGAGACGTGGCACTTGCTGTTTCCGGACGCTGCTGAGCGGGTGGCAGGCGTCTTTGGTCAGTGGCGTGAGTCTGGTCACCGACGGGCCCATGTAACCTGTCAGTGTGGCACTGCCGGGCTCCGCTCCGGTCTGTGGTGGGTGGGACTTGGTCCCTAGACCCTGGTCCTGGGCGAAGACTTCCATGTTGGCCGTTGGTGGTGCCTAACGGGGTCACTCCCTGTCTCGCTGAATGCTTCCAGCCGTCCGGCAGAAAGCTCAGTAAATGCACTCTCTGGAATTCCGTGCTGCCTGCCCAGGGCTGCTGACCAGCCCAGGTGACCCTGGGGCGCGTCCAGGAAGCGCATCAGCCGTCTCCTTCCCTGCACGGCCGAGGCCGGGCGCCACGAGATGGTGGTGGCAGGAAGGAGGGCTCGCCTGTGCTGGGCGGTGCATCTGTGCTTCAGTCACTGTCCTGGCGCCCCGTGACATCGATGGTTGAGGGAGTAGTTCCAAGTGGGCACGAGAAGGGCGTGGGTGCAGAGAGGAGCACAGGGGATACTCGTGCTGGGCTTGTGGGCGTCAGAAGCAGGAAGCAACCCGGGGAAGGGCAGGAGTGGCCGCCCGCCGAGGGGTCTCTGGGCCTTGTCTCAGGGATCGACGCTCCTGGCAGTGCGTCCCGAAGGGCAGGCGACACGGGCCAGTCGGGCCGGCCCACGCCTGCATCAGCCCCTGGGAGATTGAGTGGCCGGGGCCTTGGTCTGGGTGTGTCCGTGGTGAGCAGAGCCTGAATTTTCCTCGAGTTTTAAAAAGTTGGGGGTTTTGTTTCAGACTTAACACTGGGACAAGATTTTTTATTTTAATGTAACAACGGTTTTAGTTTGCCGGTTGGTTCCGCTTTAAAAACCGTATGTATCTAGATGACAGAAATTTGAAAATTAATCAACGAAATGATACGGTGTTAGTTAGCAATATGCTTTAGTTTATATTTAAAATATACAGTGCTGAAAATAAATGTTCATTTCTGTTGCCGAAAGAATAGTTTTACATTTTATAATTATGGTGAGTGCAGGGAAAAGAGGAAAAAGTATCCAGCTTCGGATACAGGAGAACAATGCGGGCACGCAGCTACTTCAGTCATCCCGTGTCAGCGTTCAAGAATCTGAACCGATTGTTTAAAAAAATCTGGTACTTTGTTTCTTTTGTTGCTCATTTCCAACTTTGTCATCTGTCAGAATGCAAAAAAAAATTATCCTTCTATAACCATTGACAGGATAACACAAAAGCTGTCTCCAGGTCGATATTTTGCAGCAATATTTTTAACATACGAACAGTAGTTTTTATAATTTCACCTTGGTGCTCAACCGTTCATTATCATATCAGAAGCATGTCAGTAATCCCTTTCTAAATGTCTGCTTCTTTCAGTGCCGAGACCCACATCAAGGGCTTCACACTGAACGAGGCTGCCAACAGCCTCCTCATCATCGCGCAAGTTAGGCGGGATTATTTGAAAGGTATGTCACAATGCTTGACCTTTACGTCACATTAATGCCTCTGCAGATTTTTCTTGTAACGCCCTTCGAATACTTGGATAAAGGAGTCCATTTAGCAAATTACCTGCTTATCAAGAGCCTTTTGTGGGAGCTGAGAGACGTAAATTACTGTACATGCATTTATAATACAGCTTGAATATGAATGTACTTGTCACCTGACCACTTAGTCCAGTTTCCATTCCATTTAACACAAGATGGGTTTTCTTAGGATGAATCACAGCTCTTCAGACATGCAAAATTTGTGTTCTAGAACGAGAGAAAGTACAGGCTTTCAAGTGCGTTAAAATTCACAGCACAAGTCATTTTGCTGTGGAAATTAACATACTTTAGAGCATCTGAAACAATTCCCAGCAGTTGTTTCCTGAATATTGTGTTGGTTGTGTGTGAGATAGCAAATGAGTTAAATTGGGTGTTAAATGTGTGGGATTGTGCACCGAATGATTATAATATTGATTTTTAAAACTTAATCTAATACTTTTTTAATAGTTCATAATACCAACAGCAGTAAGCTGCCATGTTTGTTTGGATTTAGGGTTTCTACGTTAATATTAAGAGGCTCTGGGCGGGCGCGCCCCGGGGAGCACCGGAGAGGTGTGTGCGGCCGGTCTGACGGCGTCCCTTGGCGGCACAGTGGGGTCTGAGTCTTCTGCAGCGCGGGAGCTCGAGGGGGCTCGGGAGGCTGTGGCCCCCCTGCGTTCAGGGTGCCTGCGCTCCCGCGCCAGGTGGCCGGCGGGGAGCCCACCCCGCATGCTTGCTAGGACTGGGAGTTCACCGTGCGTGCTTGCTGCTGTGCTGCCGGGGCCGGGCCTCTTGGTCGAGATTTACTGACGGGAAGGTTCTAGGTTCTGTTCCTGCTGCGTGCAGAAGTGGCCTTTTAACCCTCCGTGCGCCGGGCCCGAGAGAGCTGAGTCACTCAGACCGGGGCTGATCCCGACCCAGCCAGGTGTGGCCCCCAAAAAGCCATGCCAAGTCCCTCCCCTGTCAGTGAGTTCATTTCCATGACACCATGTTCTGGATGTGGGGGTTCGAAGTAAAATTTTTTTCCTTTTTTTTTTTTTTTAAACTTCAGGGGGTTGGATTTTGGCGTGACTGTGGGCTGAGTCTCACGTCATCCTTCGCCGCCTGTCAGGTGTTGGCGCTCTGGAGGACTCCCGTCTGCTCCCGGAGTTGCGGCTGATGGAGCAGTCTGTGGCCCTGGTGGACACTCAGCGGTGGCCCTTCCTGGGCTTCCCTGTCCCCACCCAGCCAAGACAGGGCCTTTGGGGGTCGCCACTGCTGTCCACGGTCAGCACCTGCCACCCCCCAAGCCAGACTCCCCGGGCCTTCCCAGGGAATCGGATGAGCTTTCTTTTATTTGTTTTACATTTTGAGAAATGAGTGTTAGGAAACAGCGGCCAGAACTTCCAGCCTGCAAACCATCTGGTGGTTTTGCCACTCTTTGAGGGTGATAAGTGGGTGGAAGGTGCATATTTTGAAGTGCTTCTGGTTTGTTTTTGTTTTGGTCACACCCGGTGATGCTCAGGGCTTACTCCTGGCTCTGCACTTAGCAAGCACTCCTAGCGGGACTCAGGGTCCCGTGTGGGATGCCGGGGATCAAACCCGGGTCAGCCACGTGCAAGGCAAGCGCCTGCCTACTGTATCATGACTCTGGCTCATAAATGCCTCAATTTCAAAAACTCTTTTGTAAATTTCCCTAAACTTGTCAACTTCCTTGAAACCAGTCACTAAATCTGATCCCTGAGTAGAACCCATCTCTCCCAGCACTGCTCACGTTCCCCCTGGTCTGAGGAAATCACACACTCAGCCTTGGGCCAGTCGGTCAGAGTTGCTCCCGCTGGAGCGTCTGACAGGCCCTGGTGCCCGTTTTCTGTCCAGAGGCGATGGCGACACTGAAGACGGCCTTCAGCCTGCAGCAGGTGCCCTCGCGCCTGGCGCTGACGCGCCTCATCCAGGCATGTGCCCTGAAGGGGGACCTCGGAAGCCTCCGGGAGATCCAGAAGCTGGTCACGGGGCTGGAGGACTCCATCGGCCTCTCGCACATGGTCTTCATCAATAACGTCGCCTTGGCACAGATAAAGAAGTGAGTCTCTCCACGCGTCTTAGCGTTCGTTTCATGCTTTGGACAGGAAGCGCGGTGGGACGGGGAGCCTTGCACCTCTGCTGGGGCTCCCGTCTCCCTCTGCCCTGCTGGTGCCGGGAGGAGTAGAACTGGCCGACCTCGGGGCGACGGAGCACGCTGGCCTGCAGCAGAGGCTCCTCCAAGCCCCGTCAGGAGTAAGCCCGAGCCCTAGGAAAGGACCTTAATAAAGCCGCAGGCATCTTTGAGAACCCAAGCGGCTGGACGTTGGTCTCAGCTGTGCGCTGTGCTCAGTTCTGGATTGGAAAGGCGAAGTTCCCATGTCCAAGTGGCTGGAAACGCCGTCTCAGGTTGCCCCCGACAGGCCCCGGTGACCTGGGCCCCCCCCCCCCCCCCCCACACACACACACACGCGCTTCCTGCCTCCTGCCCTGTGCCTCGCGGCTCCTGCAGAGCACTTGACGGAGTGGGTTTTCCCTTTCCCCAGAGTCTGTGTGTGTGAGGAGCAGCGCTAAGCTCGGCTGTGGGGTTGGCGGGAGAGACTCCTGCGCTCACACGCCTCCTTCCTTCACAGCAACGAGGTAGATGCCGCCGTGGAGAGCATCGAGGGCATGCTGACATCGGGGGACCCCGCCATGGAGCCCCAGTTCTTTGGCCTGTCCTACTTGTTCCGAAAATTGATCGAGGAGCAGTTGGAACCAGCCTTGGAGCGAAGTGCGTTGTCCGGGACAGGGAGGGCGGCGACCGCGCGTGGACGGGCTGCGCATGTCTGAGGGGGCTCTCGCCTGTCTTCCCCAGTGAGCATCATGGCGGAGAGACTGGCCAATCAGTTTGCAGTGTACAAGCCGGTCACTGACCTGTTCCTGCAGCTCGTGGAGTCGGGCAAGGTGGACGCGGCCAGGGCGCTCCTCCAGGTAAGGGCCGGCAGCCAGGGTGTCGCCGTGCAGCACGGTGGGTGGGCAGGCCCAGCTTCTCCCTGGACACTGGAGGGCCTCTGGCCTGGCTGAGGCTTCCTGAGAGCTGGACCCGTTTGTGTGCGCCCGTGTCCAGCTGGGGCCGTGCCTCGAGGGACCACGGAGGTCGCTTGTTTCCACTTCCCTGCGGGCGGGGGGGAGGGGGGATGTGCCTGCGGCCCGCCGGGCTCCATCACGGCTGAGGTCTCTCTGGTGGGGGCAGCTCCTGGGCTCCCGCCCCGTTCTCAGGGTTCGGGGGGCGGGGGACACTGCAGGGTCTGTCCTGGGCGCGCCACACGGCCGCAGCCTCTCCCAGTCGCTCGCTGCCTGCCACGCGGGAGGCACGAGTCTTGCTGTTGCAAACATGCTTGATTCATGACATCGAGAACATCAGCTTCTAGCGTAAATGTTCCGTGTGTCCCCAAAGTTCCTTTCCACGATTCCTTTCAGTATTGACAGTGTTTGAAGCCCCGAGAGCGCGGTGTGCTTTCAGAGACTCGCGAGAGTGACATCTGTGGTGATGGGAACTAAAATATTGTCTTGCCATCTTGGGTTTGACTATAGCGTCTGAGATTGGACAGACACTCGATTCATCTGGTCTGTCATAGAAACTTTTTTTCTGAGTTTAACTTTTGTCTCTTTCTCAAGCACTGGCTGTCTGCTGCAGTGAAAGCCTTTTATAAAATAGAGAGATAGAAATCAGTCCTTTTGTATGCGCGCGTGTAGGTAATTATACTTTAAAGAGAACTTGCTTTGTACATTTTAATTTTTATAAAGAAACGAGCAGTTATCTCCCTGACACCTTATTAAATGTATAATTAACCTTATGATCCTGGGCTCACTTGTGAATCTTGGCAGTATAATTGGGGGAATCGCGCTCCTGTCCCCCTTCCGTGCAGCCCTCGCCCTCGCTTGGCAGTGCTGAAGCCTGGGGTTCCCCTTTTCCTTTCTGCACGGACTCGGGGCGCGCAGTGCTGAGGGAGCCCCGGGCTGTGCCGCTGTGGCCGCAGGGGCCCCTCCTGACCAGACTGTCCTTGGCAGAGGTGCGGGGCGATCGCCGAGCAGACGTCCATCATCTCCGTGTTCTGTGTGAGGATGTCGCAGAGGCGGGGGAAGGTAGGTGCCCGGGGCAGGTGGGGGCTGTCGTAGGGGAGGGCTTGGGCGGCCCCGGGGTGGGCCTGGGGTCCTGCCGGTGCGCTGCTCGCCACTGGGTTTGGCCCCAGGGTCCCCCCACTCTTCCAGGAGCAGTGGTGCTGGTCTGAGGCACGCCCTGCTGCACCGAGGTCCGAAGGGACACTTGACTGCAGGAGGGCTGCAGTTGGTGGGCCGGTGGGCTCACAGGCCCCGACGCCCCGTTCCAGGCTGGCCGCGCTCTGCGTGTGAGGGCCGCCTGTCAGAGCTGGGCGGTCTTGGCATCGCCCGCCAAACCCGGAGGTGGTTTCCTGCTCCAAACCCGACTCCACAGCCTCCACCTGCACTGTCGTCCACACACGCATGCCGTCACCCCCAGATCCCCGCACACACACCGTTGGCCCAAACCTCCCCCCATGCGCACGCGCGCTGTTTCTCTGAATCCCCGCACCCTCCACACAACATGGGTTGTCCCCCTGCTCCCTACTCAGACGTGCTGGACTAGTGTTGGTGCGCCATGATTGTGCCTGTTCACAACTTCTAGACAGTGGGGGGCACCCCCGCCCCCGCCCCCCTCCCCCCCCGGACTGTCAGGTGCTTGTGGCCAGAAGGCGCTGCCCTGCCAGCTCTGCCGACCTTCCTGCCTGTTGAGGGCCGGCAGGTGCCACGAGCTCCCTGGTGTCAGGTGGGGTGGGCGCACTCGCCAAGCGGCTGGCTGGGTTCTTGGCACCGCGTGCCCGTGTCTGGCAGAGGCATGACAGGCTTTTGCTTCTTCCTATGAGGCAGAGCTGGGGCCCGGCCCTCACGGCACAGGGAGCAGGTGGTGGGTCCACCCGGGACCTCAGTTGCTTGTTCGCGAGAGGAAGTGGGACCCTCCTGGGCCGATACCCCTGGAGCTCAGGGCACCCATGTGCTCTGGTGCCGGGCATCCCCGTCACGCTGGCGCCCCTGGAGGCAGCTGTGTGCCCTCCCCTTCCTGTGCCGTTTCTAAATGCCTGTGCTCCTTCCCCAGGCACCAGCTCTGAAGTCCCTGTCGGAATTGATTCCTGAGTTAATGGACGCAGAGGAAGTGTACACGTCCTTCATGAAGAGCTACGGTACTCGTGTGGTGGAGGGAGGGGCCAAGCAGCTGGACAGCAGCACCACTGATGAGGGAGGGGGCGCAGGGCGGCTCACTGGGCTCCCTGGGGGGCAGGGTACGGGGTGGGGCGGTGCAGTCAGGCCGAGGGGATGCCCCACCCGGCCCCTGCTGCCCACGGGCGGGAGCTGGAGCGCGCACTTGGCCCGAAGAGGCCTGGGTCCCGCCCTGGGCTCCTGTCCCACTTGGGCTGGGAAGGAGAGGGAGCTTCCAGCAGTTTCCACAGGCGACTCGGGGCCTGGCAGTCGCCCCTCCTCCCGGGAGAGCAGAGCTGGGCCCCGAGGGTCCAGCCCGAGCCTGTGGTCCCGGGGCTCCCGTCTAGCTGATCACTCTCCCCTCAGCCCTGGACGGGGACGGCGCAGCCGCGAAAGCCCTCTACGAGCGCCTGACGGCCAGGAACAAGCCCCTGAACCAGCTGTCCCTGAAGCGCTACGCGGTCCTGCTGCGAAGCCTGGGCGAGCCCGTCCCCTTCCCGGAGCCCCCGGTGAGTGGCCCTCCCGCCCGACCTGCCCAGGGACGGGGCAGCTCGTGTGCCCACCGCCCGCACGCTGACCTGTGCGTCTCCACAGGAGAGCTTCGAGTTCTACGCGAAGCAGCTTCGGGAGTCAAAGGAAGCCCCGTGACCTGCCGCCGCCCGTCTGTCTGTCCGTGATCTCGTGTGTGCAATGTCGCTTTCTCTGTGCAAGAGGTGGAATAAACCCCCAGGAGGACTTTTGTGTACCAGCTCGTCCTTACTGGGCGGCCGGCCAGGCCCAGCCTGCGTGTGTGTGGCGAGGCAGGGGGAGGCGTGCCGAGGCTGCCGCGCCACCACCTGCGCCAGCCTGTCCCTGACAGACTGTGCCATCGGTCCTCTGGGCCTGAGCACCAACGGCAGAGGCGCTGCGTCCCGGGCACCTGAGGTGGGCCTGGTGGGGTGGGGCTCCCAGGCCTCCCACTGCCCCACGCCGCTGTGTGAGGAGACGAGCCCCATCCGAAGCCACGCCAGGCCTGCTGCTGCCCCTGAGAAGCTGCCCCGCCCTCAGGCTCCTCCTGGCTCTCTGGGGGGTTGGGGGGCAGCAGGGGCGCCTTGACTCGCCCTCGGCCTGCAGCCACCGACACAGTCCCTCCTCCCTGGTGCTGCACTGTCCAGGGACCCCAGTGAGCCGGGAGGACTGTGTCCTCGGGAGGTTCTGCCCTTGGACGCCCAGACTGGTGTGCCTGTGGGGCTGAGCGGGAGATGAGAGCGGCCACCCCCAGGCCAGTGGCTCCGGGACACGCCCTGCCCGCGCGGTGCAGGTGCCAAGAGCGAGCCCGGCACCCTAGGACTAGGCTGGCCCGTGGGGGCTCGCCGGGCAGACCCTGGTGTTCTCTTTGAGGCTCTGGGCATGCCAAGGCAGAGGGCCGCCAGGCAGCCATGGCTGAGCCGATTTTTATTTGGTGATGCCCCCCACCTCCCAGGGACCCTGTGATGGGCTTCAGCGGGTGCCTCCTACCATGTGCTCTGCCATCTGCCCACCACGTTCACCAGAAGCAAGAGGACCTGTGTTGAGGCAGGTCCCCGAGGCCCTTCGGAAAGAATGTCTCTGGGTGTCCACGCGGTGAGCACCAGAAGGAGCCTCCGGGCCCTGCACCCACTCTGGGAGGTGCGGCTCCCTCAAGTGTCCAGGGTCCCCAGGAGCTAGTGGAGTTACTGGGTCATTTTCTGCCCGGTTTAGGGACCCCCACTGGTAGTGGAACGTGAAAGGCTGAGTGCGTGTTATCCTGAAGTGGCCACTGGGTCAGCAGCCCGCGGCTAAGTGCAGGGCCCTGGGGGAGGCTGTGAGAAGCTTGTGGAGGAGTGGAGCCCTGCGTGGGCAGGCAGGACATTGAGTCCCACAAACACGTCACTGACCACCAGGCCTGGGGACGAGTTTCTCGCCAGTGCCGCAGCTGCAAGCCAGAAAGGAAGGAGAGTAGCAAGTCTTGACTGCAGGTGGGGCCCCGGGCACGCAAGGGTGAGTTGAGGTGTGTGCACAGACGCAGGGGTGAGCCCAGGCGTGTACACGGACATGCAGTGCACGCGGGGCTGAGCTGAGGCATGTGCACAGACACGCAAGGGTGAGCACAGGTGTGTGCAGGGTCATGAACACGCAGGGTTGCGAACTCTGGTGTTTGCAGACACACACAGTCGTGAGCTCGTGCGTGTGCACATTTGCACACACGGGTGTTCCCACCTGTCCAAGCACAGCTGTACACGTACCCACACACATCTGCATATCCAGAGATCCAGCTATACCTGTGTGTGTGCATAGGTGCACGTGTGATCTAGAGACTGCGTTAGAGAGCTATGTGTCGCACACAATCTACACATACCTGGGTGCATTCTGTATGTACACGCTGTATGTAAATGTATGCAAATGAACAGGCACGCGTACACACGTCGATGCTTCTGAGTCGGCCAGAAGCAGTGAGCACCTTGTCCTCGGACCGTGGCTTCTAAATGCCACGTTCCACAAAAGTTGGAGGTTGTTTGGGATTGTGGCTGGTCCGGGCCGTGCGTGGCTGTGTGGCTGGCACTCGGGTCTCTGTGCTGGCTCCCAGGCCTGGCAGTGTTCTCTGCCTCCGTCCATGGACGCTGGAAGGCCAAAGCTCTCGAGAAGTGTCCAGCTTGGGGTCAGGCCTGAGGTGTGTCCACCGGGTTGGGAAGTGGAGAGACGTGGCCTGTGGCCACACAGCACGTCTGCACACAGGCTGTTTTCACACCCCTCAGACTGCACCGACTCACTGGACACCGCCGGCCAGCACCATGGGCCACGTGCTCCCAGGCGGGGAAAGAGCCCGAGTCCAGGCCTCCGGAACCCGCAAGAGAAGTGGGGTCAGCCTGTGGGGCATCTGCCTGCCACCCCGGGTCCAGCTCTGCCCAGCTCTGCTGGCTCTGGCCAGTGTTCTCCCAGCTGGACCAGTGGCGTCGCTGTCCCTGGCCAGGCCTCACCCCAGGCGCCCAGACCTGTGGGGGTGGGGCTGGGTGGTCTCGGGCTGCACCCCAGAGAGCAGGGAGGCATCTCCGAGTGGCGAGTCTTGTGTCTTGAGCTGAGCTGTCGCTGTCGGGGCTGTCCGGGGGCGGCCCCCCAAGCAGCCGGTCCCAGGGTCCCTCCACTGCTGGCGCTCTGCTGCCCCCCTGTGGCTGGCCGCGCCGTCACCAGTCCTGGCTCGGCGTCTGCTTGACGCAGCGCAGGGCCACATAGTAGAGGCCCAGGAAGGCGGTGGTGAGGGCCAGCAGCGTGAGGAAGGCGACGAAGAGGGGGTGGGTGTCCAGGCCCATGGAGCTCAGGACCTGCGGGGGTGCAGCGTGAGGCCAGCTCGGATCTGGGGCAGCGGCGGGGCAGCGGGGTAGGCGGGCACTCACCCAGTCCCCGGGGATGGAGACCGTGCCGTCCCCCAGGTGCAGGGGGACGGTCTGGCCCGTGAAGTGGATCTGCATCAGCCCTTGGAAGCACCAGCGCAGGAAGGACACGTAGGAGACCCACGCGGGCACTGTGGGGGCAGGACACGTCTGAGGGCGCTGCGGGAGGGAGGGGACACCCTGGCCGCTCCCAGGCCCCCCGCGGCCGACCGGGCGGCCCCCACCTGTCCACAGGTTGCCGAGCTGGATCATGAAGCCGCCGGTGAGGTAGAAGGAGTTGTAGAGCGCGTTGCCGCAGAAGGAGGACAGGTGCAGCGTGGGCAGCAGCGCGGCCGTGGCCAGCGCCATGGCGCGGCAGCACAGCAGCACGAGGCCGAGGAGCAGCAGGTGCAGCAGGAAGGGCTGCGGGGCCGGGCGCAGGTTGGCCAGCCAGTAGGTGGGCAGCCCGTAGACCAGGATGTAGGCGGCGTACAGGGGCAGCTCCCCCAGGACCTGCGAGGCCGCCCCTCTGTGACGCCTGCTCGGCGGCCCTCCCGAGGACCCCCAGGCTGGCTCCGAGGCGTGGGCGTGGGCATGGCCGGCTGGCGCTGCCCAGTGAGGGCCCCGGGGCTTCCTCCACCCTCCCGCCCGTCACCTTGGCGAAGAAGTAGGGGCCTGCCGTGTAGAGTCCGTCCTCCAGCTCCGAGAACAGCATGGGCCTCTCGGCGTGGCCTGTGGGAGAGGGGCAGGGAGGAGCGTGGCCCCGAAGGCACAGCCCGGCCCGCGGTCATGGGGGCGGGGGGGGCGGGGGCTCACTTTTGGCGATGACGTCCAGGATGATGTTGAAGGGGACCAGCGCGCCCACCATGAACAGGAGAGCTGCCGTGTCCCGGAAGGAGAGCGGGCGCGGCCCGTGGCCATAGTACAGGAAGCCGATGACCAGGGCCATGAGCGAGGCCTCGGCCCCCAGCACCAGGAGACCCGGCAGGTCGCGGAAGTCGTTGGCGATCTGGCGGCTGGAGGCCAGCCGGGCGGGGGTGGGAGGGTGGGGGGTGGCAGGGCCATGAGACTCGGCCCAGCCCTGCAGGGGAGCCTTCTAGAAGGCACAGTGCACGCAGGGGCCCAGGGCGCGGGGGCAGGCAGCTGTGGTGGGGCCATGTGTGTCGCCGGCACCCTACCGTTCCCCCCGACCCCCGGCCTCAGGCAGCGAGTGTGTCACTGAATGTCGTGCAGTAATAAGCGAGGCTCCTGATAACACCCCAAAAACCAAAAATATTGGGGCCCACGCCCGTGTGTCCCCCAACGTGGGGCCCGCGTGCCCCCTCCCAGGACCCTGCACCCCCTTACCGGATCAACACGCTGAACTGCTGTCCCCAGCCGGGCAGTGCCGGGGGTTTGGCCGGCGGGCTGGGGTCCCCTGCAGGCGCCAGGCTGTGGGAGGTCCGGTGTCAGGGGCATCCCTGGGGGTTCCCCCTCCCCCGCCCACACCTGCCGTCTCACCTGTTGGCACGTGGGGCTGTGCTGGGCGCCCACAGCCAGTCCTCGCAGCCACGCACGCTCTCCCGGAACTGGGCTGCCAGCACCCGTGCCCGCTCTCTGCTGGCCGCCTCCCGCTCTGGGCTCCTCCGGTCGATGGCCGTCAGGTCCACTGCACAGAGGCCATGCCGCCCACTCATGGCCCGCACAGAGCAGGCCCCCCATGTGCCCAGATGGGGCCCCCCGTCTTCCCCGGGGGCCGCAGACCCTCCCCTCACGGGCAGTCTGGTCAACTTTCGAACGAAGATGAACTTCGGGTGGGTGTGGCGTGACCTGGGGTAACCCTGGCGGAGTCACTGCGGTTCACACAGGGCCAGGTTGGCAGGTGCCCTCTGACCCCAAGTCCAGGGCACCGACTGCTGGCAAGGCAGCCCCTAGCAGGTCCTTCCCTGGGCGGGATCTGAGGGGTTCAGCCGTCGGGGTGGGGCGGCCGTGGCCGTGTCCTGCACCCGCCCACCGAGCCCGCACCCGGAGCCACGCCCAGCCCTCTGGGCCCCTTGGCTCACCGTAGAAGTCTGCGGGGTTGCAGTAGCGGGGACAGGGCTGGCCGGCGGCCGTGAAGTAGCTGACCATGTGCTGGGCGGCGCCCAGGTAGACGGGGGCCCCGCCAGCCAGCAGCAGGACCAGGTCGAAGAGGTGGAAGATGTCGGAGCGCGGCTGGTGCAGGGCCGTGAGCACGAGCCGGTTGCCCTGGGCCAGCCTGGCCAGCGTGCACACCAGGTTGTGGGCCGTGAAGCTGTCCAGCCCCGACGTGGGCTCGTCCAGAACCAGGATGCCTGGCCGGAGAGGGGACAGTGAGGCCCCGTGGCTCCTGGGCGTGGGCAACTCCACCCCTCCCGCCTCACCTGGGTTCCACAGCAGCTGGACGCCAATGCTGACCCGGCGCCGCTCGCCCCCCGACACCCCGCGGACGTAGGCGTTGCCCACGCGTGTGTCGGCGCACTGCCGCAGCCGCAGCTCCGCGATCACCGCATCCACCTAGGGGACCCCGACTTCAGAGGCCCTGCCCGGGCTCACCCCGACAGTGTGCCCCAGAGTCGTGTGAACACCCCCTCCTGGGGACCTGAGGGCCGTGGCCCCTTCCTGGAGCCACGCTTTGTTCTGGCTTCCATAAGCCCCGCTGGCTGTGCATATGCCCTCAGCAGCGGCCTGGTCAGGGACGTGGCGTGGGTCGGGGACGTGGTGTGGGCCGGGGACGTGGCGAGGGTGGGGGATGTGGTGTGGGTCAGGGATGTTGTGAGGTCAGGGACATGGTGTGGGTTGGGGCTGTGGCGTGGGCATTGTATGGATTGGGGATGTGGCGTGGGTTGGGGATGTGACATGGGTCGGGGATGTGGTGGGGTCAGGGACTTGGTGTGGGTCAGGGATGTTACAGCGTTGGGGACATGGCGTGGGTCAGATGTAGTGTGGGTCAGGGATGTGGCATGGGTCGGGGACGTGGCGTGGGTTGGGGATGTGACATGGGTCCGGGATGTGGTGGGGTCAGGGACTTGGCGTGGGTCGGGGACGTGGTGTGGGTCCGGGATGTGGCGTGGGTCAGGGATGTGGCGTGGGTCAGGGATGTAGCGTGGGCTGGGGCGTGGCACGGCTACTCAACTGGGCTCTCCCACCTAGGACCAGGGCCGAGTGGCCCTGTGGACGGCCCTGCCATGTGGCCTCTCCCCGAGTGGCCTCTCCCCAGAGGGCTGTGCCTGTGGGCTCGGGGTCACTCACCCTCTCGTCTCGCTGGGCCTGTGAGAAGTTCCTGGGCAGGCGCAGCTGGGCCACGAACGCCAGGGTCTCCCGGACGGTGAGGTGGGGGAGCAGCTGGTCATGCTGCCGCACGTGGGCCACACTCTTCCGCACCCGCTGGGGGGTGCTGGGGCGCCCGTTGATCCACACCTGGCCCGACTGAGCCCGGGCGCTGGGTGCGCGCCCCATGAGAACATCCAGCAGGGAGGCCCGGCCGCAGTCTGCAAAGGGGCCCGGTTCACACCCCTGCGGGCCCGGAGGTGACCCCACTCCCCACACCCCCGTGTCGTCCCCTTAACGTGGGGTCAGCTGCCGCGGGGCTGAGAAGCCCCTCCCTCTGGAGGCAGGAAGAGCTGCGGGAAGGGGCTCGTCCTCGTCACCAGGAGTGACCCCCAATACCTCCTGGTAATGCCCCAGGAGAGGCCCCTTCCTGTCTCTGCGTGTCCGTCTGTCTGTGCCCTGCTCTGGGGGCTCATCCCCACCCTTGGCTCCCCTCGTGTCTCTGATCAGCCCCCAGGGATCTGTTCCCCGAGGAAGCCCCCCGTGTCCCCGGGGTCTGCGAGAGGCACGTGGGGACACTGGCAATGATTAACAAGGACCCAGCCCCGCTCTGATGTGGCAAGATCAAAGTTCCTGTCGCCGCGCCTGGGCCGGAGGTGTCCTGTGTCCCGTGAGGGGGTGGAGGACAGGAGGACATGGGCACCCGGAGTGGGGACCCAGGCTGAGCTACTCTGGGTGCCCCCTGCCTCGTGGGGACTGAGCCCAGAACTGCCCCTCTCAGGATCACCCTCCCACCAGGAAGCCTTCCCAGAGCTTCTGTGCAGTGCCTGGGCCCTGGGATGGGCCCTCGGGAACTGCACCTAAAACGTGATGTCGGCTGAGCCCTGTACATGTGCCTCTGGGAACACACAGATCCAACCTGTGACCCAGGAAAACAGTCCCCAGGGCCTGCCCCGGGACTGTGGCCCCCACCTCAGGCCCTCACCCGTGTCCCCAATGACAGCCAGCATCTGTCCACTGCGCGCCTTGAAGCTCAGGTCCTCCAGGCCAGGACTTCCGGCCGCCCTGGTGCGTCTCCAGGGCAGCTTGAACTGAGCCAGTTGCTCGAACCAGGGTGCTTGCGAGGCAGGGTCCACCTGCGGGCAGGTCGCGGGGAGCAGAGCTTCAGGCTGAGCTGGTAGCAGCCCCCGAGCAGGGGGGGCCATGGCTGCGCCCGCCCGCAGAAAGCTCAGGGTCCCCGTCAGGCACCACGGGGTGCAGAGTGCGGCCCTGCCAACCTGAGTCTGCCCTGGCGCTGGGATGAACGCGGCAGGTGGTGACCACAGAATGTTCTGGGACAGGAGAGGGAGAGGGGGCCTGGTGTGGGATGGCAGGGAGGACAGGGCAGGGGGTGACCACAGGGAGAAGGGGAAGGGAGGAGAGGGGAGGAGGCGGGGGGGGGAGAGAAGGGGGAGGAGGGGGAGGGGAGGCGGGATTCTGCTCCGAGGTCATGTCACTGCTCCCGTCTATCTCTGCCCACAGCGTGGGGGCCTCTGGGGGTCTCGCCCTACATGCTTCGCAGGTGTCAGAGCTCACATTCCCTGCAGGTCCCCTCAGCTGACACGTGGGCTTAGCACCCCATCGGGGGCCCCTACCTGGTAGCTGAGGTTGCGGACCTCCAGGGTGTTTGGGGGGCCGCTGTAGGTGAAGTACAGGCAGTGGTCGGTCTCGCGGGAGAAGACGCTCTCCTGGGGGAGATGCCGCAGGCCCGTGACTCAGGACAGAGGAGACTGGGGGGGCGGGGGGGGGGACCGGAGAGCTGGGGGCTGAGAGCACCAGGCAGATGTGCCGGAACTGGTGGGAGAGGGGCTTGGGCAGGAGGGGCCCAGACTCTGCCCTCGCCAAGTTTGGGGGTCCACTGTGGCAAAGCTGGTTCGTTGGTACAGGAACCCCTTCAGTGCCACCCTGGGTGGGGCATCCCTGCCTCACAGCTCACAGCCCACAGACCACGGCTCCTGACCACAGACCACAGACCACAGATGGCTCATGACCACAGTCCATAGACCACGACTCATGGCCACAGCCAACAGACCACGGCTCCTGACCACAGACCACAGACCATGGCTCATGGCCACAGTCCACAGACCACAGACCACAGACCACGGCTTCTGACCACAGATCACAGACCACAGCTCATGACCACAGACCACGGCTCATGGCCATAGCCCACAACCCACAGACGACCACAGACCATGGCTCATGACCACAACCTACAACCCACAACCCACGGACCACGGACCACGACCCACGGACCACAGCCCATGGGCCACAGCCCACAGCCCACGGCTCATGGTCACAGCCCACGGCACATACCCAGGTCCTCATGGCCGTTGCCCCCTCTTTGCTGCCCTGCAACGGTGGGGCCAGGGGCCTCGTGCAGGGCTGCAGTTGACCTGCCTAGCGGGAGAGGGCGGGGCCCGCCAGACGCCCACTGTCCAGGAAAGTGAGTCCCTTGCAGGCCCCTGGCTGCCTCTTCCCCTTGGTCCCGGCAGGAGGGTCCCGGCCGGCAGGGACTGGGGGCGGGGGGGCCCTGGGGGTGCAGAGGGCTGTGGGGCAGGACTCAGGCCGGGTCGCCTCTAAACTGGCCTGTGGGGATAGTTCCACAGCCTGGCCCTTTGTGAGGTCCCTCTGCCCTCCCCACTGACCAGGGCCTGGCCGGGGCTCAGCCGTGGACCCCAGCCGGCCGCTGTCAGCTGCTTCACGGACCCCTCGTGACTGCTGGGCTGGCTTGGGGGACCTGGTGGGCCGAGCGGCCATGACCACCATCAGATTCCACGTCGGAGAATGGGGGGCTGAGAGGGCCTGTGCAGCTGCCCCACTTGGGACCCGCCCCTGGCAGCACCTGGACCCGAGCGGGCACCTCATCTGGGGACCTAAGGGTGGGACTGGGCTGTGGGGTGGGGTGACCCAAGACAGTGAGCTGGGGAGAGGCCAGAGAGGACGCTCCCCCACCGCACATGCCCCAGATTCTTTAGTGGCCACTCAGGGAGGGAGCAGGCGGAGACCCCCCCTGCCAGCCTGTTGCCCCCCAGACTCAGAAAGGCCATTGCCAGGGGCCATGCGGCCACCCCCCCACTCCCACAGGGCAGTGCCCAGCTCCAGCCACCTGCCCCCTGCCCGGGAAGGCAGGACCTGCAGCCTCAGACAGGAAGTGACCTCAGAGGCCCCCAGCCCTACCCACTGCACTGCCGGGCGCCCACTCACCGCGGAGTCCTGCGGGTGGGGGTCCTGCTCAGCCATGGCCCTGCACTGGCCCGGTGTGCTGGGGCCCCTCCCGGCTGCTCCCGGCACCTCACGCAGGTTCGGGCTAAAGGTCCATCAGATAAGGCCGAGGGCGTCCGCTCGCCCACAGCGTCCACTGTGCCTCCGGCCGGCCTCTGCAGCCCAGGTCACTCGCCATGGGGGACCTACCCCACCCAGGCCCCTGCGGCCCCCAGCGTGATCCTGAGCGGGTGGCCCCCCAGACCCGCCACAGTCTGAGCGCGCTGCACGTGTCCTACAGCGTCAGGTAAAGGCCCCACCCCGGGCACATGCCCTCGGTCAGGGTGGCCGGGGGTGGGCAGAAGGGACCCTCCTGCCGGTCCCCAGCCAGTACCCAGGACCCTCCCCTACACCCCACGGCTCCCCTGCCTCCAGAACCCCCTGCCCCCAGGACCCCCTGCCCCAGGACCCCCATGACCCCCCGGCCCCCATCACCCTCCCTGCTGGGCTTCCCTGCAGCGCCCCCCCTTGTCCCCATGTCAGCCCGGCTCTAAGCCCTGCCGGGACCGGGGTAGCAGGGGTCTCGTGGGGACGAGTCTCGTGGCCCCGCAGAGCCTGAGGCTCACCCACAGGAGGGGAAAGTCGGGCTCAGCCCTGGGCTTCCTGGCAGACACCGCGTGGGGCCCTGGTGGCACCTGGCATCCTGCCGGCAGCGTCGTGAGCGACAGATTCTCAAGGACGTTTCCCTCTACGTGGAGAGCGGCCAGCTGATGTGTGTGCTGGGGGGCTCAGGTGTGTCCTGGGGGTCTCAAGTATGTCCTGGGGGTCAGGTGTGTCCTGGGGGTCTCAGGTGTGCCCTGGGGGGTCAGGTATACCCTGGGGGGTCAGTTGTGTCCTCAGGGTCTCAAGTGTGTCCTGGGGTCAGGTGTGTCCTGGGGGTCTCAGATGTATCCTGGGGGTCAGGTGTGCCCTGGGGATCAGGTGTGCCCTGGGGATCAGGTGTGCCCTGGGGGGTCAGTTGTGTCCTAGGGGTCTCAGGTGTGTCCTGGGGTCAGGTGAGTCCTGGGGGCCTCAGGTGTGTCCTGGGGATCTCAGTTGTGCCCTGGGGGGTCAGGTGTGCCCTGGGGTCTCAGGTGTGCCCTGGGGGGTCAGGTATACCCTGGGGGGTCAGTTGTGTCCTCAGGGTCTCAAGTGTGTCCTGGGGGTCAGGTGTGTCCTGGGGGTCTCAGATGTGTCCTGGGGGTCAGGTGTGCCCTGGGGGTCAGGTGTGCCCTGGGGGGTCAGGTGTGCCCTGGGGATCAGGTGTGCCCTGGGGGTCAGTTGTGTCCTAGGGGTCTCAGGTGTGTCCTGGGGTCAGGTGAGTCCTGGGGGCCTCAGGTGTGTCCTGGGGGTCAGGTGCGTGTGAGGCCAGTGGTGTCCCCCTTGCTCTAGTTCTCCCCCCCATGAGCACTAGCCATGGCCCCACCCTTTCAGCCTTTGTCTCGGTCCAGGCTTGGGGCTTCCCCACTTGTGTTTGAAGACCCGGACCCCGTGTCTTGTCCCTGTGAGCAGGACCGGGCCTGCCTGGCCAGCTGCTCCGCAGGTCCCCGAGAGCCAGGGCGGAAGCGGGGAGACCCGAGGGGTCGGAGTCTGCCGCTGCCCAGGGAGGCCAGAGAGGCTCCAGAGACCAGAGATGGGCCCTGCAGACGCCGAGCCCGCTCAGGGACCCCCACTCAGGGCCCTCCCGAGTGCCAGCCGGGCTTCCTGGGCTGTGTCCCTGCAGGCTCGGGCAAGACCACCCTGCTGGATGCCGTGTCCGGACGGCTGCACCGACGCTCCGGCTCCTGGGCCGGGCAGGTGCGGGTCAGCGGCTGGGAGCTGCCACGTGCTCAGGTGCGGGACTGCTGCTCCTACGTGCTGCAGGTAGGCCCCGGCCGCGGGACCCGCACAGCCTGGACTGGGCCGGGGACCCCGACCAGGCCCCTGACCAGCCCTGTCCGCAGAGTGACGTGCTGCTGGGTGGCCTGACCGTGCGGGAGACGCTGAGCTTCACGGCGCAGCTGGCTGGCCGCGGGGACCCCACCCGCCCCTTGCACAAGAAGGTGGGTGACCCCTGTCCCCTCGGGCCTAACCCATGGTCTGCAGCTCAGGGCATGAGAAGCTTGGCTCGGGGAAGGTTTGTGAGTCCAGGACATGCCAGGACACGTCCCGCTGTCCCTATGTCTCATGTCCCCATGTCCCCAGGTCCCCAGGTCCCATGTCCCCAGGTCCCATGTCCCCATGTCCCATGTTCCCATGTCCCACTGTCCCCGCTGCCCCTGGCTCAGCTAACCTTGGGCATCTCTGTGGAGCCCAGTGGTCCAGCCCCCCTGCCCCTTGCCCCTGCCTTTGCTAGCAGGAACAGCCGGGCAGCGGGTTCAGGGAGTCCCAGGGGCTGGGCCACACAGCAGGGAGTGGGCAGCTCTGAACCCAGGAGTGTCCACAGTGCCGGCCTAGGGGCAGGCTGGGGACAGCCTTTACTGCTCCCACTCTGCCTGGCTGAGTTTTGTTGCTGGGCTCTTCCTGCTATGGGAGCCGCACCCAGGGGTGCTCAGAACCGACTCCAGACTCGTCCTCAGGGCTCACTCCTGGGGGTGCCGGGGTGGAACCGGGTCACATGGCCCCAAGTGGGTCCCTGAGCTGTAGGCCTGCCCCTCCGGCCTTCCCCAGGTGGAGGCGGTGCTGGCCGAGCTGAGCCTGGGCCATGTGGCGGACCAGCTGGTGGGCAGTCACAGCGCCGGGGGCATCTCCAAGGGTGAGCGGCGCCGAGTGTCCATCGCTGCCCAGCTGCTGCAGGACCCCAGTGAGTGCCCACTCGCGCAGACCCTGCCGCTCGCGGCCCGGCCGGGGTCCTGCACCCGCGAGCGGTGATGGTGTCCCCTGGCAGGGATCATGCTGCTGGACGAGCCCACCACGGGCCTGGACTGCGCCACCGCCAACCACATTGTGTCCCTCCTGGCCGAGCTGGCCCGCAGGGGCCGCGTCGTGGTTCTCACCATCCACCAGCCCCGCTCCGAGCTCTTCCAGGTGAGGGTCCTGCAGCCTGTCGGGCGGGCAGGCGGGGGCGGACCCAGGAGCACACATGAGCCTGACGCAGTGCATGTGTGCATGAACACGCATGCACGTGTGCTAAGAAAATGGGAGTGCACGTAGCACACTGTCCGTAGTGGAGCACGGCGGGGCGTGGGCCAGGGAGCTCCTTGGGCATGCAGAGCCTCGGGTTCCCTGAGGAGTTGTGTGGCAGGCAGGCACAGGGCCCCTGTGAGTGGCCACTGAGGGGCTACAAGGGGCCCCCCACCCCTTCTGCCTTTCACTGCAGAAGCGTCGCAACTTTTATGTCAATTACTTTTTTTTGTTAAAAAAAGGTGACTACTCTGAAGCCTTTATTACTTACAGATCTTATTACTAAACTGTTTTTGGTACAAGACTAGAGGCATGGAACGTTCGGAAAGTACAGTAAAACCGAAGAGTTCCCAAACCGACGACCTCATTTCTTCACAACAGCTCAGCAGCCACTTTTCTGGCCTGACAAAACCAGAAAGGTTGAGGCTGGGGCAGCTTTTCACACGGGAGATGGTTTGTCCCCAACTGCTGGTCCCCTGAGCACCCCCAGGAGTAGGTGGAGAGTCGGGGGTGCTCAGGGGAAGGACGAAGGAGAGGCCAGCAGGGCGGTGGAGCACTGAGCCCAGAGCAGCTTGGGAGCACTGCCCGGGCAGTAGGCCGGCCACCACGGTGATGGCCGACGCCACTCCAGCTCGCAGAAGCGAGGAAAGCGGGCGCGGGGGCTGCCTGTGGGGTCAGAGCCTGGGCAGGGGCCCCCTTCCTCCTGGTCCCTCCCGAGGGAGCGAGAGGAGAGACACGCAGGGCAGCGCCACCCTGCCTGGCCCCGAGGGGAGACCCCGGGCGTGCTTCTGGGCCTGTCCCTGGGCTGCGGGGCGCGTCCTCCCCACGGGCCAGTCAACCCCGTCCACACCGGCCACCTGCCGCCCTCAGCTCTTCGACAAGATCGCCATCATGAGCTGTGGGGAGCTGGTCTTCTGCGGGAGCCCGGGGCAGATGCTGGACTTCTTCAGCACCTGCGGCTACCCATGTCCCGAGCACTCGAACCCCTTCGACTTCTACGGTGAGTCTCGGTCCCTCACGCCTCTCAGCAGCTCTGCCGTCGGTCCTGGGAGGCTGGGGGGCGCCCGGGGCGTGGGGGTGACCGAGTCTCCGGCCAGAGCCCGGAGCCGGCCCCAGGTGCGCACTTAACTCTGCGGTGGCCTGGGGCACCGTGCAGTGGACCTGACGTCGGTGGACACCCAGAGCCAGGAGCGGGAGCTCGAGACCCTCCGGAGGGTGAGCGCCATTGGGCAGGCTTACCGCGCCTCTGCCGCATACCAGCAGACCTTGGCGAGCATCGAGGGCGCGTGCAGCCCCGACACCCGCCCAGCCATCCCCTTCAAGGCCAGGGACGCTCCGGGAGCACTCTCCAGGCTCTGTGTCCTCCTGAGGTGAGCCACGGGGGCTGGGCCACGGGCCAGTGCAGGGAGGCCTGGGGGAAGGCCCGGGGAGGTCTAGGGGAGGCCAGGGGAGCCCCAGGGGAGGCTGCGGGAGGCCCGGGAGAGGACCAGGCAGCCCTGACAGCTTGTGACCTCAGGAGGGTGACGCGGGACCTGATGCGGAACAAGCTGGCCGTGGCCATGCGCCTGACCCAGAACCTCATCATGGGCCTCTTCCTCATCTTCTACCTCCTGCGCCTGCACGGGGACGTGCTCCAGGGGGCCATCCAGGACCGCATGGGGCTCCTGTACCAGCTGGTGGGCGCCATGCCCTACACGGGGATGCTGAACGCCGTGACCCTGTGTGGGTGCCCACTCCTGCCTTCCGGGGAGGGGGCACGTCTCAGCTGGACTGGGAGCCCCTGGCCCCAGCCACTTCCTGGGGCCTCCTGAGGGCTGAGGGGTGGTCAGTCAGCTGTGCGGCACCTCTGGCTGAGGGCCCAGCCTGGTAGGGCAGGTCGCCCCCCCCCCCCTCCAGGCCAAGGCCAGCGGCTGCCCAGGCCTGCCTGCCCCCTGACCTCCAACCTTCTGACCCCTATCCCACTGACCTCCTGCCCGCTGACCGCTGGCCCCGTCCCTGCCCTCCCGATTGCTGGCCCCATCTCTGCCCTCCCTGTCTGCTGGCCCCGTCTCTGCCCTCCCTGACTGCTGGCCCCGTCTCTGGCCTCGCGCCCGCTGACCGCTGCCCCTGCCTGTCCCCAGTCCCCATGCTGCGTGCGGTGGGTGACCAGGAGAGCCAGGACGGGCTCTACGCGCAGTGGCAGCTGCTGCTGGCCTACGTGCTCCACGCGCTGCCCTTCAGCCTCGCCGCCACTCTCCTCTTTAGCAGCGTGTGCTACTGGTGAGTGGCTGGGGCGTCCCCCCAGGAGCCTCTGGGAGCTGGGTGGGGGCAGGGCAGGACGTTTGGCTGAGGGCCACCGGCTGGGGAGCCCGGGTGGGGGCGGACGCTGGTCGCTGCGCCTGGTCAGGGGCTCCTCATGGGTCACGGGCTTTGCATGAGGGACATTCCCGTGCACAGACTGGTGGCCTGGGGTCGGCCACACCATCTCCGCAGGATGGGGGCGGAGAGACACAGGGAGCAGTCAGGGGGACCCCGTGGGCTACAGTCATGGGCTGGTACCTGGCCAGTGTGGGTGGTCCTGGGTGGCGTCACTTTCCTCTGATGGGGGACAGCCCACTGGGAGCAGCCCAGAGCATGGCCACCTTAACTGGGGCAGGCCCAGCCAGTCACTGAGGTGGAGCTGGTACCACGGCGCCCCGAGGCCCCTGTGCATGAGTGATGCTGACAGGTGTGGTCCAGGGAGGGCTGTCCAGGAATCACGGGAGAGGAGCGACAGGAGTGAGGGTCCTGCAATGTCCAGCTGGTCTTAGAGGTTCGAATGGGAAGGGAAATGCAGGGTGTGGATGGGCCCTGGAGGGTGGCTGGACCTGCAGTTTCTGTAGTCCAGTTCTCTACCCCAGCTCCAACCCAGCCCTAACCACTGCTAACCCAACCCTAACCCGGCCCTAACCAGCCCTAACCCAGCCCTAAACCAGCACTAACCAGCCCTAACCAGTCCTAGCCTGGTCCTAACACCTAGCTCCAATCCAGCCCTAACACGGTTCCAACCCATCCCTAACCTGGCCCCAACCCAGCCCTAACCAGCTGTAACCAGCTGTAACCAGCCCTAACCAGCTCTAACCCAGCACTAACCAGCCCTAACCTAGTCCTAATCTGGCCCTAACCTAGCTCCAATCCAGCCCTAACATGGCTCCAACTCATCCCTAACCTGGCCCTAACCAGCTCTAACCATCCCTAACCATATGTAACTAGCCCTAACCAGCTGTAACTAGCCCTAACAAGCTCTAACCTAGCCCTAACCAGCCCTAACCAGCTGTAACTACTAGCCAGATTTAACCAGCCCTAACTAGTCCTAACCAGCTGTAACTAGCCCTAACAAGCTCTAACCCAGCTATAACCAGTTATAACTAGCCCTAACCAGCGGTAACTAGTCCTAGACAGATCTAACCAGCTCTAACTAGCCCTATCAAGCTCTAACCCGCTCTAACCTGCCCTAACCAGCTTTAACTGGCCCCGACCAGCTCTCTAAGCTCAGCACAGGTGCCCCGGCTGCTGTCATTACTCGGGCTGGGCCTCCGAGGCTGCTGGGTGATGCTGTCGCCCTCCAGCTGCCCCTGGGCCCCCCACAGCCCCTCAAGCCTGTGCGTCCCCTGTGGCTCGTCTGTAGCCGTCACGTCACGGGGCCGACGGTGATGTGAGGCTCGGCAGGTCCCCCCAGAGGCCTGTCACAGGGTGGAGGTGGTGGGATCACAGCCCCGGGGTCCCGGGCGAGTCGAGGCTCCAGGTAGGCCGCCTGGGCTCGGCATGGGGGGGCTCTGGGGGCCTGGGCGCGAGACCCGGGAGGGGCCGAGGGCGGCACTGAGGCGACTCCCTGCAGGGCGCTGGGCCTGCACCCCGAGGCCGCCCGCTTCGGCATCTTCTCGGCGGCCCTGCTGGTGCCCCACGTCATCGGGGAGCTGCTGACACTCCTGCTGCTGGGCGCCCTGCGCAGCCCCACCGTGGTCAACAGTGCCGTGGCCCTGCTCTGCATCACCGGCGTGCTTGTGGGCTCCGGGTTCGTGAGGTGAGGCCGCGGAAGGTTCCGGAAGGCTAGGCTACAGGCGAGGCCAGTGGCTGCCCTCAACCTGCCACGGGGCTGGGTCATGTGGAGGGAAAGTGAGACACAAGCACACACTCACAGGCCACGACACACACAGCCCATGGACACACACACCTATACACACACCCCACAGACACCTCACCACGAACACACACCCCCCCCCGACAGACACTCACCCCATGGACACACACAGCCCTACACACACACCATAGACACAACCCACGGACACACACACCCCACAGACACACACACACCTACACACACCCCATAAACACCCCCCCACAGACACATACCCCACGGACACACACACATGCCCCACGGACACTCACTCCATGAATACACACAGCCCTACACACACACCATAGAGACACCCCACGGACACACACACCTACACACACACCCCATGGACACCCCCCACAGACACACACCCCACAAACACACACACACACACCACGGACACTCACCCCATGGGCACACACACCCCACGGACACAACACACACCCCATACACACACCCCATAAACACCCACACATATACTGACAGACACATTCACACATACCCCCTCACGCACCCCCACCCCCACACCCCACAGACATGCACGCGCACCTCCGCGCACCGCCCCAAGCAGGGCCGGCTTGGCCCGCCGCCCACGGCCTCGTCTCCCCCAGGAGCGTGGAGGACATGCCCGGGCCCTTCCGGGTCTTCACCTACTTCACCTTCCAGAAGTACTGCTCCGAGATCCTGCTGGTCAACGAGTTCTACGGCCTCAACTTCACGTGCGGTGAGTGTGGGCGGCCGGAGCCCAGGGGCCGCGCGGGGCCAGCCCAGGCGTGGACCTCTGCCCCTGGGCCCCTGGGCCCGCTGGCCTGACCCCGTGCCCCCGCAGGCGGCTCCAACAGCTCAGGGCCCAGCTCGCCCCTGTGCGTCTTCACGGAGGGCGCCCAGTTCATCGCCAGCACCTGCCCCGGCGCCGAGACCAGGCTCACGGCCAACTTCCTGCTGCTCTATGCCTTCGTCCCCGCCCTGCTGCTGCTGGCCGTGGCCGTGTACGCCGTGAGGGGGCACTGCCAGGGCAGGTAGCGGGCGCTGCCTCCCGCCCGCCCGGGTCAGCATCCACCGCTGTGCGGGCCAGCCGAGGGCAATAATCGTGCCGGGAAGGTGTGGTGCTCTGCGTGCTCTGTTTCCCCACGGAGCACTGGGGGCGCTGGAAACTTGGGCGCAGCTTCAGGAGCAATAGGCAGGGCAGGGCAGGGCCAGGGAGGGGGGTGGGCACCGTGCCCAGCCCGCCTCTGCGACAGGCGCCCGAGCTTGTGGGCCCTGCGGGGCGTGAGGACAGCCTGTAGGACGGACTCGCTCCCACACGTTGGAGGCTTGGGTGGGCGGAACTCGTTCCTCGTGCCCCCAGGGAAAGGCCGCTGGCCTGGCGCGACGGGGGGCGCAGACACCAGCCAGCCAGGGGCCTCGGGGGCTGAGGTGAGACGGGCGGGGCCCAGGGACATGCCCTGGGGGTTGGACGTCCGACTGGGTCTAGCCATCCTCAGCCAGGGCCGGACCAGTGTGGCTGGACCAGACTCCCACGGCCGAGGGGAGGGGCCTTTACCCCGCCCCGACGGGCTAAGGGGGACCAGTGGCAGCGTGGGGGGGTCTCGCACCAGACAGGAAGGACGACTCTGTGAGGCCCCTTGGGGACTCCATCTCTGGGCTTAGGGGCCGGAGACGCTGGGGGTCACCAGAACACTGTCGACTGCAAGGGCCTCCGCACCGACCGCTGGGGGTCACAGCGTGTTGAGGGTCCAGGCGCACCGTGGAAGTGGGACACGCTGCCACGGTCCCCGCTGTGCCCAGCCGGGCCCCCAGGAGACCGGCGGCCCTCTGGGTCAGGGGCCTGGCCCCTCGGGCACGCACCAACTGCCCCTCAGGGCTGTGTGCACCAGTGGGCGGCGACGTGGAGGAAAACCAGGCGAAGGGGGAAGTTCCCTCTCCTGCTGCACACAGGGCCGCGCACTGTGCCCCACGCCAGTGCTCACACACCAGTGCTCACAGCCCCGCAATTGCACCCCCATGCCAGCGCTCACATGCCAGTTATCACACAGCCCCACACACTGCGTCCCTTGCCAGTGCTCGCACATACCAGCGCCCCGGTGTCTCGTGTTGGTGCGAGTCTCAAGCTGGCGGTGGGCTCCTGGCGGCCACAGCCCCTTCCCGTGTGAGTGAGGGCCATTCTGCTTCCTCGGAACTGAGCGTGGCTCGGGGCTCGGGCCCAGGGGGCTGCAGTGGTTGGCGTGTGCCGGCTCCACGCCTGGGCCGCCCTCGGCTGGGAGCAGCTCGGCTCCGCCCCTGTGTGTCTGCAGCTCGTGGGACCACCTCAGAGACGGCCCATCCATGCTCCCAAGGGAGTGTGTGTCCCACATGGCTCGGCCGGACCCACAGAGACCAGGACTCAAGGGGCCAGAGTGGGCGCACCCAGCCCAGTGACGGTTTATTCAAACCCCGGCCGCCCGTGGCACGCTGCCTCTCGCAGGGCTGCCGGGAGCAGGCAACCGAGCCACTCCGTGTTGCCTGCCACGTGCCACACGCGTCCTTCAAGCACAGCCGCACACGCGTGGGGCAGGAGACCCGGCACTGCACACAGGCCGGCTCACGGGTCCAGGTCCATCTGCTTCCAGGACTTGGAGGAGCTGCTCTTGTACTGCTCCAGCTCCTAGGAGAGACGCAGAGCTCATGAGAGCGACTCCAGCAGTCACCCAGACGCCTCGAACCCGCACCCGGTCTCACACCGCACCCCTGGCCTCAGACCCGCACCCCCGAGCCTCAGACCCGCATCCTCCGGCCTCAAACCTGTATCCCCGGCCTGAAACTGCACCTTAAACCATCTCAACATTTTTAGATGCGGTGAAGTATTTCTCCCGCGTTAGACTAGGGCAGAGCTGGGCCAGGGCGCCCCTTCCCTGGCCACTCTGTCCACGGGGCTTGTGTCCAGGGGCACACGGGGCAGGATGGCGCCTGGGAGAGGCCAGCTGGGTCAGCCTGTGCCAGAGTCCAGGGCTTCGGGGCGGCTGCTTCCTCTGACGCTGTCCCTGCCCCCCGCCCTGTGCTGTGTGCGGGAGAGGGAGCCAGGGTGGGCGGCGGGCAGCTGGGTCAGATTTCAGGGGTCCCAGGGAGGACCCCCGAGTGTCCTCATTCCTGACACTCGTCAGCAGGTGTCAGCTCACATGGAGCACAGGGGCAGACGGGAGCAGTGCCAAGAGTCAGCCACGGCCTTGAGCAAGGGTCAGCACACCGGGGCTGGTTTCTGCCTCCTCCCGCTGGGCTGCTGCGGAGGCCAGGGCAGGGTGGGCTGAGGAGGGCCAGTGCAGGGGTGGGGTGCAGGGGGCCAGGGCAGGGGTGGGGTGAGGAGGGCCAGCAGGACAGGGGTGGGGTATGGGGGGCCAGGGCAGGGCTGTGGGGTGAGGAGAGTCAGGGCAGGGGTGGGGTGATGAGGGTCAGGGCAGGGGTGGGGTGCTGGGGGCCATGGCAGGGGTGAGGTGAGGGGGGTCAGGGCTGGGGTGGGGTGCGGGGGGCCAGGGCAGGGCTGTGGGGGAGCAGCCTCTCAGAGTGCCCTGGGACCCCTGGGGACCCTGGCACGGCTGCAGTGGCCGAGTCCCCAGGGCCTGTTCTAGGTCCAGCGCCCGGATTCTGCACCTCGTCACCTCACCGGACGCCACCGAGCTCGGAGAAGTGGTCACAGCCCCCACCGCCCAGAGCCCACCCGAGCGGAGGAGTCAGGCACGGGGAGGTGGCGTGGGCGGACCCCGACGGCCCGGATGGCAGCAGGCCGCCAGGCACACCTGGTCCTTCTGGGCTCGCATCTCGTCCACCTCGCTCTCGGCGTACTGCGGGTCTCTGGCCGGGTCCTTGGTGTCCTTGAGGGTGCTGGTGCTCTGCAACCACAGTCGCGGTCACTGCGGCCCGGCCCCCCACCCCGCCACAGCCGCCGGGGCGCGGGAAGGCAGCTGACCTGGGCCGGGAAGTGCCTCTCGTAAACCTTCTTCCACAGCTCCAGGGGCGTGTGGGCGCGCAGCTTCCCCAGGTCGCCGTCGGGCATGGGGGGAGGGCCTGTGGCAGGGGTCACCATGTCACCACTACTCACCCAAGCCCCCGACCCTCCCACACGCCGGGACCCCCACGTGCCCACAGGCCGCGACACTGGCAGAAACGTGTCCACTGCCCACGCGTCCGGCCTGTGACGCTCCGGCCCAGACCAAGGGATGGGACAGTGGGGCGGGCGTTGGCCTCGCCCGAGCCGGGCTGGGTCCAATCCCAGCGTCCTGGCAGGAGTGAGCCCGAAGAAGCAGACACCCAAACACGGTCCCGGGACAGGCCCCCGGCAGCTGCCACCACAGCAGGGGCGCTGAGGGGACGTGCGCCCACTTGGGCCTGTCCAGGCGGCCTGTCTACTGGGCAGAGCAGCCACGGGGCCTGTCCAGCCGGCCTGTCCACCGCCAGCCGTGGCCGCGGGGGCTGGCCGCACTTCAGGCCTCTGAGTCATCTACCGCCGTTCGGTCCTGATTTTTAAATTAGATTTAAATTTTGATTACATATTTCCTTTCCCTTTTATTTTCGGGTTATTCTGGTGTGGGACCACAGCAGGCGGGTCCCAGGGCTGGAACCCGGGCTGGCCACACATGAGTGGCTCTCCAACGGGGCCCTGAGAGGGTCTTCACTCATCCCGCTCCCAGCCCGGCACGGACCCCAGCTGAGCCCGAGTCCGGGGGTCTCAAACCAGCGATTCTCAGCCCGTCTGTGCCCAGCCTGAGACATGGTTGGTGCCGGCGAACCCTAGTCAGAGAAGCCACTGCCTGTCCTCTGGGCTCATCCCTCCACTCCGCCCTGGCTCCCCGCACAGAGCTTTGGGACAGCGGGGCTGGGAGTTAGGAGGCCAGGGGAGAGGAAGGCCACACGCGAGCACTGTCAGGGAGCAGGGGGCGGAGGGCGGAGGCGGAGGTGGCGGTTGAGGTGCGGGGCAGGGGCTGGCCTGGGGGTGGCCGGGAGGCTGGGGGTCAATGAGCATTAGGCGGAGGGGCGTGCCCGGGTCACCCACCTATCTGGGCCAGAGAGTCGGACCCTGCTGGGATGAAGAGCGGCTTATTCTGATCCATGCACACTGATTTGCTGCGTGGGGAAGAACAGAATCCAGCTCAGCCGAGAGCAACCCCCCCACCGTCCCCCTCATGGAGGCCCCCGCAGTCACCGGGCACCTCAGGGCTCGCAGGAAGAGCATCAGGGAGGAGAGAGACCGGAACCTCCCAAACAAATCAAGATTCCCACCCAACGACCGGCTCCACCTGACACGGTCGGGCAGTGCTGGGGTCACTGAGACGAGGGAGCAGGGAAGGGGCACCCACAGGCAGGCGGACCCCTAGTACCTCTTGTCGATGCCGAAGGCCAGCTGGTTGATGGCCCCACGGATCTTCAGCAACAGACCCTCGGATTTGCTGGTGAACTAGAACCCAACAGAGCCCGGGGGTGAGGGCGCGGGACACTTAGCCCAGGCGTTTCTGGCCGGCAGACCCGGGCAGCACCGACCACCCGCCGTGAGCAGACAGCACCCCCCCCCCACAGTTGAGACCCGGACACACAGGGCCTCGCCACGGTGCAGTGAAGGGACAGGACGGGGATGTCCACTGGGAGTGCTGTCCACCGCCGGGCACCTGACACAGACCCTTTTCCCACACACAGCAGGTACCCAGCAGGCAGGCCCCAGTGACCGAGCCCAGGCCGGGTCTGGAAGTGTCGACAGAGTAGGCTGCGGAGGTGACTGTGGGCCCTGGGGTCCAGCGACCTTCAGGTCAAGAACTAGCCCCTGGGAACGCCTGTCCAGAAAGAGCCGGCGAAGGCCCGGCAGGTGGGATGGCTGAGCTGCCTGGTGCCCGCGGGGACCAGCCAGGGCCTCCCGCCTGCGGCTGCCGCCCCACTAGGGACAGGCACATGTCCAGCTCTCTGGACTGACAGTGGCTACTCTCTCCCGGCCACCAACCCAGCTGAGGGCCGAGCTGCGCAGGGGAAACGACTCAGGGTGGCCATCGCCACCATTGGCTGAATTTCAGAAAGAACCTGTTTGCTGGCGTTTAACACAACGGGCAAGACGCTTCCCTTCCCGAGGCCGCTCAGGGCTGAGGGGCTCTGGGTGGCGCTCACTGGGCACCATCAGGCCAGGGATGGTGGGCAGGGCTGCGGGCAGGGGCAGCGCAGCGGCTGGTCCCGGGACGAGCACAGGGAAGGTCCCGGCCCCGCCCGCCCCACCCCAGCCCCATCTGGCCCCGCTCACCAGCAGGGTGGCACCATGGTGATGGGCCAAGAAACGCAGCGTCTTGCAGATGACCTTCCTCTTCTCCGAGTCGAAATCCTGGGGGGAGGGGGGAAGGGAGGGGCACGGGGCCAGGGAATGTGCCAGTGGAGACAGGCCCTTTGGGGGTCCCTGGATGCCCCTGTGGCAGGGATCCCATCTCCCCGCAAACGCCCACCTGAGGGGCTCCGGAGCCCTTTCCGAGTAGGAACCAGCCCACACCACTCCTGGCAGCAAACTCCCTCTGCCCTCCGAGCTCTGGCGGGCAGGCCTTCCCGTGCCCCCCGGCCATGCCACGGGGGTGGAGGCTCACCTGGAAGACATCGTATTTGCTCCCGATTATGACCAGGGGGATTGGGAAAGGGTCGATCAGCTCGCGGTCCTGTGGGCAGACGCGCGGTCATGGACTCGGGTGTGGGAGCAGCCAGGGCTGCTATGGGCCAGCTGCCAGGGCAGTAGCGGGGCCTGGACCCTCGTCCCTGCCCACCACCCCCCTGAGGACGTCGCTCCACTCTCCCCCCCGGTTTCTGCCTTTTGTGTGAGTGAACCATCTGTGCTCTCGTGGCTGTCGGGGGCTAATGAGCAGCTCTGACCCTGACCACAGACGCTGCCCGGCCAGAGGGAAGGGCGAGAAAGGAGGAAGGCGACCCCCTGGGGCCCACGCCCATCCCGCCAGCCTGGGAGTGTCCCTCTGCGTGTGAGTGTGTGTGTGAGAGCATGTCTGGGTGTGAGTGTGTGTGAGCCTGTGTATGTCCCTCTGTGTGTGCGTGTGTGTGAGAGCATGCCTGTGTGTGTGTGTGCTGTCAGCCTGTGTGTGTCCCTCTGCATGTGTCTGTGTGTCCGTATGTGAGTATGTGTGTGTGTGTGTGTGTGTCTGTGAGTGTGGTGTGTGTGAGAGCTTGTCTGAGTGTGTCTGTCAGCCTGTGAGTGAGTGTGTGTGCATGTGTGTGAGTGTGTGTCTGGGTTCTATGTGTGTGTGGAAAATACTCTTATGTCACAGTCAGTCCCGCAAAGTCAAGGAAGAAGGTCACAGCTGCTGGGGCTGTGGCAGCCCCTGACCCAGTGCCCGCACGTGATCCTTAAACATTTCTTATTGATTTGATTCTGGCTTACAGTACCATATGTTTTGGGTGTTTGGTTTTTTTTTTTTTTCCACATCCACCCGGCAATACTCAGGGGTTGCCCCTGCCTCTGTATTCAGGAATTACTTCTGGCAGTATTCAGGGTAACCCTGAATTTACCAGGGATCAAACCTGGGTTGTCTACATGCAAGGCAAGTGCCCTCTCCACTGTGTAATAGCTCTGGCCCCTAGGACGACATGCTCTGTCATTAAACACAGGCACGATGGTTTATAGTAATATTAAATCATTATTTTTACAGTTCCAGAGTGCTACTACACTGATCCACCCACCACTGTGCCATTCTGCCATGGCAGTCGGCTCTCCGTCCTGGTTTAGGAGAAGCTGTAAACCCCACCCCAGACTCTGCTGTAGTCTCATCCTCTGACAGGCACCACGTGAAGAAAGACAGAGAGCCGAACTCAGAAACCTTTCGCGGGCAGTCCATGCCACAGAAATTGGGCCAGAAAGAGAAATGCAAGGAATTTAAATCAGAAAAGAAATCAAGACATACAGCTTGCTGATGACATAATAATATCCAGAGAAAACCCTAAAGACTCCACTGAAACACTTTAAGAAGCAATAAACTTAAATAGCAGAGTGGCAGGCTACGAAAGCAACACAGAAATCCCTCTGGTTCTCGATGCAGACAAGGAGCAAGAGATAGAGAAATGTTTATTTGTTAATCTAGGTTTCTGGGCCACGTCCAGCCGTGCGCAGGGTTTGCTCCTGGCTCCGCACTCAGGGGTCACTCCTGGTGGGCTTGGGGTCTCTCTGGGGTGCCACAGATGGAACATGGGCTGGCAGCATGCAAGTCAAGTGCCTTCCCCACTGTCCTATCCAGTGCCAAGACAAAGAAAAAAAATTTTTTTTTTTTTTTGCTTTTTGGGTCACACCCGGTGATGCACAGGGGTTACTCCTGGCTCTGCACTCAGGCGTTACTCCTGGCGGTGCTCAGGGGACCATATGGGATGCTGGGAATCGAACCCGGGTCGGGCGCGTGCAAGGCAAATGCCCTACCGCTGTGCTATCTCTCCAGCCCCAAGACAAAGAAATTTAAAAAATTTATAATTGTCGGAGTCAGGACAAGAGTCCTCGCTTGCCCCTCTCCTTCCATTGAGCCCCCCATGGCATTAGCTTCTGCTGCCCAGGCCAAGGGGCTGTCCTTTCTAGCGGAGGGCCTCGCCGGTGTGGACAGTTCTCAGCTGTCAATGCAGTGGACAACTGGCCTGCATGTGGGGGGGTCCTACTATTGGAAAAACTTCAAGATTTTTGATAGCCACACAAATACTCATTTCTGAATTCTCTGTTGACACAGGCTAATAAATTATTAAACACTGCAATGGAAGTTCCAGCTCTGATTTTGGCGAGATCTAACCCTTATTAATGGAAGAAAATCATTAACACGTAATGTTATTATCTCTAACTTCACCCACAAATACCAGAGACCAGTTGATGTTTACTTGTATTTTGAAATGTAGTATTTCACTAAGTTTGTTTAATAAGATTTCTTTGATTAAGTTGATTTAAGGTTTGATTTGCTCGAGCGGGCCCAGTAACGTCTCCATTGGACGTTCGCCTTCCACGCGGCCAACATGGCCGACCCGAGTCCGATTCCTCCGCCCCTCTCGGAGAGCCCGGCAAGCTACCGAGAGTATTCGATATGCCAGACACAATAACAACAAAGTCTCCAATGGAGACGTTACTGGGCCCGCTCGAGCAAATCGACGATCAACGGGAGGGCCTTAAGGTTTGATTTGGCACAAAATGACAGCTTGTTATTCCAGGGAGTCAGAAAGAGTAAATTAATATCCAGTGACTATTCAAATGTGAAAATAAAAACATTGAAAAACACAAAAAATCCTAATTGTTTTCATAAAAAAAATCAAATACTTTGGAATCAATTTAACAACGGAGGTGAAAGATGTACAAGCAACTTTAAGTCATTATTAAAAGAAACAGTAGCAGGAAAAGGAGAACTACTCCTGAAGAATCAACAGTTACCACAACGGAACCACCCAAAGCATCATGCAAACCTGATGCTGTCCTCACCAAAATTCCAACCACATTCTTCACGGACACACAACAAGGACCTCCAAAGCTAGTAGGGATCATAAAACACTCCAAACAGCCACAGCGATCCTGACCTGACCCCACACTGCAGAGCTCGGTGACCAACACCGTGTGGCACTGGGGAATCCATAGCCCAGAAGCACACAGTGAACTGACAGTCAGCCCGTGACAGTCAGTCAGCAGGAGGCGCGGGACCGGGAAGCCTCGCAGACGCACACGCCCGGAAACGAAGCCGGACCCCACTGCTCACCACGCACAAGCCTGATGTAAAGGCCAGCGTCGCCTGGCTTCCTGGGATGCCCCCTGGTGCTCGGGGTCCCCGTGGTTCTGGGGACTGGACCTGCCTCCCGCGTGCAGAGCCACACCTCTGTCCCCGGTGAGTTTGGGGGAGCCTATTCCAAGCAACGTTCAGGAGGCCTGGGGCGCCCTCGAGCAAGTCTCAGCCAGCTGAGCTGGTGACCAGACGTGAGGAAGCGCCTCTGCGGGCCTGGGGGCCAGGCACTGCCCAGACCACTCCGGGCCACGGCCAGCGATGCTCGGGGACCCACACAGCGCTGTGGGTAGAGTGTGGCCACCACATTCAACACACCTGCAGCACCTCTCTGGGCCCCGGAAGTTTGTTTAGGTGATCTGAAAACCCTGGTATTAGAAGATTCGCCAAAGGAGCTGGGGACGATGCTGGCAGGACGGCCCTTGGAGATGACCTCCGAGGTGTCGCCCAAGATCTGACCCCAGTTGAGAAGCCAAAGTAAGCAGCAGGAGAGCAGTGGGGGAGGTGCCTAGCAAGTCCCTGCACCAAGAGGCACACTCGTGCTAGAGGGGAGTGTCCACTCAGCGCAGCAGAGCCCGGGCCGGAGACTCACAGAGGGGAGGGTCAGCCCCAAGCACCTTGGGGGTAAAGCCAAGACAAAGAGGGGCTGGAGTGATAGCATGGCACAGCGGGGAGGGCGTTTGCCTTGCACGTGGCCGACCCGGGTTCGATTCCCAGCATCCCATATGGTCCCCCGAGCACCACCAGGAGTGATTCCTGACTGCAGAGCCAGGAGCAATCCCTGCGCATCGCCGGGTGGGACCCAAAAAGCAAAAAATAAAAATAAAAACAAAAAATAAAACCAAGACAAAGAAAGACATGGAGAGCGTGAGCAGAGCCCACCGGTAACTGCAGGGTGTGAGAAGTGCTGGGGACACGGGGCTGTCACCTCGCGCGAGGAGGGCCTGCGTCGTCCAACCAGAAATGGCCAGTGTGGGCGGGACATGGGGAAGGGCCTCGCGGGGCGCGGGGGCAGTGTGGGGACTTCTCAAAGCTCCCAATGATTCAGAGGCAAAACTCCACGGGCCGAGCGATTCTGCTCCCTGCCTCCACCCAGAGGCGCCTCATGTCCACGCTCGCCCGGGGAACACAGCGACACTCACACTGGAGAAGGGGCCGCCTGGGGCTCGCCTTGGATGGAGCTCGAGGTCAGGCTACGTGGGGTGAGTCACAGGGACAGGCCAGGGGCAGGGAAGGAGGCCAGAGGCCAGCCCTGACCAGAGCCAGGCGGGCCGGCGCAGGGCGCGGGGGGGCGGGCAGCCCTGTCCCTGACCAGCGGCCCCGGCAGCCCCGACGCGAGCCGCAGGGTGGGGGGCCGCGCGCCTCACCGGGTGGTCTTTCTGCAGGTGGCTCCAGACCTTCTGCCGCATCTCGGAGGCCGCTTTGGAGCCGTCCTTCCCCAGCCTCGCCCTCACTCTGTCCACGTGGCCCCGAGTGGCCTGCAGCAGGCTTTCCATGGTGGGCCAGAGGTCGTGAGGCTTTGAGAGGTCGAGAACGAGGACAACGGACAGTGTCCTGGGGAGAGGAGAAGGCCGTCGGGAGGCTGGGGACGGGCAGGCCCTGCTCGGGGCTGTCGAGCTCAGAGGGTCAGAGTCCAGGTCGCGAGGCAGAGCCGGGCTAAGCTGAGTTCATGTGGGCAACAGCTAGCCACACCGTGGCCTGCACTGGGCCCAGGGCCGGCCAGCACTGATGGACGCTGACCTGGGCACAGGCCAGGTCAGCAGGGACAGCCAGGCGGGCACCTCTTACCCTGACTCCTGCAGGGCCCCAGCTCTGGTGTCACAAGATCCCGCCTGGAAGCTGTCCTGATGGCCATCAGCACGCACCAGCCTAATGGCCACTGACCACACAGTGGACTCTGCCCCACGCCTGCACACAGGGACCCATGGCGGTGGACAGCCCACGCCCAGACCCGCACCCACACATGGGGACTCACCAGGGAATGGACAGCCTGTGCCCTGAACCGCACCTACACAGGGACCCATGGGGGGGGGTGGACAGCCCCGCGCCCTGCCCCATGCCCACTTACTGCACGGACTCGCTCGTGATGGCGATGCTGATGAGGTCTAGTAAGGACGTGCCGCCCCCAAGCTCCCAGAAGTGAGCCAGATCCTTAGGCTATAAAACAAGCATTTTCCATGTTAGAACTTTTCTGTTTGGGAACTTCTTTCTTCCTGTATTTCATTAGTGCCAGTCAGTGATGATCATGGGCAGAGGACACGGCTGTCCTCATCCACTCTGAGATGCAAGATCTCTGGGCACCCACCAGGTTCTGGGCAGAGGAACCAACAACCCCTTCGGAATGGGGCGAGGAAACGCAGAGACCCACAGGCAAGCGTGTTCATCTAGGGGGTACAGGAATGTGCTCATGGCTGGTGTTGCTCAGGGCATCAGGTTGACACAAAGAGGCATCATCTCACACCTGAGCAGACAGCTCTCGGCGTGACCAGAGCAGCCAGTGTGGCATTGGCAGGTGCTGGGTCAGCCTCTATGGCAGGTAGCACGGGGCCCGGCGTCCTGGCCATCCCACACCTTGACGTCTGTCTGAGCACATAGAAACCGATTCCAAAAAACCCACCTCCGCTGCAGCAGTTTCCAACTGCCACAGTCTGGAAAGCACCGAATGCCTGACAGCTGAGGAGTGGGCACAGAGGTCACGACTTGGGGCCAGCGAGCACAGCGGGCAGGGCGTTTGCCTTGTACACGGCCAACCCGGGTTCAATCCCTGGCATCCCATATGGTCCCCAAGCACCGCCAGGAGTTGGGGGTGCGGAGTCACTCAGTGCAGTCAGGAGTGACCCCTGAGCATCACTGGGTGAGGTCCTAACAGCCCCCTCCCCCCCCGAAAAACAGCATGGCCTGTTCTGCAATGGGCTATCGGCCATGAGGACAGGCGGGCTCCTGTCTCTGCCGGCTTGGAGGATGGAGCTGGAGGGGTGAGCGTCAGTGAGACAGAGGGCAGACAAGTGCTGGGTGGCCTTGCTCGGTGCGCTATGAAGGAACCAGCAGGACTATGGGCAGACACCGTGGAAACAAGCCCCGAGACCCCCCTCCACTGCTGGGGTGCTGGCTGGGCCAGGCCCTTGGAAACAGGATGGACATTCCTCAAAAGACTAGAAACTGAGTCCCCATACCACCCAGCAACACCACGCAAGGGGCCCAAAATACAGCAGAAACGCCACCTGCACCCCTAAGTTCACTGCAGCGTCATTCACCATAGCCAGAAGCTGAAAACAACCCGGACGCCCGAGAAGAGACAACTGGAAAAAGAAACTATGGTTCCTATATACAATGAATACTACGCAGCCGTTAAGAAGATAAAGTCATGAAATCTGCTTATAAGTGGATGGACATGAAGAGTATCATGCTGAGTGAAATGAGTCAGAAGGAGAGGGGCAGACACAGAAGGACCGTATTCATTTGTGAGATATATATGTTAAAAAAATAGTATGAGACTGATATCCAAATCCAGGGAAAACAGGGGCCAGGAGGACTGGTCAATGGATGAGAGCCACTACAAGTGTGTGTGTGTGTGTGTATGTGTGTGTATCTGGGGGGGGGGGGCGCAGAGGGCAGTTAGGACACAGAAGGGACCAGTGTGACAATAATAGTTGGAAATGATCACTTTGGACAGGAACTGAATGTTAAAGGTAGATAAAAGAATATACCTGATAACTTTCAGTATATGTATTGTAAGCGGTAATATTATCCCAAAAGGAAAAGGAAGGGGGGGAGAGAGGGAGAGAGAGAGAGAGAGAGAGAGAGAGAGAGAGAGAGAGAGAGAGAGAGAGAGAGAGAGACAGGAGGGACATTGGTGGTGGGAATTGTGCACTGGTGAAGGGACGGGTATCAGAACATTAAAACCCAAACAAATTAAAAAACACCAAAACCAACCAAGGCCCTGGGCTCTGCCAACAGGCTGAGGGTGGAGGCAGCGGTGGTGAGGGGCAGCGACTTGGCACAGGGGAGCGTCCACAGGGGGCAGGCACGAAACCTTCTCCTAGGACCACGTCCAGCCCTCGAGCCAACAGCCAAGGCCTGAATGTCCCCTCCCACAGGCCGCCAGGTGAATCCGGGGCAGCCCGAGGCGGCTGCACGTCTTCCCGTGTTCCGGCTGATGCAACATCAGGGTCAGGCCCATCTACAGCCGGACCTTTCTAGAGAGTTCCAGCACGCGCCAGCCTTCACAGAGGAATGCTTCGCCTCATGCTATGTGTGTGTTTCCCTCTCGATTTCCTCTCTGGAGACACCTCGATCTTCCCAGGAGCATGGCTGAGCCCGTGAAAACGGGGGGACAGTCGACCAGCCACTCCGACAGACCCCCGACCTCTGTGTGCAGGCAGGCCATTCCAGAGGCAGCCCCGGGACTGGCGGGTAAGGAGAGGCACGTCGCCACGATACTCTAAAACGCACGGTGGAGTTACGGGAGCACCAAAGAGGGAGGTGAGGGTCTGATCCCGGGTCAGGGGCCGCTGGGGATGGGGTTGCGGCCCCAGGGGCACTCACGATGTTGTGTCCCTTCGCTCTCCTCCCGTATGTGTACTCCAAGGCCAGGGTGGGTTTCGGGGGCTCGTCCCTGCAAACGAGACGATGCCAGGGGTCAGCAGTGCCTGGACCCAGGTCCGTCCTCCTTCCTGCAGCAGCTCATTGTGGAGAAGCTGCCGCGTGCATGCTTGGGGACACCGCGGCTGGGCCACAGCAGAGAGCGGAAGGCCCTGGCACCCGCATGTCCATGAGGGACAGAGGATGGTGAGGGCGTGTGAGGGACACCTTCTCGGCAGGAGGCCACGCGGCAGACCCTGACTCGCCTTAATAGGAGCCGGCGGACCCCACTCTTCGCTCGTGACTAAGAGGTCTGTGTCGCTGGTCTTGTCTCTCCCCGCCTGTACTGGGGCAGCTGAGATATGCGAGTCACCAGCCCACCAGCCCATGTCCCGCTGCTGGACCCAAGACCACGGGCCTGGTGAACCCTCCACCCCACTTCCTGTCTGTTTTGCGTTCTCCCTTTTTACCCGAGGGGCCACTGCCTGTGGCATGGTGCAGTGGCTGGCCGAGGACACAAAGAGCGTAACGCTCGCGTGGGCAGCAGCTCAGTCTGCGCGTCTGCCCCCGCCCCAGACTGGCAAGGCAGGTAGCCTCGGGGGCCTCAGCCTCGGGGCTGCAGCCATGCCTCGTTGGAGGCCTCAGTGTGGCCTGCCGCTCCTCCCTTGGCGTGCGGCTCTCACTCCGGGGCTCTGCTCTGGCCTTAAAGAACCGAGTCCGTCAGCCCGCAGAGGTCTTCCCTGGGCTTGTGCATAGACAGTGTTTGCTCCGATTCCTGAAAGAAGTCTCCTCTCGGGATTCTTACGCGCGCTGCTCTGGGCCCTTTCTGGGTGACCTACCCCAGGGCTGCAGGCACGACTGAGCCCCAAGCCCGGCCCTCACAGGCTCCCGCTCACGGCCCATCCACACCTGATGGGCAGGAGTCGCAGTCACGGAAGCCGGGTCTTCTGGGAAGGAAGGCGGGTGCTGGACCCCCTGCACTGCGGGACAAAGAAATTCTGGCCTCTGAGTGCCCGGGTCATATCTTTCTGCGAGGGGCCTGGGGCCTGAACCCGGGCCTCTGGTGTGCAGATGCTGGGGCTCCCCCGCAAAGTCGGGGAGAAGCTCTGAGAACAGGCACTGGGGGCCAAGCGCACAGCAGGTCGGGCATTTGCCAGACACAGTGGCAGCACTACAGAGGGTCCCAAGTCTCTCTGGAGCTACCCCTGAGCCTGGAGCCAGGTGTAAATCTCCCCCGGAAAAGGAGCAAAATGGAAACATTCAGAGGGTTGAATATTGCCGTGGTCAGGCAAACTCTCCACTCCCTAGCCCTGACCCCCTGAGGGCAGCTGAGGGGACCGGGCACTGCCCCGGGGCTCTGAGACTCGGACACCCGCTGCTCCGCCAGTGCTGGCCGGACAAAGGCGGAGGGGCGAGCACACTCGCTCCCGACTCAGGGAGACCCACGGCTCTGAGGAGCAAACCCTTTTGTTTCAGTCTCAAAATTGTTCTCCTAAATGTCTTCAAGATTCGCATACTACTCAGTGAGAATAAGCAAAAAAATGTCGTCTAAAGGTTAACATAACACGTACCTGTCAAGACATCTTAGGATAATCGTAGTCTTCCCCTGGAAATTCAGAGATACTGTGTTAATGTCAGACATATGTAACATTTTATTATTGTAATTGTGGCCCAAAATAGCTTTTTAATCACTTGAATGATAAATTACCTGGAAACTGAAACCTAGAAACTTTCAGAATCATCCCTAAGTTTGAGAAGTGGAAGAATTTGACTGTCAACTCTCCTTTGGAGCTACCTGCCCTGCAGTCATGGGCACTCCAAGTCTCGCCGAATGGCTGGCACCAGAGGACGAGGCCCCACCCCAGCGGTCAACTGCAGCTGCCTGAGCTCGACCAGCAGTGCTCACACCAGAGCCAAGGCTTGGGAGCGAGGCTTCTAGAATATTCCTATGCAGCTGAAGGGCAGCAAGGCTCACTGAAGTGTGGGCCGACACTGGCCCCTCAGGACCCCCAGACACAGGCCCCTTCTCCCTTCAGGACCCCCTGACGCAGGCCCCTTCTCTGTCCCATCAGGTCCCTTCATTAGATAAGAGCCCTGGCTGGCTCAGGTCACTGTTCCTGCAGCAAGTCCCCAAGATCCATGGATGGTGGAGGAGAAGCGGCTTTTAGCACTCCAGAGAGAACCCCCAGAGGCTGGCGAGGGACACCTCCATCTGACAGCCCCAAACAGGCATCTCACCAGAGCTGTGCTTCTGAACAAAAAGTCTAGAATCTTCTCCCAAAAAGAAAGATCACAAATTGCTCAGAGCATATCTGGGATTTGACGAAACAGGATTACTTTTTTGTGTGTGTGACAAACCTTAACAGATAAAGACTACATATGTAGAAATATGTAACATATATGATATAATCATATGCCAAGAGGATGATCATTACTGTACTAACAGAGCAGTGCAGGGAGTCCCTGGTAGGTGTGAGGATGGTAAGACACGCAGCGCAAATAACACAGCCCTGCCATCAATCCACACCCCAGATCATCCACAGGCTCGGGGCGAGAAGCAGGTGCACAGGCCCGAAGAGCATCGCGTGTGTGTGTGGACACCGAGGGCCTCCAGGCCATGTGGACACTGAGGATGTTCAGGCCACGTGGACACCGAGAGTTTCCAGGTTCTATGACCACCCAGTGTTGACTTAATGTACTTTTCCTTGATGTTGTGCAAATGCACAGGACTTGGTGATGTCCTCAAGGCAGCCCGAGAGACTGTCCTTACAATGCCCTTTACAGAGTCCTTCCACTGTGGTCACAATGTCCTCTGTTACCCTTACAATGTCCTTACAGTGTGGTTACAGTGTCCTATAGAGTCCTGACAATATCTTTCCAATGTCCTTACAATATGTTTACTGTGTCCTGATGATGTGGTTACAATGGTTCTTACAATGGTGGTTATAATGTGGCTATAATGTTACAATACCCTAGAGTCTTAATAATGTTGTTACAGTATCTTTACAATGTAGTTACAATGTCCTAAACTGGGCTTATAATGTGGCTACAATGTGGTTACAATTCCTATAGAGTCCTGACAATGTGATTACAATGTGGCTATAATGTTATAATGTTCTATATGTTATAATGTTATAATGGCTATAAAGTTATAATAGTGCTTACAATGTGGTTACAATGTCCTATGGTGTCCTTAAAATACTGTCACAGTATCCTTATAATGTGGTTACAATGTGGCTACAATGTTATAATGTTCTATAGTGCTTACATGTGGTTACAATGTTCTATAGTATCCTTACAATATTGTTACAGTATGCTTATAATGTGGTTACAATGTGACTACAATGTTGTACATCTAGAGGGCTCTTCAGTGTGGCTACATTGTCTTACAATGTTATTGTAGTATCTTTATAGCATTGCTACAATATACTTACATTATAATGCCATCAGATGCCCAGAGGCCTGCGAGTTCAGCTGTCCATGTGAGGGCACAGCCCATGTCGCCCTCTGCCTGGGGCCACACGCAACATCTAGGTACCTGCAGTACCTCCCACAGCCTGACCACTGACCCTCACTCCCCTGCACCCCACCCCTACCCACCTGTCCCCCTTCTCAGGCCGGCACCCGAGTGACAGGAGGCTCTGAGACAGCTGGGCGAGGAGGGGTTTCCTCTCTGGGGACAGGAGAAGACAGGCTTACTCCCCATTGCACGAGCTGGGAGCCCACAAGCTTCCCGCTAAGGAGAGAAATGAGGGTTTTCTCAAAGAAAGAGCCTGGGGAGGGCAGGAGAGGGTCACCCCGAGACCGTGCCCACTGCTTCCTGGCACCGGCTCGAGAGGTGCAGGCCCAGGAGGTCCAGATTTCCATAAGGAAGCACAACCATTGAGTCTCACAGTCACACACAGTCACCTCCGGGTATAACACAGTCACTGTCACAGCCAGTCACCTACAACCACACAGTCATCTGTGATCACAGTCACTCACCGCCATGCGTCACCTGGTCACTCACGGTCACCACAGCCACACACGGCCACTCCTAGCCATGCACAGCCACAGCCCCCTTGAGTCTCCTAGGCGCTTGACCTGCAGCACCGTGGGACGGGTCAGGTCCTGCCCCCGCAGCCCACCCCAGTGCTGGCACCGCTGCCCTGGAGCCAAGCTCAGGGGCATCTCAGGGGCCTGGGGCACCGCCAGCACCAGGTCTTGCTCCCCGCCACAGCCTCACCCCTCCTTTGCTGCCGAGGAAGAACACGGTCTTCTCCCCGCCGTCCGGCCCGCTGTCTCCGCTGCCCGCGCCTCTCCGCTCCACCTCAGCCCGTGCGATCTCCCAGAGCGTCTCCCTGCGGGCAGAAGGACACACTCAGGGGGCAGAGAAGCAGAGGCCAGACCGGGAGAGAGCTGGGGTCCGTCCACGGAGCCTGGGCCAGGCTGGCTTCTTGCAGGGCCTCCAGGCAGGGGACGGCAGGGACCTGCCCCTGGAAACGCGAAACTCGAAAGCGGAATCTTCCAGGAAACGGGAGAGGTGCTTAAAGGGCACTTTTAGGAGCACTGCCCCGGAGTACTTCTCTGCAGGAATCCCGAGGGCCAGGAGAAGCCTCGAGCGCGGGTTTGAATGCGGAGGCTCCAATTCTATTCCTGGGCCCACGCAGCCCCCAGCACCGCTGGGCGCCCCTGCACACTGGCCAGCGCCCGTCTCCTGCTGGACCATCGGCCACGCTCCTGACCGGCCCTCAGGCATCCCCTCAACACACACGGCCTAAGAACCAAAAGCAACACTTGCTCCCCTCGGACCCGGCTCTGGTCCGCGCCAGACCAGCGCCGGGACCGGCCCCCTGCACCCCCACCCCGGGGCGGGCACTGGGGGGTGAGGGGCGCGAGCGGCGAGCCGAGGGGACGGCCAGCGCCGGTCACCGTCCACTCCCTGCGGGCCGGAGCCCGCGTCCCGTCCCCGGGGCGGTCCGGAGCGGGTGCGGGGGAGCCCGGCCCCGCGCCTGCAGCGCCCCCACCGCCCACCCGGCCGGGGTCGCGCCGCCGCCACGCGCCTACCCGGGCATCGCGGCCGCCGCTCCCGCAGGCCCGACGCCGCCGCCCGCGTTGCCATGGGAGCGCCGGCGCGGGCGCGGGGCATCACGGGACTTGTAGTTCTGGCGCGGGCTGGGCCGGCCCCGCTGTGGCCACCCACGTGCCGCCCCGCCGCCTCCGCCTGCAGCGATCCCGGGGGAGCGCGCGTGGTCTCGCGCGCGGGCGCCCTAGGGACGCCTCTTCTCTGTGCGGACCGCGGGCTGCGCAGATCTCGGCGAGTCGCCAAAGAGAGCAGCGTCAAACTTTGCATTGCCCGACTGCTCTGGGGTCAGGAAGGCGATTCCCGCGGCGACTGAGTGGCCTGGAGCAGTGTGAGGGGTCGGGGAGGCTGGTAGGGCTGGGGGCTCGCTGCTCTGGGTGGCTGAGCAGGTCCCGGCTTTCGCCTCGCCCGCCCAGAACCAACTGGGAAGGCCCTGGCGGGGGTCGCGCCTTTCTAGCCTAAGAGAACATCTTTCTGGGTGACAGCGGTTCTTGGGGGCTGGCTGTTCCGCAGTTAACCCCGGGAGACGGCAGAAAGTGAGCAGGACCCCCGAGGGTGTAGGGACGGGATGCCCCGGAAACATCTGGGAGCGCATTTCGTTTAGACAGTACACGTGGCCATGCAGTGCTCTCTGCAGCGGCTGAAAGATTCTTAACGGTCAAGGCTAATCACACCTGGCGGCTGTGCTGATGGCATGCTGGCTCGTTTTAGCTGATGTCGGGGGATGTCTCCAGACAGGACTTGATGAAGGACTGAACTACCTGGGTACAGTCCGAGGCTGTTCAGGACACAGAGACCCTTGGTCTCGGGCTGGACAGCTCCTGCAGGACAAGGTTCTTCACTGGCCAACGGCTTGTTCGGGACTCCCTGGGCGTTTGGGGTGTGTGTGCATGGCTTGGAGGGGGGATGTGAAGTATTGGGGAGACTACGGAGAGCAAGCTGGCTAGAGCACCTGTGTGAGGAAGGAGTCGGTTTGACTGAGCACTGGGCATGAGTTAGAGACCTAGCATGAGCCCCATGGGGTGCAGGGACCCGACCCAGCACCCCGAAGGCCTTTGCGGCTGTAAGGGACGTTCACAGTGCGGGGATTCAGGGCGGGACCGGAGACGGCTCCAGCTCTTCACGCAAGCAAGCAGACCAGCGCCCCCAAGCGGAAGAGCTGTTGCTCCAGGCACTGGGAAGGAGTTGACAGCCGCATCCCTTGCAGTCGCATGGGCCAGAGGTGTTGGGTGCAGGTGACTCATTTGAGTGCTCCCACATCTTGGTTGGGGGAGATTCACTGCATGCACTTGCACTGGGCTGATCTGAGGCTGTTCTCTGGGATTTTCCCAACTGAAATCGGGGGAAACAAGCACTCATCTTTGAACATAAGCGAGCACTTCCTGACGAGCATTGAGCCACTTTGTCCTGAAAGAACGTGCGATGTGCAGGGGCCAAAGCCAGGTGCCAGGGGCTGGAGCGATAGCACAGTGGGTAGGGCGTTTGCCTTGCACGCGGCCGACTGGGTTCGATTCCCAGCATCCCATATGGTCCCCCGAGCACTGCCAGGAGTGATTCCTGAGTGCAGAGCCAGGAGTAACCCCTGAGCATCGCTGGGTGTGACCCAAAAAGCAAAAAAGAAAAAAAAATTCAGGTGCTGCGGCAGATGTTGGATGTCCGGACGCAGCCGCGTCGCCGCCTGGCCCGGCCGTGTGCTCCGCTTTCTGAGAAGGCGGCTGTTGTGCCTAGCCATCTCTTCCTCCCTTTGAGCAAGTTAGTGAAGGGTTAAATTTTGGGGGTTGTGACTGTCTGTTCTCATCCCCCACCAGCAACAGAATGTGCGCCTGAGGAGGTGGGTGCTCGTGTCTCGTGTGATGAGAGGGGCGGGGCACCCGCGAGTGGGTTCAGGGAGGGAGCCAGTTTGGAGGACAGGTGGGAAACCCTCCCCACCCCCCAAGACAGTGGCACCACTTGGCATCGCAGTTGAGGACTCACAGGACCGAGGCCTCGCCCACTGGGGGTAGGCGGGGGCAGCGGGAAGCCCATGAGAGTGAGCCCCAGCTCTGCCAAGCTTGCCCATTTCGGCGAGATTTCCTCTCAGAACGGTCAACTCACTCTTTCTGGCATCTGAGAGGTCCGTGGAATTTTCTACACCTCTGAGAAGTTGCTCCCTTGAAGCCCCCTTGTCTGGCCTCCGCGGGGGTGGCCGAGCCTCCTGCGACACTGCCCCGCTGAGCAGAGTCCTCGTGTCCTGTCCCGGACACACCCGGGCATCGGACTCTCTCATCTGCTCTCCCTGAAGCCTCCCGCTGCCCCTCGGGGGCCAGGCCATCCCGAGTGTGCCTGGGGGGGTCTGTGGCACTGAAGGCGGTTCCTCTTCCCTCTCTGTCTCTTCTTCTTGCTCTGGGACTTTTGTCTGGGAGCTCCCAAGCAGTGCTCAGGGGTGGGCCTGGGGTGCTTGGGGAGGGCCGAACGGGGCTGCCCCTCATCTCGACGCTGTCTCCCTGCTCTCTGCTTTTGGGGGGGGTGTCACACCTGGCAGTGCTCAGGGGCTCCTCCCGGCTCTGCACTCAGGAATCACTCCTGGCTGTGCCTGGAGGGTCTAAGGGATGGTGGGGATCGAACCCGGGTTGACTGCGTGCAAGGCAGACGCCCTCCCCGTTGTGCTATCACTCTGGTCCCTCAACTTCTTACTTTTTACAAGTTGAAATTTATATACGGAAATCGTGTATTAACAGAATCTCCTCCCTTATTGTTTTGGGGCCCTCCCAGTGGTGCTGGGGGGGGGGGGCCTGGGGGGCCGGGGATCAAACTCGGGCCTTTTGCCTGGCCGGGTCTGGTTCGTCCCGCAGGCCAGCCTGGGCCTGCCCTCCCGCTGCTGGGGTGTGCGCGGTTGTTGGGCCCGTGTCGCCTGTGCCTGTGTCCAGGTGCCCAGAGTGAGGTGGCAGAGCCTTGAGGAGGGAGGATGTGGCCGTGATGGGGGGGGAGACGAGCCAAGAGGGAGAGACATGTGGAGACGCTGTTGAAAGTGTCCGCTCCTCACCAGGGACTCGTACAAAGCAGACGGTGGTGACAGCTTTGCGGGTGTCACCAGTGCCCAGGACTGCTAGCGAGGCATGACTCGGGCCAGGGAGAGCCACCACAGGACCGAACCACGGCCGCAGGTACTTTCAGTCACGGGGATCTCCAGGACCCTGGGTGCCTTTCCTAAGAGACAAAGCGCTCCTGGGCCCCAACTGCCCCGTCATCCTTCAGGGCAACTGTGACCAAAGTGTCCTAGGGCTGAGCCTCCAGGTACTTCCTTTCTGTCAGAAGATCCTCCGACAAGCCACACTTCGAGGAGACCCTGGAGAAGGCGCGACTTAGTTCTTTCGTACACCCAGAGCTAAACTGACTTCTGGGCATGGCCCACCTGACCCTGGCCCAAGCGACAGGCCTCTGCCACCACTCACCTGTGTGAGGTGAGCAGAGCTCGTGGGGCCCCAGGACATGCCAGGACAGCGTGACCTCCCACACCAGACAAAAGCAGCACGGCCGATGCAAAGGCCGGGAAGGAGGGACCGCGTGTCGTGGTGGCAAAACTCAGCTTCAGGGCCGAAACATCAGGCAGTTCCTGGGGTTCTTGGAAAGATTTAACTCAAGTGGATTCTGTATGTTGTTTATTGTGATCGGAAGGGAAGAAATGATGGAAGGAATATGAAACAAGTGTAACATCCATCTCTCACAGCCAATCATAACACTTCAAAAAAATGTAAGTGGCTATTATGTAATTTCCTAGAAAAAATTTCACATCATCAATTACAGGAAATTAACATCTTTCCATCAAAATATTTATGTCTTCTCTATCCAAAATAAATGCCAAGTCCAAGGTCCTACTCCTTTACCTAAGGTTCAACTCCCCGCTTAAAGAAGCAGATCTGAGGGGAGTTTCCGAGGACGAATCCATCCTGTCTGGGAAGAAAGTGCCCACACAGACACAATCACAGACACACACCCTCACACACACAACACAGACTCCCACACGTAACACACAAACATCTCCCACACTCACTCTCAAATAGACAGACAGGCCCACACACGATGCACATTCCTTCACACACTGCTACTCATCCACTCCCTCAGCTTCACAGTCTCACACAGACACACACTCACACTCACACACTTATTCTTTTTTTTCTTTTTGGGTCATACCCAGTGTTGCACAGGGGCTACTCCTGGCTCTGCACTCAGAAATTACTCCTGGCGGTGCTCAGGGGACCATACGGGATGCTGGGAATTGAACCCAGGTCGGCCTCATGCAAGGCAAACACCCTACCCGCTGTGCTATCACTCCAGGCCTTCACACACTCATTCTTTAATACTTAACACAACAAACACTCACATTCACACACCCACTCTCTGGCGCTCACACAACTCTCATACTCACACACTCATTCTCATACTATCTCTCTCTCACATACCTCCTCTCACACACAGGTAAGGGTGACTCAGACAAGCCTCAGGTTCACCCAGTGATGACGCTGGGTGGTCTCCTGGGAATGCAGATGCCCCCGTGCCCCAGACAGAAGGCTCCTTGGCGAGCTCCCAAACTGTGGGGTTCTCCCTCAGAACCGACACGCTTCCGCCCTGAGGCTCAGGGGGTGAACAAAGCCTTCTCCCAGGACCGGGCCGCTTTCTGGGCTCGCCTGAGCTGTGACCTGGGCTCTGCCCCTCTGGGGCTCCCAGCACGGGACAGGCCGTTCCAGAAAGATCCATGAAAAGCACACATTGCCCCTGGAAGAGCAACCCGGAAGGAAGGGCGGGGAGGCAGAGTGCAAGCACACAGCAGCTCACCTATTTCCTCCTCTTGGTTTAAACACAGAGTGAAAAGTCTGTCCACAATAAATACAAATATTGACATAAATAAGACTCTACTCATGGCTACATCACAATAAAAACATTTCACTGAGACCTTCGTGTCCAGTCACAGCATGGCTTCCTCAGAGCAGTAACGGCTCTGCTCTGACGGGCACTGGGAGGTCTGTCCGTCTGGGCACTGGACTGGCTCAGCCCTGGGCTCCTCCTGTGAATGCTCCTCCTTCCTCAGAAAGATCTCTGGCTCCTTTAAAAGGTGCTTGGCTTGGGCCAGAGTGACAGTCCAGTGGGCAGGACACTTGCTTCGGGGCGCAGAGCCGGGGGACCCAGCACTCATGTGGTCCCCTTGAGCACCGTCAGGAGTCGGGTCCTGAGTATCACCAGGTGTGGGCCCCAAACAAACAAAGAAACTAAATAAAACATGCGTGGGAAGTCGTTTCCTCTGAGGCCCCACGGGGCAGTCTGCCTCCTGCTGCCTGAGCAGGAGCCATCCCCCCCCGGGCCCGCCCATGACAGCAACTGTCTCCAGGGGTTGGAATCTCCCCTCCTGGACTGCGCTGGGAGAGGCCAAGGGGTGGCTGCGGTGGGCAGAAGAGGCTGTCCCCTGCCCCTCCCCCCGCCCCAGCCAGCCGGGGTTTCTCTGCAGTGCCAGCGGGCTCTGAGCCTCAGAGCAAAGTGGGGCCTTTGGCAGGTCTGCTGCTGGCCGGGAGCGGCTGGGCACCCTGGCCGGAGGCGGACAGCAGCGCTGGGGCCGAGAGGCGATGGAGCATGGCCTTCTGCTGGTGGAAGTGGTTTATGTAACTGGCGATCAAAAGGGTGATTTCGAGAATCTGGAAGAAGCAGCAGAATCGTCATCCCCAGAGGCCCTCCTGGGCCCGCGGCCAGACTCCTCTCAGCCACCCCGACCCTCCCGCCGCTCCCACCCCCGCACATTCCCGGGAGGGCGAGCCCAGTGGTCATCACACTGCCAGTGGGAAGATGCTGCTGGCTCTGGCTCGAGGTGCTGTATCCCTTTGACCATTTTCGGAAAAAGAATCTCCCCTTCCTGTTACTCAGAGCTGAGTGACAGGTTCTGGCAAGGCCTTTTATTTGCTTCTTGCGCAGAGATATGGAGGATACTTTGGAGTTTGCAAAGGGAGGGCCCTGAGAGGAAGTTCGGGCGGTTGCCTGGACGTGGCTGGCCCGTTTGGAACCTCAGCACCACAAACGCTTCCCCAGAACCACCAGAGGTCATGCCGGGGCAGAGCCAGGAATCGCCCCTGAGCACTGCCGGCTGTGGCCCCAAAAAGACCAATAAAGGGACAAGGACAAGAACATTTTTGTTCCCTTTTTGTACAGCTTTTCCCACATGCCTGATGCTTGGTGGTCACTCCTGGTGGGGCTGGGCCACAGGCAGGGTGGCTGACCGGCCCTCTGCACTCAGCCCTGTCCTGGCGACTTTAAACTGGGAGCCCTTGTCCCAGGGAAGGAGATCGTCCCACTGGGCCATTGGGGCCAGTGTCGCTCCCTTGGCCCCGCTGGGCGCTCAGCTCCTCCCCGGCTTCTTCACCAACACAAGTGGGAGTGTCTACTGTTGCCCCAGCCTGGCCAGGGCCTGCTGCCTGGCACCTGGGCAGCAGCCGGGCAGCATTGCGGGTTGACGCGCTCGGCTCAGCGGCACGCGCCTTACGCTGCCCCTGGGGCTCAGACCCGGACCAAGGCCGGGAAGGCGGGCTGGGCGGGACAGGCTTGCACGCTGGCGGGAGGCTGCTCACCTTGGGCTTGGCCATGGCGAAGAGGAGGGTCTCGGTGGGCTTGTCCTTGGAGTGGGAGTTGTTGATGACCACCATGAAATCGTCCTGATAGCCCCCGAAAGTGATCAGGTCCTTGTAGAGGTAGCTGACCACCAGCCGCTGCGGGGCGAGACAGAACGCTCACCAGTGGGAGGAGACGGGCTGGTGGGCGCTGACGAGTGGGCTGGGCTTCATTCGCCGCCCAGGACTCGCTTTCTCCTCCTGTGACCCATCTAGCAGATCAGGCGCTGGGCAGAGTGGACGCCGGCTGCAGGCTGCAGCCGGGTCCGAGAGCTGGAGGTGGGCTCCTTGCTCCCGGGGTCAAATGCCTGCAGGGGGTGCCCTGGGGTTTGCCTCCCCGCTGCCTGGCATTGGTAGGTGTTGGGTATCAACCCTCAGTGTTTTAGGCTTCACCGGTGAATTGCCCCTTTAGTCCTCCCAGAGAAGCTTACCAAGCCCTTGCGAACATTCCTAATTTGGTTAACGTCTATCTTCAACCTTTCCTTTGTGTTGGACGTTGACCCTAAGTGCTTCAGGCTTCACCAGTGAGTTCCCCCCTTTCTTCCTCCCTGAGATGATTAACAAGCTCTTGCTAGCATCCCTAATTTGATAAAGTTTATCCTTAACCTTTCCCTTATATTTTATCTCTCACTGTCACAGTTCCCCAAGTCGGTCTTCATTACTTGTAAGCCAAAGCTTTCTGGTAATTCTGAACTTCGTATTTGTACTGCTTTGTATTTGAAGTGCTGTACATTTATATCTGCTTTTCTATTTCCCCTATAGCTTTTTAATATTTTACTACAGAGCAGTGTTCTTTGGTTAAACACAGAAAGACCATTCATGCTATGCTCCTAATTTTTGGGAGTTGATTGACTCTGAAATATATCTGCTCCCAGGCATAATTACTGGTCATATTTACTTGATTAGGCTTCAGTTGCTCTAATTCCTAACACCCCCAAAGGGAGGTCCCGCCGTGGGACTGGGATGGACCCAGGGCGAGTGACAAAGTTACCCGGCGTGGAAATGGGACGTTCTAGAAGGCATAAATGCATGGTCTTGATGTAAGCAGCTACAACCTAAGAGATAGAACCCCCATGGGGAAGGACAAGCTGAACAGGCCTGAGGACTTACTCTGGGATTTACGGTAAGAACCCTGCTTGCTCTCAGTCCAGAGAACTAAGTGTTGGGATCTTTGTCTTTTACTGTGTTCATCCAAAGAACTGCAAGTATTGATAACTTATACAACTAGAGGGAAAGATAAAAGCAATGTAGATGTCCCAGGGAGACAATATCTTCTTGAGTTAATCTCCCCAAGAGAATTTCCTTGGCCAAATGTTTATCTATGTAAATGGCCAATCACACCTATGTCCTTACCTCAATCCAATCCCCCCCATCCCCCAGATGTTCTCTAAGTATGCTGGCAACTCTACATTAAAGGGGCCATTTTCATCATCAGACTGTGGTCCCCAGGCTCCCTGACTCTGTCTCTCTGCTGGGAAGCCCTGGGGAGGTGGGGAGGCGGCTCTGGGCCACCAGACGCACACACGTGGCAGCAACAGCCCCGCGATTTACTGTGTGAACTCACTGGTTGTGACCCCATGACCAGACAAGGGGCAGCAGACTCTGGCCCTCAGACAGCCTGCCCCCAGCGTCTTCGCCAAGTTCTTTGCTCTGTGGGACCGAGAGCTTCCGCAGGAGATGTCGGCTGCCCCGGACGGCTCGCACGGAGCTCTGGGAAGCATCCGGTCCCAGGTCGAGGCTCTGGTGCCAACACAGCGACAGAATTCCCGCTGACAAACGGTGTCGCCTGCCCCGGGTCAGGCCACATGATGTTCAACTTGACAGGCCACCTGCCCAAGTGAACTGAACATCTAGGGGCAGCGGCCAGGCCACCTGCAGATTCACCCGGAGCCAGGCTCCCCCCGGGGCTCTGCCCCACCAGACAGCAATAGCGTTTTCTAGGAACCACTGGACTTCATGATCAAAATAATTTTGACTTTGACCCAATATCCCACTGGAGAAAACACAGAAATTCAGAGAGAAGCAGCAGCTCTTTCTCCGTCTCGGGAGAGCAAGTGGACACCGCAGCCCTCGCAACTCCGGGCTGCGTCCTGGCCCTGTCCCTAACAACAATGCCCTTATTTGCATAGTAGGCCTCTGTGCTGACCATCGGCCACCAGCACTCACAGCTCACCTGGGAAGTTGACTTTACAGACCGAGAGCACTGGGCTTGGGTGCATTTCCTGATGGCTAAGGAGGCCCGTGCTCTAGGCTGACACTGAGCTCACCTCCCTGCTCCCTCTGAGAGCACCGAGACCCGAGCCTGCCTCCCACTGTGGGACGCCAACCCCAAGTCCATCACCATCTACAGCCTGGGGAGTGCTAACCAAAATACTGACATTCTTTTTTTCTTTTTCTTTGCTTTTTGGGTCACACCCAGTGATGCACAGGAGTTACTCCTGGCTTTGCACTCAGGAGTTACCTGGTGGTGCTGGGGGACCATATGGGATGCTGGGAATCGAAACCGGGTTGGCCGTGTGTGAGGCAAACGTCCTACCCCCTGTGCTATTGTTCCAGCCCCAATAGTGACATTCTTCATAATGCAGAAGCCCAACTGTTTCTTTGTCATAAAAGCCAAGAACAAGAGGGGCCATCTGCCCCCCACCTGCAGCCCATACCTACATCCATCCTGAGGGTACCACCCGCCCCGCACAGCCCCCATACGCACCCCCTGTGTCCATCATGAGGATCCCACCCGCCCCCCACAGCCCACCACATCCTTCGTGTCCATCCTGAGGGTCCCACCCGCTCCCCACAGGCACCCCCCAGCGTCCATCTGAGCTTTCTCCCTTGACCACTGGTGAGGGAGAATCTCACCCTTGGAGGGCGGGTTCCCACCTCCCAGGAAGCAGGGAGGCCCCCGAGGAATTCAGCCCGGAGTTCTGACCTCTGTAGATCCAGGAGGCATTCAGGAAGTAGAAAGTCCTTTACAGAAGGTTTCGTTTCCTGCCTTTGTTTGTCTGGGGGCCACACCTGGTAGTGCCCTGGGTTACTCCTGTCTTAAAGCTCGGGGGTCATCCCTGGGTCGGGGCTTGGGGGACCAGGCAGGGTGCTGGGGATGGGGCCTAGACAGGTGCGTGCAAGGCAGGCACCTCCCTGCTGCTCCATTTCCCTGCCCTGGAGGAGAAACAGTGATGGTGACATGTCTCATCTCCCGGACGGGCCCCAGGAGGAACTGACTGTCCCAACTTTGCCAGAGTAACTCCGAGGAGGAGGAAAGGGGGCGAACAGTTCCAAGCAGCCTCACGCCTCCGAGGCCCGGCGGACACACGCCAAAGAGGAGACGTGCGTGGTGCTCTGCCGGAGCACGTGAGAAGCTCACAGAACCACGGGTGTGCCTGGGTCTAGGGAGCTGAGTCACCACGGGGGCTCCGGAAATCTACAGGTGGCATCGTGGGCAGCAAGGGTCTCCACACAGGAGCCACCACGGTACAGCCAGGCCGTCTCGGCAGCCGTCTCCCACCACTACCGTCAGAATCAGCCATGTTGGGCAAACCACAGAACGTGGGGCTAGGACACGTTTTCTGTGGGGTGAGTGTGGTAGAGAGCGGCCTGGTCAGTGCACCGAGGGCTGGGACCATCCGTGGCCTGGTCAGTGTGGTCAGTGGTGGGACCATTCGGCCTGGTCAGTGCACCGAGGGCTGGGACCATCTGTGGCCTGGTCAGTGCACCGAAGGGTGGGACCATCTGTGGCCTGGTCTGGTCAGTGTGGTCAGTGGTGGGACTGTCTGTGGCCTGGTCAGTGCGCTGAGGGGTGGGACCATCTGTGGCCTAGTCAGTGCGATCAGTGGTGGAACCATCTGGCCTGGTCAGTGCACTGAGGGCTGGCACCATCTGTGGCCTAGTCTGGTCAGTGTGGTCAGTGGTGGGACTGTCTGTGGCCTGGTCAGTGCGCTGAGGGGTGGGACCATCCGTGGCCTGGTCAGTGCGGTCAGTGGTGGGACCATTCGGCCTGGTCAGTGCACCGAGGGCTGGGACCATCTGTGGCCTGGTCAGTGCGGTCAATGGTGGGACCATTCGGCCTGGTCAGTGCACCGAGGGCTGGGACCATCCGTGGCCTGGTCAGTGCGGTCAATGGTGGGACCATTCGGCCTGGTCAGTGCACCGAGGGCTGGGACCATCTGTGGCCTGGTCTGGTCAGTGTGGTCAGTGGTGGGACCATCCGGCCTGGTCAGTGCACCGAGGGCTGGGACCATCCGTGGCTAGGTCAGTGCACCGAGGACTGGGACCATCCGTGGCTAGGTCAGTGCACCGAGGGGTGGGACCATCTGTGGCCTGGTCTGGTCAGTGCGGTCAGTGGTGGGACCATCCGGCCTGGTCAGTGCACCGAGGGCTGGGACCATCCGTGGCTAGGTCAGTGCACCGAGGGCTGGGACCATCTGTGGCCTGGTCTGGTCAGTGTGGTCAGTGGTGGGACTGTCTGTGGCCTGGTCAGTGTGCTGAGGGGTGGAACCATCCGTGGCCTGGTCAGTGCATCAATGGTGGGACCGTCCGTGGCCTGATCAGTGCCCTGAGCAGTGGGACCGCTCATGGCCTGGTCGTACACAGCTCCATCTCTGGGAAGACTGGGCTTCTACTTACCAGGGAGCCGTGTTCTAAGACGCTCACTCCATCCTCGTGGACAGCCAGCCACGTGCTGGTGCTTCCCAGAGACAAAGCAGCTGCAGGCTGTAAAGAGGTGAAAACACAGGCAAGTCGGTCACTGCTGCGCTGGTCACTCTAAGGTGACATCTGCCGAAGGACAGTGGCTAGCGCCTGTGCAGCAGGAGGAGGGAGGAGGCGTGCGGGGAGGACGGAGCCAGACAAGGGCCCACCGAGCATGTGCTCCTATAGGCCATTCCGGGGCTGGGCTCTTGTCTCCACGGTGGTGGGGAACTCGTGTCTGACTCGGCTCACCCTGGCTGGCCTCTGGAGACGGCTGTGGCAAGCCATGCCAGCGGACAGGCTGCAGGCGGGCAGGGCTGATGCCCGAGGCCCAAACCCCCAAACAACCAACAAGGAAAGGAGCAGGAGCATGAGAGGAAAAGCCCTGAGCTTCCGAAGGGTGACACAGGCGCCAGCAAGGTGGGCGCTTAGGGGCCCGGTGCGTGTTCACCCCACCCTGTGCTGCCTCCCTGAGCGTGTGCCCAGGACAGTGTCCCTGGGCCCAGGTGGGAAAGAGCAGCCTGAGAGATGCTGCCTCACGGCGTCACTTCTTATTCAAGTGTCTGACGGCTGGAGGGGCCGAGCTCAACAGATCCCAAATGCCGTGAAATGGCCAGCAGGGTCCAGCCTGCCAAAGGGGAGTCTGCGCCAGTCCTGGAACAGGTGACGCTCAGTGGGAAACACCCAGAACAGGTGACGCTCAGTGGAAAACACCCGAACAGGTGAGGCTTGGCGGGAAACACCTGGAACAGGTGATGCTTGGCGGAAAACACCCGGGCGGTGGATACACACATGTGAGAAGCTACAGACACAGGACTGGTCACAACAGAGGGGCTGGATGTCCACTAAATTCTTCCCTGGCCAAGAAATGCATGAAAGACTCTCCTGCCGGCGAAGGCAGCAAGGGAGCCGAACCACCCCACGACGGTTCCCAGCAGAAACGCTGGCACGTATCCCCACACCTCCCCCAGCACAGGGCCCGGGCAGGGAGGACAGCATCGTGAGTGCCGGTGTCCTCGGGAGGGAGGACCAGGGTGACGGCCGTGCAGGGCCCCGGGGCGGAGCGGGAGGAGGTTGCACGGGACACGGGCTTTGTCACCTGTGAGCCTTGGGCACGGTGGCTGCAGCGCCCCTGCTGGGCGGAGAAAGTGGGTCCGGGACAGGGGTGCAGCGCGAGCACAGTGCAGGCGGGGAGGGAAAGGGTGCAGGATGGGGGGCCGGGAGGCCTTGTGCCTCCGCAGGTCCCGGGAGGGGCTGGAGCCACAGCACAGCACGGGCCTTGGTCGTGCACACGGCCGGCTGTCCCCGGCATCCCACAGGGTCCCCGAGCCCACCCAGAGCGACCCCCGAGTGCAGAGCCAGGAGTCAGCCCTGAGCATCACTGGGGTGTGGCCCCAAACAAAGACACAACCACACAACAACAAAAAGAAGAGAAGAGAATGTCCCGTGTAAAGCACCAACGGTGCCCCCCTCCCCGGCCTCCCGGGGACCCCAGGGTGCGGCCTAAGCACAGAGCACACCTAACGCTCACCACAGTGCTCCTGCCGGACCCTACCCAGAGTCCAGGAGCACAGGGGGGCGTGACGGGGACCAGAGCTGAGGGGACGGCACCCGCCTGTCGCAGCCGCTGGCTCCGTGCCTCCTCCCCGGGCCCTCTGCTGTCCTCCTGGCTGCCGGCTCACCCACGCTCTGTCCCCTGCAGCTTTGCGGCCTGTGTTAGGAGGTGGAGTTTGTGCAAAGCAGGCCGGTGAGGGGAGCCGGGGAGGCAGCTACCGACAGCCTCACCGCACCAGAGTCCACGAGCCCAGGCTCCGAGGAAAACATGCAGTTCTGCACCAGCCGTCAGGGTGCACATGCTTGGGACTCGTGGGGGAGGGGCGGGAGGGCCTGGCCAGTTTGGGAGTGTCCCTGTTTCTCCCCAAAGTCTACCCACTGGGCTGGGGCTCCAGGGCCATGACACAGAGACAGGTGCAGCCGAATGTCCCCTCAGACGGTCTCACCTTTGCCGGGAACAGCTTGGCACCAAAGAAAGGCCACTTCCTGGCCACTGTTAAGTAAATGCGCACACACTCGGCCGCGCTGTGTCCCCGAAGGGCCGTCCACCGGCTGGACAGTCGCTGGCAAAGCTGCCTGAAAGGGAGGAGAGGGAGACAGAATGCTGAGGAAGAGAGCAGTGTGTGTGTGTGTGTGTGTGTGTGTGTGTGTGTGTGTGTGTGTTGGGGGGGGATGGCCCTGCCTCAGGCCCCCAGAGGAGTCCTGCTCTCGCGGCCACCTTCCAAAAGACCCGTGAGCTGGAGGCCGTGACACTGGCCTTCACCGAGACTGTGGAAAGGTCACTTCGGCAGAGTAACTTTCCTTTAAAAAACACAAAAATTAAAGACAGAGAAGGACCCAGCACTGCAGCTGAGGCGGGTCGGAGAGCACAGCCCGCCAAGGCCACTGAGAGGCACCGTCCACTGGCCCTCGCCACTGTCCAGCACTCCGCTGACCCTTGCCACTGCGAACCCTCGTTCCACGGACCCCGTCCACCACTGACTCTCACCCGCCATGAACCTCCATCCCCCACGCACCCCTACCAACCACGAATTCCTGTCTTCCACTGTCCACCGGCCGTTCCAATCCATAAACTACACCCACCACTGACCCCGGCCACAGTAACCCCACCCACTGCTAAGCCCAGTCCACCACTCGCCTCGCCAACTCCCACCCACCACCGACCCTCATCCGCCACTGACCCTCTCCCACTCAATTCCAACACTCACCTCCAGCCATCACCCACTCAGATCCACCCCACCCCACCCCCGCTCGTCCCCACCACTAGCTCCCACCCACCAATTGCCCCCATCTTTCACTTAAGCCTCCACCTCCCACTAATCCCATCAACGCTTTAACCCTCCGTTCACCACCAATTTCCATCCACCACTTAACCCTCATCCATTAGCCCCCAATTCGTCACCAACACCCCCCCCCCACTATCACAAACCCCCACCCACCTAACTTGCCACCCGCCACTGCAGCGCCATCACCACTAGGCGTCCATCCCACCTGTAACCATGCCCCTCCGCCCACCACTAACCCCCGCCCACGCCCCGTCCCCGCCCACCACTCACTCCCACCCTTGAGACTGATCCCCACTGTTCGGACTTGGGGCACACACGGTGAATGGGATTCACCTCAATTGTTTAATCTACAACGTTTTCTTTAAATGTTCTCTGAACTCCACAAGCTAAATTCAACTGACATTTTTTTGTAAATCAGCACGGGACGCTCTAAAACAACAAGGAATGTCTTAGCAAGGGCCAGATGAAGCTCAAAAGCGCCGAGGGCCCAGGTTCGATCCTCAGGCAGCGCTAGGTACCCTGCTCAGCACTGAGAGCACCTGAGGAGAGAACCCCGAGGAGAGCATCCCAAGGAGAGCACCTGAGGAGGGCGCCCCTGAGGAGAGCATCCCTGAGGGGAGCACCCTGAGGAGAGCACCCCAAGGAGAGCACTCTGAGGAGAGCACCCTGAGGAGAACACCTGAGGAGGGCACCCCTGAGGAGGGCACCCTGAGGAGAGCACCCCGAGGAGAGCACCCCAAGGAGAGCACCCTGAGGAAAGCACCCCAAGGAGAGCACCCCTGAGGGGAGCACCTGAGGAGAGCACCCGAGGAGAGCACCCTGAGGAAAGCACCCTGAGAGCACCCCCAGGAGAGCACCCAAAGAGAGCACCCAAGGAGAGCACCCTGAGGAGAGCACCCAAGGAAAGCACCCTGAGGAGAGCACCCCTGAGGAGAGCACCCCTGAGGGGAGCACCCCAAGGAGAGCACCCCGAGGAGAGCATCCTGAGGACAGCACCCTGAGGAGAGCACCCCAAGGAGAGCCCCCGAGTAGAGCACCTGAGCAGAGAGCTGGGAGTACCCTCTGAGTGCTGCTGGTGAGGCCCCTCTGTTTGCCCTTCCACTATCAAGTGAGTTGGTTTCCTGAGAATGGACTAGGGGAGGACCTTGGGGGCAGGCAGGTGGTGCGGGGCCGGGGCCAGGGCTGTGCTGTTTGACCCCAGCCCTGCAGGGCCCCTGGGCACCCCCAGAATGACTTCCTGGCCTTCAAAGCACCCTGCAAAGCCCCAACAAGAGGGGACCCCCAATTTGTGCCTTATCAAAAGTTTGGGTTTGATTGGGAAGGTCCAGGCTGCACCTTAAATCTAGAAAGATCCATAACCGATAGGCTGGGATTCAACTGAACTTAGGACCCTTAGAAAACAACCAGGCGTCGTTCTCGTTCTAGGACTGGATCACGCGCGTGTCTGACACTCTGGCGACCTGCCCCCCGCCTCACCGCAGCTGGTCCTCCGAGGCGCCGTCTCTGTACCGACGCGGGTAGAACTTGTCCAGCACCTGTCGCAGAGTCTGATTCGCTTTGCAGTGATTTGGAATCTGGTCAGCTGGAGTTGACAAAGGTCTTTCAAAATCCCCAACGTCTACCTTTTTGGAAATCCAAACCAGAGAAAATACCGAATATTAAAAGAAAATTCACAGCGGGTAGGGCGTTTGCCTTGCACGAGGTCGACCTGGGTTCGATTCCCAGCATCCCATATGGTCCCCTGAGCACTGCCAGGAGTAATTCCTGAGTGCAGAGCCAGGAGGAACCCCTGAGCATGGGCTGGGTGTCACCCAAAAAGCAAAAAATATAAAAAAATTTAAAAAAAATAAAAGAAAATTCATTGTTCTTTCTAACCTATGGCATCCACGTGGTGGGCAGCAGGGTGGCAGGCACGCCCCGCTGGAATTCCATTTCCATCCAGCCCTAAAGCCCACGTGGTTGCCACAGCCCGGTTCCGTCCCCACCAGCTCCGAGGGCCCTCACCTGGCCGGCTCCTGCTGCAGCGCGGCACCCATCCCACCCGCTATTTCTAAGGTGCTGTTTGCACCAATAACAGCAGAGAGAAGATGCAGGTCAGGGGGGCATGGAGAGATCTCCCGGCTGTTTCAGTTCCCACGGGGAGATCTCATGACTGTTTTGGTTCCCACGGAGAGATCTCCCGGCTGTTTCAGTTCCCACGGGGGGACTGTTTCAGTTCCCACGCTTGCTCTCACCCATGGGTCTGCCGTGGGCCTCGCCCCTGGGAAGAGACCCTCTGCTCTCCTCCCTCCCTCAGGCTACAGAGATGCACCTTCGCCTACTTATGGAGCCCATTCACTCCCCACCACCCAGGCACCCCAATTCACTGACTTCCCGAAGCAGAAGTCTTCACCGTGACCTCAGGAAGGGCCCAGGGCAAGCACGTGCGTCCTTCAATCTCCCCCCTACTCTGATGCCTGCGTACTGGGCACTGCATGGGGGGGGGGGGGGGAGCACTGTGAGAGGGCAGAGAGGGCGGCCTCAGCCGATCTCCCCCAGGGCCCTCGCTGAGTGCCTGGCACCTCATCTGACATCATTGCAACCTCAGCAGTTCCGGGGCAACCCAAGGCACCAACGGGGGGGGGGCGGGCAGGGGGAGCCCCAGGGGCCTCGGCGGGTCTCACCGCTCACCTGTGCCAAGAGAGCCGCCATCTCCAGCGCCAGCTCCCGGCTCAGGGGGAAGAGGCCCTGCACGACCTGCTCGTTGGTCTGGTAGGCCAGCAGCAGCTTCTCCCTCTCCGTCTCTCCTCGAGCTTGCATGGCGAAGTAGAGTCTGTAAGAAGAGGACGCGGTGTCAGGGCGCGGCTGCCGGGCTCCCGCCTCGTGCGCTCTGGGCCCTGCTGCAGGGCTGGGCTCTCTCACTCCTCACACCACACGTAGGCCTGAGGCTGCCGTGTCCGTCTCTCAGGGCTCTGGGCCCCAGAGCCTGGGGGCGCAGGTCGGGCAACGCCGTTCAGCCCGTGATGCCGGCCGAGGCGCTGTCCTCCTCCGCATCGGGCTCACGGCCTTTCCTGGGGGCCTGACACAGACCACAGTCAACCCACCGTTCTGAGTGTCCCCTCGGAGGCTGCAGGTCCAGCGCCTGCAGGAGCCAAGAAGCTGCCCCGGGAACCACAGCAGCTGGCAGGGGGACGGCTGCACAGAGGGGTCCCCAGAGCAGCACGCAGACCCCCACTCCCGCTTCCCACTCTGCTCCGTGGGCTCCTCCAAGGTCTCACCCCCTCCAATTCCCGCCCCGTCCCCGCTCCAGACACAGTGCTCAGGGCCACTCCTGGAGTGCTGGGCCCGAGCTCAGGGCTCTCGCATGCAGCTATGCTCTGGCCTCTGAGCTCCACCAGGTCACAGTGAGGTTTGTAGGGAGCACCACAGGGCTCGACACCCCTGGTAGTGTGAGATTCACCCGGGATGGACCCCGGGGAGGACGGCTATTTGATCCCATCCAAAGGCAAGTTTTGGCAAAATCCAGTTATTGGGGACATAGGCTGGGCACCAGCTCCCCTGCTGCAGCCTGGCTGTCACTGAGAGCAGTCACAGATGCAGTTAACTGGCCGGGGCATCAGGAGTGCATGGGCACAATAGCGGGTGCACGCAGCCTGACCCTCCTGTGGGCGTGACGGCGGGCACGCAGCCTACACACCTGTTCTTGTACGTCAGCCGCACGGTCCGCGAGCCCTCCCACTTCCCGGCCTGCTGCTCGCGGGACGCCTGCTCCCATTTGGAGATGATGTCGCAGATCTGCAGGGAGAGCGGGACACGGAGGTGGGTGGTGCTCCTCACAGCAGCACGTCCGAGGCTGCAGAACTCCGTCGGGGGGATCCAAGCGCTTGGACAGAACAGCTGTGGGCCACATACAGTGTGGCCAGGACCACTGCAGGCCTCCCTTTGGCCCGGCTCCCGTGGCCACGGTCTCTTCCTCAGGACGGAGCCTGGCAGGCCGGACAGGAGGACGCCGGTGTCCTTGCACGAGTCCCCAGGGAACCTGAGATGCTGTGTGAGGGCCCTGGCCGGGGAGGAGCAGGGGACCCCAGGAGGGCTGGGCCTGGACAAGACCTCGAGTGTCCTGAGGCAGAGACGAGTCCGCACGCCTGGAGCTGGGCTGGCCCCAGCCTTGGCCTTGGCCGAGCCAGGAGAAGCCGTTCACACCTGTCTCCATCTCTAGTGCCGAGCTCCAGGCCACGTGGGCAGCCTGGGAGGAAGGAGCATGTGTGTGGCCCGACCTTGGGACCCCGTGTGGAAGCCCCTTCTTCCCAGCTTCCCCCTCGGGCCACAGAGCCGAGCCCTGGCTGCGATCTCCACCCTCAGGCCCCGGTCTGCTCGCTGTGGACATGACAGGCCATTCCTGCTGGTCCCGGGGGTCGGTATGACCTGCCGCGCGAGGACGGTGACCCTGCGAGAGCCCGAGGAGTCTGATGTGGGGGGCTCGGGCTAATCCTGGTCTCTCAGGGGCTCAGGGGACATATGGGCTCAGGGATCGAACCTGAGTGGACCATGGGCAAGGCCAGCGCCCTCTCACTCTGGCCCCACATGACGCTAAAGACGGCCCTGAGCCCGCCATGCTCTGCTCTCCTGGGCCCGATTTCCCATTCCAGCCATGGCCCAGCGCCCAGAGCACCTCATCCAGGCACTCACGGCCTGTGCCCTACCCCTGGGAGAGCAGGCAAGGATACAGTCTGTGCCCGTCACCCCTGGAGAACAGGCGAGGGACAGTCTGTGCCCCTCACGCAGGGAACAGGCTGTGCTGGCAAAGCAGAATGTGACGGGTGGGGCCCCTGGCCTGGGCATGTGGACACGAGGCCCAGAGGCGAGGGGGGCCGTTGGCCGGCACCGGGCCCGGTGCGCCCATCACTTTGGCACTACCTCGTGACTCTCTGCACAGAGTGTGGGTGTCCAGAGGACCCCCCACGCTGCGAGGCCAGTCTTCGGGGTACCTGGGGCCCTCGTGCTCCCCCTGCCCAGGGCTCTGGCGCACCTTGACGCTGCCCTGCAGACAGTGCTCCATGTCCCTGCCGGAAGGGTCGTCGGTGAACAGGGCGAACCCCGACTGCGCGGACCCCCGCATGCCGGAGTGCTGGTTCAGTGTGCTCAGGAACTCCCCCACGGTGGTGGATGCGTCGAAGCCGACCACCTGCACAGAAGCACAGGGCGCGAGGCGCTCGCTGGGCAGGCACAGGGCTGCTGCTGCGTCTGCCCTGAGAGCACCAGGGAGCCGCCCCATGCTGTCGGGGTTACTGTCCCGCGGGGCCGAAAGCGCTGCCTGCAGCCACAGCCGGCCTGGGGTGGGGGGAGGCAGGAATGCAGAAATGGGCCTGTGAAGCAAACGGGGCGCCAGGGCAGAGAGGGGCTCTGACGGGGCACCTGGAGCCTTTCCCGGGACTCAGCGTGAGGCTGAGCAGCTAAAGGCCACCAAGAGCTGCTGGCCGCGGCGGGGCGAGGGGTCACCCATGCCCCCTGGAGAGACTCTGTCCCTGGAGGGAGGGAGTGGCCAGTCTCAAGCCCAGCATCAGGACCACACGAGCGTGGGGCTGAGGCCCTGGCCCGGCTCTGGGTTTGCTGCCAGGGGGACCTCAGAAACAGCCACCAGACCTCTCGGAACAAGCCCACCTCCCTCAGAGGCAGGGCTCCCGGCCCGGCCTCCCCTGCCCAGGCCCTCGACCTCCCCGTGTGGCCCCCGGCCTCCCGTGGCTCTGCCGGCCCACCTGGTAGGTGCCGTTGGGGAAGTGCACGGGCACGCTGAAGGGCAGCGAGTGGTGGTAGGGATTCCGCAGCAGCACCGACAGGATCTCCATCCGCGACGGCCTCGCCTCGCGGTCTCCGTTCTGCTGCGTCCGCTCCACGCAGCGCTGGCAGTAAATGGCGTATTTTCCGAACTCCGTCCTGCGGTGGGAACGGGGGCTCGAGCCCAGAGCCGCTCCCCCCAGGCAGCCACAGGGTCCAAGAGAACCGGATGCTGCCGGTGCCGTCCACCCCGGCCCGAGGGAGACCGCAGCCACCTCTGCTCAAACGCCAGTTCCCGACACTTGTCACCCATCAAGGGATCAGACTCCTCCCAGGCAGCCCCGCTGTCAGCTACGACCACAGCTGCAAACTGCAAGGTGACAGTCCTGCTGGCCGCCCGGGGGCTAGTGAGCAAGGCCACGAACAGAGGGGGCTGCAGGCGCGGGCAGGCGAGACGTGGTGCTGGAGCACTTTCTCAGAGAAAAGCACGTTCTCCTTCTTTTCTATAAGACGTCCAAAGTAGGGGTCGGAGCAACAGCACGGGGGGGGGGGAACATGTTTCCCTTGCCCACGGCTGACCACGTGGCCCCCAGCCGGCCCCCGAGGCAATGAGCAGACCCCTTGAGCACACTGATGTGGACCCCCAAAATCAAAACCAAAGGGAGCAACAAAAATCGATGCAGGCCCCAGCCACCTGCTCACACCGGGCTCAGCCCCGGAGATGCCCGAGCACTGCTGGGGTCCTGGGGGACATGCCAGCAAGTCATGCCAGCGCTGCTCTCTTGGGCTCTAGCCTTGGCTGGTGAGTCTCTGGCTGCTTGACCCACTGGTCCAGTACCATTGGAATGCCTCAGGGGAGCCCCGAGAACTCTGATGTGAGGGGACGAGATGGGGGACCCCAGGCCACAGCGGCTAGACTGGACATCCTCCTTCTGGACCAGAGGCTCCACTGTGCGGCCCGGTGAGTCCTTGGCTATCCTGAGCCAGACTGAAGTGAGGAAGGAGATGTCCAGCCCCACGGTCACCTCACCTGCTCCCCCAGGCACTGTGCTCCTGGGCCGCACACCTGGGCCCGCACACCTGGGTCCATATGCCTGGGCCTACACACGTGGGCCCTCACAACGGGGTCCATACACTTGGGTCCATACACCTGGACCCATAAACCTGGGCCACACACCTGAGTCCATACACCTGGGCCTGCACACCTGGGCCCACACACCTGGGCCACACACCTGGGCCCTCACACCTGGGTCCGTACACCTGGGTCCATACACCTGGACCCATAAACCTGGGCCCACACACCTGGGCCCTCACACCTGGGCTCTCACACCTGGGTCCATACACCTGGGTCCATACACCTGGGTCCATACACCTGGGCCACACACCTGGGGTCTGCGTTCCTCTTGAGGTGCAGTTGCAGCAGCCACAGGAAAGGATGGTGGGGTAGGAAGAGGCCGACACACAGTGCCAACAGCTGCCAGCCCTGGGAAGAGACGAGTGTTGGCCTCAGGCAGGTCAGGGGTGACCCTGATGCTCTCTCGGGGGACACGCCCTGCATCACCCACACTCCCTGGGGCTGAGGCTGGCCAGAAGCAGGACCCCGTGCCCAGGCCACCCTGTCCCCCACGCACGGGGCTGCCCCGGCCTGTCGCGATGGCCTCTGCTCTCCCAGGTCATCCCACTTTGTCTCGAGCGAGAGGGGCTCTGAGTTGTCGGCTGTTAGGGACTGACAGTTGTTACAGGAGGAGAACTGGAAGCCCCTTGATGTCCCCGGACTACAGCCCCACAGTCATGTTTTGAGCAGTGCCGTGGTCAGGGGAACCACAGTCGCTCGTGGGAACGGAGATGCTGGTGTGCAGAGCCAGCAGCACTGGGGTGACCCCAGCCGGCCCGCGGTGCGGGCAGGTGTACGCGGGCCTACCTGCAGGGGCCCGGGCGGGCTCTGTGGCTGCCTCCACCGCGTCTGCTTGACGAGCTGGCAGCAGAGCTCGTCCTGCAGCTCGGGGTGCGTGAGGCACACCTGCAGGGCGCTCTGCGCCAGGGACACGTGGTAGTCGATGGCCGGCGCGTCCACAGCGGCACTGATGAAGAGCTGGCAGGTCTGGGGAAGGCGAGAGAGCAGCACCTCAGCACGGCCCCCCTCAGCCCTCACCGTCTGGGCGCGGGGCTCCCCAGGTCCTGCCAGCGGGGGTCAAGTGCAGGGCCAGGATGAGCTGGGCTCCTGCAGAGCCCGGGACAGCATGGTGCGGGGGCAGGGATGCAAGCTCCCCTCCCGGCCCGGCCACGGCCCCTCTGCACCAGCCAGAGCTGTAACCTGTCTCCAGGCGAGTTCCTTTCCCCAGAAGGATGGGAAACGGCCCAGCGCCGTCGCACTGATCCGAAGAACCCAGATGGCTGCAGAGCAGGGGACTGCCCGGGCAGGGGGGGCCTGGACACTGGGGAGTGCACCAGTGCGGGCCTTGTCCCTTCACGGCCACCTCAGGGCGACCAGGGAAACAAACGTAAAAGCAAACGAATGGGACTTAGCCCAGACCCGTCTCCACAGCAAAAGGCCCCACGTTGGTGAAATGCAGCCGACGCCTGCAAACGACATGCCAGAGGGGTGGATCTCCCAAACAGAAAGAGAGTTGTGTTTTGTTTAATAAACACAATAGCAAAAACTCCAAACCACCTAATAGAACACAGAGGCTCCATAAAGACATTTCTCCAGAGAAGCTACTCGGATGTCCCCAGGGCACGTGAAAGGACGCCCCGTCACCTCTCACTGACGAGGAAGCCACGAGCAGACCCGCAGGGAGACTGCACCCCTGAGCACGGCTCGATCAAACACAAGAAGCAAGTTTGGGCGAGGGTGTCGGGCAAAGGCACCCTGAGTCCTGGCTGGGGAGCAGGGCCAGAGCAGTCCCACTGTGGGCCCTTCTCTGACCCATGACACAGCTATCAGCCTGGCGGGTTCACAAGCAGGCGGCAGGAACACGGGCTCATTGATCGCTCAGTGCCTCACTGTTCTTGCCGTGGGGCGCTGAGAACAGCCCCAGCGCCCACAGACATGGGACAGATGGAGATGGGTCCAGCCCAGCGCTCAGCCAGGACCCTGCCTGCCCCTCATACAACAGGCCAGACCCATATGTCCCACGGGAGCCCTGGTGCATCTGGGGAAAAGGAAAGAGATTCCCGCCATTCTGGAGCTTGGAAAGCTTACTAGCCCTGAGCTAGGGGCCACTCTTGGTGGTGCTCAGGACCACGACCTGGGATGGCCCAGGAGGGCTGCTGGCGTGATGTCCGCATTTGTCTAGAAAATGCTTGGAGATCCCCAGACAGGCCAGGCCAAAAGCTTCCTCTGTTCAGCCTGGTTTTCCAGACTTGACTTCAGTGTCTTCCCGTCTTAGTTTTCCTGAAACCCCAATTAGCACCTTAAAGATCAAGTTTACCAAACAATCATTTTGGGGAGCAGTTGCTTAAATCACATCAACTGAAGAGAAGTAGCTTCTCTGCGAGGAGAGTGAGCTCTGGGGCAGGTCCCCGGGGAACCGTCCTCGGGCAGTTTTTACTCGGGCCTTAGTGCTTGAAAGCTCACTGGGACAGACAGAGCCCAAGCCCAGGCAGGCCATGTGGCCCTCGGGCCCCCCTGCGGGTCCCTGGTCACAACAGGCCCCAGGAGCAGCCATGCAGGATGGGCCATGAACAGGAGGTGGGGAGGCGGTGGGTGGGCCACAGCGCTGCTCTCTCCTCCCCTTGCCCCGGCCCTCAACCCCTGCATCCTCACACAGTCCAGCTGCCGGTGTAGTGGCCGGGTTTCCCTGAGGACCAGTGTCTGTGTGGCCTCTGCCCTCTGACTGGCCGCTGTCTGGATGCACCAAGGGTTTTGCTCCCTGCTTGGGAACCTTGAACTCCATACCACACTCAGTTTCAGGTAGGACTTTTGGTGTTTCAGGCGACGGTGTTCCTCAGACACCATTACATCCTCTCCAGATATCTACACTTCCTCTCATTTCTCCTCCTCCACCTCCTCCTCCTCCTCCCTCTGATTTGGGGCCACACCTAGTGGCGCTGGGACTTTACTGGCCCTGTGCTGGGGGCACTTGTGGTGGTGCTCAAGACCACGACCTGGGGTGGACCCGGGTGGGCTGCGGGCAAGGCAAGTGTGGTCCCCTGCATCGTTGCTCGGGAAAGCATCCAGAGCATGAAAACGACCCCACTCACGAAGTCTGGCGAGCCCCATGTACACCCCGCGCTCCTGAGCACTTGGCGTAGTCGCCTGCATTCTGTTCTGCAGTTCACGGCGCCACGCTGCTTCCCAGAGAACCCGCCGTCTTTCTCGCTCTGGGGCAAGTGCTCTCTGCGTGTGGGTTTCGGAACGTCACACTATGGTAACCAAAGAGCCCAGGGGAAGGAGAGGTGACCGTGCGCTGGACACTCATGAGCCCCTCCCAGCACCGCAGCAGGGGTGGGGAGAAAGTCGCCCCTTGCAAGAGGTCAAAGGGGAACAAAGTCCTCTGATGCTGGCCATCACTGCCCAGACCATCCCACCATCTTCCAGGGCTCCAGTGTCCACTCCGACGCAGACCAACCCCTCTCATTTTATGTCCGTACCTTTCCTTGATAATAACAATACTAATAGTCCAAGCTTGAATTTTCTAGGAGAGTAACACTATAGTTGCAACTGTTTCTGTTTCCAGTCAAATTTTTTTCTTTTTGGGTCACACCTGGCAATGCACAGGGGTTCCTCCAGGCTCTGCACTCAGGAATTACTCCTGACGGTGCTTGGGAGACCATATGGGATGCTGGGAATCGACCCCGGGTCGTCTGCGTGCAAGGCAAACGCTCTCCCTGCTGGACTATGGAGCCAGCCCCACCAGTTAAATTTTTAAACAACCTAAAACGACACAGAAAGTTTTACCTTAAACAACTTAATGGCTTCTGTCCGCAGAGCCTCTGAGGGCAGTGTCGTCAACGGGGAGACGATCCCTTCTTTGCTGTGGCACAGGCTCGGGTGCCTCCATATCTGAGATCCTGAGAACGGTGAGAAAACCAGGTAAGGAGCCGCAAGTCGCAGAGGCAGCCCCCAGCTGGCGCCCAACTACGCAAAGGCCACGGAAATCCCCGAATTTCACTCCATTCCCATTTCCAGCCTGGCACCTCATGCTCTGTCTCAGATACACTGAACGAGAAGCGCTTGGCCCTCACGTTCTTGGTAAAAACTCTGCAAGGCAGAGTCTCGCTGCCTCGGCCTGCTGCAGACCTCAGCCTGCTGCCTTGTGGGGTATAAGGGACCACATGTGACACAGAACCGGAGAGAGGTCTCAAGGGGAGACGCTGAAGAGGCGGAGAGAGAAATGTGATGTCACCCCTAAAAGCAACAGCTACAAAAATTCTGATGCTTCAAGTGAAACGTGCTCTCTGGGACCGCATCACACACACAGACTAAATTCTCAGGGGGGACGCCTTGGTCATAAAAAATCAACTTCAATACAAAGCCGCAAAAGCGACAAAAGCGAGAGATGGCACGGGGTCTCAGAGGAGGCTGCGTGGCCAATCTCAGCCTCCTGAGGTGGGGGAGCTCATGCCAGGCTGGGTGAGAGAGTCAGGGCAGTGCTCAAACCAGGAGGTCCTGGACGCAGCTGGTGGGGTTCGTGGGACTTGGTGGCTGTGGTAAGAAGCCTGGCCTGGAGCAAACGCAGCCACGAGAAGCATGTGCAGGGCGGAAGGGCAGCCACGGGACAGGCCACAGCCTGTTGGGCCATGGACCTACCCGCCTCCCCGTCAATGTTCAGCAACTTGCAGACGAGTTGTTCGAATTCCGAGCCAACACGGACGTTGTTGCAGCCGGCCGCCACGGTCAGGTGATAAAGCCACGTGTCCTGGGGAGAGAGACACAGCCACAGCTGGACCCAGACTCCTGCTGACTGCAGGAGTGGACAGCGATGCGTACACACAGCAGAGAACTGATGCGGAGAATACCAGTGTTCAGTGTTCAGCCACAACTGGATGCTGCTCTCTGACAGCCCTGACGCCGAGCAGAGCCCACGCGGCAGGGGAACCGCACTCATGACTCCTAACGCCCAGAGTCGGGCCTTGGAAGGCACAGGGGAATTCAGGAGAACCATGCAATACTAATAAATGCCAATAAATATACCCAGCTCATATTCTTTTAGGAAAGACAAGAAACTTCCAAACATACAATCTGATTCCCCAAACATACAAAGGATATTGCGAATACACAAGATCTAAAGAAATAAATCCCCAAGAAGAGCTTTCATCAACACAATAAGGGCGGCCTCAGCCATTAAGAGCCAGCCCACCGCTAATGCTACACTTGTGGGTGGACACACAGCATGTCCCCTCAGCGCTGCCACTCAGCAGAGCCCTGAAAGTCCCAGCTGGAACAACAGGGCAAGGAAAAGAGACAAGAACATCCAAACTGGAAAGGAAGAAGCCAGAGTCTCTGCTTACACATGGCATGAGTTTACATCGAAAATCCCCCAAAGATTCTGCAAAATAACCAGGACGAATAACAAATTAGGACTAACAAGTGCAAAGAAGTTGCACAATGAAAATCAAAGCACAGTTCAGTCCTATTTCTAGACACTACAATCATTCCTATAGCAATTAAGGAAAGTCCCCCTTAGAGAAGCATCACAGAAATTAGAACACTGAGGACTAGATTAAGGAGGTCGGTGACAGCCTGGATGCTGGAACCACAGACCCTGAGTAGGCACAGAAGACGGAATGACAGCCACCACGGTGGCTGTGAGGGTCAGTGTGGGAAGGTCTGTGCTAGTTGGAACACTACAGATCTCAGCACACTGCCAACCGACATCCCAAAGGTCATTCTTCATCCAGAAATGGAAAAATAATCCTAAAATTCTCATGGCACCAAACAAGACTAACCAATAGTCAAGTAATTTTGAATAAGAATAAAGTTGGAGGTGTTACTTTTGGCTTAGAATATACTACAAAGTGACGGTAATTAAAAAGCACAAAACACAGGCCAAGGAGGCCTAGGCGGAACCCAGAACTGAGTGCAGAGACGGTCAGAGACCCTCAACATAGTTAAAGCCATCTACCACAAGCCTACAGCAAGCATCATCCTCAATGGGGAAAAACTGAGATCCTTCCCTCTAAGATCAGGGACGAGACAGGGATGCCCACTCTCTCCACTGCTGTTCAATATAATACTGGAAGTACTTGCAATAGCGATTAGGCAAGAAAAAGATATTAAGGGCATTCAGGTAGGAAAGAAGGAAATCAAGCTTTTGCTATTTGCAGATGATATGATACTATACTTAGAGAACCCTATAACCTCCACCAAGAAACTCCTAGAAACAACAGACTTGTAAAAGACAGTCGGAGACCTTTGACAAGGCACCGGAACGCGTGACGGGGTGGAAAGCAGTTTCTCCTGGATGGCTGGGGAAATGAGACATCCACACACAGCAGGATGAACGCCAACCCTTGCCTGCTACACACACAAAGGCACATCCAAAACAGATTTTGAAAAACAGAATAAGGAAAGGCAGAGACAAATGTCCCCACAACTGTGACACTCTGAGAAAACAGAATGACAAACCTCTGCACATCAGCCTTGGCACTTATTTCTTAGAAATGCCAAGGAAAGGGGAAAAGATCAGTGAGGTGACAGCTACCAAAGCAGACAGATAATCAACAAAACAAAATGTGGGCTGGAGCAAAGGACAGCAGGTTAGGACAGCACTGGCTTTCACGTGGCCAGCCCTGCTCAATCCATGGCACAACAAAAAGTCCCCACGGCCCACCAGGAGTGATTCCTGAGCTCAGAGCCCAGTCGTGAGCCCTGAGCACTGCTGGGTATGATCCCAGAACTACCAAAAAGAGAGAGAAAATATCTGCAAACTACATAAAAAGGGTGGTAAACTAAAGTCTATAAGAAACTCTTACCACTTCAGAGTAAACCACCATTTAAAAGGAACTTAACAGACACTTCTCAAAATAACGTATAAATGGATACAGGTATGTGTAAAAGCATTCTAATACTGATCACCAGAACAACACAAATTAAAGGCACAGTATCTGCTCATACCTATGAGAACGTCTCTTATCAAACAACACACTTAGGAGTAGATGTCGAGAGAATGATCCCTGTGCACTGCTGGCGAGAGCGAGTGGGTGCGGCCATGGAAACGGCACTGGTGGGCCCTGAAAACGGAAGCGACAGCCAACCTGTGGTGGGCAATCCCAGTGATTACAACATTTCACTTTCCTGGGATCCTACAGGCTCTCTGTGGGTGCCCTGTTCACCCACTGTCCCTCTTGTGGGCACCGTTCACTACACCGCCCCTCACGTGAGCACCCTGTTCACCCACCGTCCCTCACCAAAACCCACACACAGGTGTAGCCTAGCCGCTCATGGCTGGTGAAGGAATAAAGAAAGTGCAGTGAACACCCCCGGGGACGTGATTCTGCCTTTCAGCTGTGCTGGGCGAAGATCTGGAGGAGGCATTTTGTAAGGCCCGAGGTTCAATGCTGGAACCACAAGACCTACCAGCATGATATTACAGTCATTAGAAAAAAAAGAAAATTGATACATTTTTATGCATCAATTGTCCAAAATTGTGTCCTCCTAATAGTGACCAGGAAACAGAGACAGCCCATGAGATGAGAAAAACAATTCCCCCAGTACCCACTGAGAAGGGCTTAATATCCGGGATACACAAGGCACTGGAGAACCTTACAAGAAAAAAAATGTTGAACCCTGTTAAAAAAATGGGGAGAAGAAATGAACAAACACTTCCTCAAAGAAGAAAATCAAATTTCATGTGCCAAAAGGCACAATAAAAAGTGCTCTGCATCACTAGTCATGAGGGAGATGCAAATCAAAACAAGAAATATCATCTCACTCCAGAGACTGGCACATCCAAATGAACAGGGCATGGATGTGGGGAGAAAGGGACTCTTTTATTGCTGGTGGGAATGCCGACCGGTCTAGCTTTTTCAGAAAAAAAAATATATACACACACACACACACGTTCCTCAAAAAACTAGAAACTGAGTTCCCATTTGACCCCACAATACCACTTCTGGGAATATACCCTGGGGGGCCCAAAACACAGCAGAAACACCCTCTGCACCCCTATGTTCACTGCAGCACTATTCACCATAGCCAGAATCTGGAAACAACCCGAGTGCCTGAGAACAGATGAGTGGGTAAAGAAACTATGGCACATCTACACCAGTGGAATACTATGCAGTCATTCGGAAACATGAGGTGATACAACTTGCCCATAGATGGACGGACTTGGAGAGTATCATGCTGAGTGAAATGAGTCAGAAGGAGAGGGAGAGATATAGATGACTGCATTTATTTGTGGGATGTTAAAAAAAAACAGTATGAAGCTAATATCCAAGTCCAGGATAAATGGGCCAGGAGGACTGGTCAACGGCTGGGAGTTACCGCAAGGGCGTGTGGGGTGTAGGGTAGGTCAGATACGGGAGGGTCCGTTCTGACAACACCAGCTGGAAATGATGACTCTGGACAAGATACGAGTGTTGAGAGCAGGCAAAGGGATAGACACAACTTTTCAGCATTTGTACTGCAAACCATAATAAGGGGAGGGAGGGGGGTCACTTCCATGGCTCGTGTCTGCCCTGTCTGCACAGTGACCAGCAGGCAGGCAAGCCTCGGGTCCCTCACGCCCACTCGCCTCTCGGCCAGTTCTCACACGTCCGTCCCGGCCACACGGACTGAGGCAGAGAGAGAGAGAGAGAGAGAGAGAGAGAGAGAGAGAGAGAGAGAGAGAGAGAGAGAGGAGAGAGGAGGGAAGAGAGGAGAGAGAGGAGGGGGGAAGGGGAGAGAGAGAGGTGGCTTGTGGGGAGGAAACTGGGGACAGTGGTGCTGGGAAGTCACTGGTGGAGGGACAGATGTAGGACTGAAACGTGTCATGAAGACTCTGCGAAGCTTCTCTCAAGTGATCCAGGAATAAATGAATGAAAAGGGTCACGCCGCCCCCTCCCCCCGGACCCTGACTGCAGTACCTTCTCGTGCTTGGACCCGATCAGCAGGTACGTGGGCCCCTGGTCCTTGGGGTGGATCCCGATGGTGAAGTGCGTGGAGAGCACACTCCGCCCACTGGCCTCGTAGTCCTCATCCGAGTCGCGGGACCGGTCCACCTCGTCCACCCTCGCCTCCCAGAGCTTGATCTGACCGAGTGGAAACTGAAAGGGACGGAGGGCGGTCACTTCTGTGGCTCGCGTCTGCCCGGTTTGCACAGTGGCCGGCAGGCAGGCAGGCAGGCAGGCAGGCGAGCCACGCGTCCCCCATGCCCACCTGCCTCTCGGCCGGTTCTCACGTCCGTCCTGGCCACGTGGGCGGAGGCTGAGAACGGGGACAGAGAGTCCAGCTGCTCATCCCTCCCCACCCCGCCCCCGCCCCCGAGCTGACTGGGTTTAGCCACGTGTGGCCCAAAACCAGCACCCCTGGGGGAGGGACGGCCACTGGGGGCCACAGGACAGCCCAGCCCCGACATGCCTGGGGAGCCTCCTGGGGCTGCTTCCGTGGAGTGTGGGACTAGAAGCCTCAAGCAGGGACTATCACCTCCCTCAGGTTCAGACTCAGCATTTGCACGGAGGCCGGAGCGGATGCCCAGGGCCTGGCTGGGCCGCACGGGCGCCCGTGGCCTGAGCCTCTTGGGCAGGACGTTCCCTGGTGACCAGGCGGCGGCAGCTGAGACTCCTGTGGAAGCTGCCCTGAGCTGGCCCCTGTGGAGCTCCCTGGGCTGGTGAGGCCCCCGGGGCTGGTCCTGGTGCGACTCCCAGTTCCCGCTCAAGCTGCAGCCAACTGCAAGATTCCGGCTTTTCTTTCCTCTTTTTAGTTTTGTTGTTTTGTTTTCACACCTGCTGGCTCTGAGTGCAGGGTCACGCCTGGCGGACTCGGCGATGCTGGGGGTGGCCGCTGTGCTGCGTCTCCCAGTCTGTCCTCCCTAGCCTGGCCCGCACACCCCTGCCCTGACACACGGGCCTGTCCCGAGGTCCGCAGCGGTTTGGGTCCAGTGAGGCTCCGTGACGCCCCTCCCTCCACACTCTGCTCCTGACTGGCCCCAGCCCAGGCCCTGGTGGACTGTGGGCACTGTCCGGCTGCAGAGCCCAGGCCTCACCTCAAGCCCTTCTCCTCAGTGCCACCTGTCAGGGGGCAGAGGCGTTGCTCGGGCCACAGCACAGCCTGGACGCTGCTGGCCTGGACCCGGGCCCCGGCTCCTCACTGTCTCCTCTAAGCCCACATGCCCGCAGCGGGCCCGTCACGGGCAGTCGCCAGGGCACCTCCCGGGAAGCAACACCCAGCCAGGGAAGGCGTGGGAGAGAAAGGGGTTCCTCCAAGGCAAGGCACCAAAACCTGGGACCCGGCCGCGTGCTGGGCTCTGCACCGGGGCCACCGCACCCCTGCCGTCAGCTCCCCTCCCCTCCCCTCTGCCCGTCTGCCCCCTCAGGTCTGTGCACGTGTGCCCTGCCCCCAGGCCCATGGACACTTGTCCCAGACTCTCATGCCCCTGGTGCCTTGTCCCCTGCCCGGAACACCCACTGGAGTGTCCACCTGCTGTCCTTTCACTCTCTTACAACCCAGCGACAGCTCCAGTTTCCGGGTGAGCTTCCCAGGACGGCTTCTCCTGCCGCGACTGACGCGCCTAATGGCTGATTAGAAACGACAATTAGCACAAGCCATTAGGCGAGCGTCCTTCTTCGGGGACATTATGTTCACCATTAAAGCAGTGGCAATTATTTTCTGCGTGCCACTAGGGACAGCGCACCATCCTGGGCACTGAAGGAAGAAAATATAGTCCTCACAGGGAAATGCAAAATCACCCACAACTCCAGAAACACGAGGAGAGTGGAACAAGAGGAAAAATGAAATAATAAGCCCCCGAATCACAATGAAAACAAGGGCAAGTTCCACAAATGGTGAAGAGACAGATTCCCGCTGTGGGGCAGGACAGGAGAGCGGCCTCCCGGGGCCTGGGCACGGCCACAGCCAGCCGCGGGGCTCCTGGCTCCGTGGTGAAAACTGCTTGTGCTGGCAAGTGCTTTGCTGAGTCAGACTCTGGCCCCGACTGAGCCCAGCCCCGAGGCCTCGGGGGGGGGCCTGGAGTGGGCGTGTGACCCCCTGTTCTCGGCCCCCCCACTGCTATGCTGCCCCCCCCATTAGGGAGGACCCCTGAGTTCTTTCCCATGGGCCCAGGGCCTCCTGCCTGCTCGGGCTCAGCAGAACTGGCTGCAGGGGCCTGGCGGGGCGGGGCGGGGGGGGGGGGGGGGTGGTGCTGGCCTCAGGCACAGTCTCAGCCCCCATGTGACCGAGGGCTCCGGGGCCCTGGCGGGTGAGCAGAACCAGCACCTCTCTCCGGGGAGTGAGACTCCATGCCCGGCCCAGGTCCTGATGGAAGTGGCATCCAGCATCCGTGGTGGGTGAGGGCAGGGCTGGCAGCCTGCCTGTGGCCCCTGGGAGCGCCCAAGCCTTCCTCCCGTGGCTCCTCTCAGGCTCTCCTGGGCTCGGCCCCTGGGAACGGGTGCTACGGGGCCGCAGGGCACGAGAACAGGCCTCAGGGGGCACCGCTGGGGCCCCAACCAGGGACCCCAGAACCACTGTGGGGGGGGGAGGGCTCCATCTCAGGGCCTCACGCGTCAGCCCCGGCGGAGGTGGCGGGCCAGCCCCGAGAGGACAGTGCGGCTGGGGACGCGCCTACCTTCTCCTCCTGACTGCGGGAGTAGAACAGCGTGCTTCCGACGAGCGAGCACCAGACCCTCTTGGAGTAGCCGTGCTTGACCTGGAAACAGCGCAAACGGTCAGCGTGGCCAGCTCCCGCCCTCCGTGCAGCGCCCTCCACCTGGCCAGGTGTGGGTCTGCCCCCCGCAGGCGCTGGGCGACCCCCACAGAGGTGGCGAGTAAACGCCTGGGGGTTAGGGGCTTCCTGGAGGCCAGAAGCCGCGACTCAAGTGGCCGGTGGTTTCGGCCACGCAGAGCCCTGGCCCGGGAGGACACGCTGTCCCCTCTGTGCCTTCCTGCCTGCTGTGACCGTGTGGGTCTGTGAGGGTCAGTCTGTGAGGCCGGCTACGCGGCCCTCCGGGTGCCAGAACCCCCCCTGGAGCAGCCCCCACTTGCCACGGGAGGACCCTGAGCTCCCAGGCGCGCGCTCCCCTCCTGGACGCCTTCAGGAGAGCGTCGCTGCAGCTTCTCCCCCTGGGTCCCGTCGAGCTGGACAGACTCGCCACAGCCCAGATGCTCAGCTAAGAGAGAAGCCGGAGGCTGCTCCTGCCTGCCCAAGGCCCTGCATTGCTGCCGAGAGGCCTGAGGAGAAAACTGGGACAGGCCTTGATCCACACGGGCCACCACACGGTCTCACCACACAGCTTAACACAGGTCTCACCACATGGTCTCACCACATAGTCTAACACACGGTCTCACCACACGGCCCAACACACAGTCTCACCACACGGCCTAACACACAGTCTCACCACATAGCCTAACACAGGTCTCACCACATAGTCTAACACACGGTCTCACCACACGGCCCAACATACAGTCTCACCACACGGCCTAACACATGGTCTCACCACACAGCCTAACACAGAGTCTCACCACACAGCCTCACCGTACAGCCTAACACGTGGTCTAACACATGGCATAACACATGGTCTCACCACATGGTCTCACCACGCAGCCTAACACATGGCCTAACACAGATCTCACCACGCAGTCTCACCACACAGCTTAACGCATGGTCTAACATACGGCCTCACCACAGAGCCTCGCACACAGCCCGACTCCAGCCTCAGCGCTGCTGTGGCGGTGGGAGCCGTGGTCTCGACAGGTAAGTAGGGGCCCCCCGACACCAACACTCAGATGGTCTCCCTGCTGCCTGAGAGGAAATGAAATGTCCGTTTGGCAAGACGCGGCTCAGTCTAATTCAAGTCAGAAACACGTTTACAGACAACGATCCCGGGAGCTTTCAGCCGTATGTGCTCGGCAGGTTTGGGCCCTTCCTCAAGCGCAACACAGAGAGGCACCGCGGCAAAGCCGGGCTAAGCGGCACCTGGGGATGGAAACGCTCTCTGGAGCCCATCGCCCGTTAGGACAGAACAAGGCGCCTGCAGAAACACCCAGGGATGGCGCGTCCACACGGCCCGCACTGAGCAGCCGCGGGCTCCTGAGTCCCCCGGACAAGCAGAACAGCATGGGAGCAAGGACACGCCGGGGGACCTGCGGCAGCCACGGCAGAGGGAGGGCAGGGCGCCCAGTCGGCCTCCTCGGGAAAATGCACTGGGGAAGGCTCGTGAGGTCCGTGTGGGGGGGGCGTGTGTGTGCGCGCGTGTGTGCGTAAATACGTGTGTGCACGCACATGTGTGCATGTGCATGTGTGCATGTGCGTGTGTGCATGTGTGCGCATGTGTCTGCGTGTGTGCATGCATTTGCGTGTGTGTGCAGGAGTATGCATGTGTGTACATGTGCATGTGCGTGTGTGTGCGCATGCGTGTGTCTGTGTGCTGTGTGTGCATGTGTGTACGAGTGTGCATGTATGTGTGTGCTTGTGCATGTGTGCACGTGTGAGTACGTGTGCGTGTGTAGGTATGTGCAGTGTGTGCACGTGCGCATGTGTATGTATATGCAGTGTGCGCATGTGTGTGCGCACGTGTGTATGCAGTGTGCATGTGCGTGTGCATGTGTGAGTGTGCGTGTATGTGTGTGCGTATGTGTGTGCACACGTGCTTGTGTTATGTGTATGCGCGTGTGTGTGCATGTGTGCGTGTCTGTGCGTGTGTGTGTGTGCACACATGTGCGTGTGTGCGTGAGGGGAGCCTAGGTCTCTCATGGGCAGGATGGGCGCCTACTGCCGAGTCCCCCAGCCCCTCTGGAGCGGTAGCCTGGAGGCTCTGGGAGAGCATCCGGGTCCCCTCCTGTGTCTGTGCTCAGGGACTCCCCTGCCTCCAGCAGGACTGGGGGGGGGGCCCACTGCCCTCCCAGCCTGCCTCCTGCCCCTCTGCCCAGCGCAGGCCTGGCTGAAGGTGGCCAGCACGGGCTGTGCCGTCCGGGGTTGGGGACATGATGCCCAGCCGGCTGCTGTCCTCTCAGCCGACACGCCCGGCCACCACAGAGCCAGGGCGGGGCCTCAGCCTTGGGCTCCAGCCCTTTACACCCTTCCGTGTTGAAACAGTAAGCAGAGTAATTGCTGAAACCAGATGGTTTGTAAGCGAGAGCTCATTCTAATCTTCCTCCGACTTTCAGGGTTTGAAGCGACCTTAATTTGGAACTGTCACCTGGGCCGAGAGAGCAGCAAGCAGGGCGCTGGCCATACCCTGGCACCTGTGGGTACCCTGGGTCCTGCCAGGAGTGACCCTGAGTGCAGAGCCCTGCGAACAGCCTGGGTGGCCCCAAACAAGCAAAACAAATCGTTTCTTGATGGGCGTCGGTGAAACAAGTCACATGTTAACTGCAGGGCTAGCTGGTGGGAAGAAGGCCGTTCTCTGCGACATCTCCCAACTTGCCCGCATACTTAAAATTTTACCTGCAGACAGTCAGGAATTAGGGCTGCCGCTGACCGCCCGGGGGCAGTCCTGCTCCTTTGCATAGTCGGGCGGTGAGCGCCCTGCCTCACCCCTGCCCACGGTGGCCTGTCCACCAAGTGTCCTTGGCCCTCCCAGGGGCTAAGTGCTCCATGGGATTTTTTTTTATAAACAAGTTTTTATAAAGAAAATTTTCTTCCTAAGCATTAAAATCAAAGTTGCAAGAATGAATATCCAGAATCAAATTAGCCACGTTCTTAATATCTACCCACATATTCCTGGGCTTCATAATAACAAGGTGACAACGTGAAGGCCTTCCCCTCCCCCCCGAGAGGAGCCGATGGGCGCTCAGAACTCAGAATAACTGAGAAGTTCTCCTCTAATGAGGCTCCGAGGGCGGGAACACGGGGGTGGACAAGCCTTCAGGAGCGCAGGAAGAAACCCTAATTAGCACCCTGTCGAAGCTCCTGGCTTAGTCATCCCCACACGCAGAAGCCAGGAGACAGGCGCCCGGGGCTGGCGGGGGCAACCGGGCGGCCTGGCCAGAGGGTCATCCCAGCCCCCGAGAGTGGCAGGTCCTGGACAGAGCGGACAGGAGGGAAAGGAAGTGATGGGGCAGCGGGGGCCACTGCGCCAGATGCGCAGCCCTCGGCCACGGGAGGGCCCGGCGGGCAGTGTGGGACCCCAGCCGGGCCCTGCTAGCTGCCCTTGTGGGTCTGTCCTCGGGCAGTGCGGTCAGTCTCACGGCGAGGGCCCAGTCCCCACCTCAGGCTGGCTGACGCTCAGGGCAAGTCCTCGGCAGCACACTGGGCCTGCAGGTGACGCTTTCCCTCCCCATAAAAATGCAGGAGTGTTATTTCTGTGTGCAATATTTTTGCGCAAGCATCTTCTGCTGCTTTTTTCCAAAAGTGACAAATAGGGCTTTAAAATCTTAAAATAATGTACCTTAGCACAAATCAACACCTTTCTTAAGAATGCTAGAGAACAGATTAAGTAGAATTAAACTAAAATCACAAAGATAACCATGGTACCTCGGTCTATTTCCCATTCAGACAGTTCTCTATAAATATGTATAACACATTTTCTGTGAATATGTATAACAAAAGCGAGATAATACTAACAACACACGCTAACGCATTTCCATAACATTATTCTTTTATAATAGTTAAAATGATTGCATAGCAAAGTATTATTTGGTCACATAAATATTTATTTAAGCGACCCCCTACTCTACATCTAAGTAGAAACAATTTATCTTCCTCAAACTGTGCGGACCAGACAAGCACCTTCGGGGGACAATGGAAATCTCCCTAGCTTGAAAGAGAGACTGTCAAGCCCATCCAACTTCACGCTGAGCTCTGTATTTCAGTATTAAGAAAGTAGGACCTATTTGGGGGAGGGGAGCACACTGGCAGTGCTCAGGGCTGGCTCCCGGCTCTGTGCTCAGGGCTGGCTCCCGGCTTTGTGCTCGGGGCTCACTCCCAGCTCTGTGATTGGGGATCACTCCTGGCTCTGTGCTCGGGGCTGGCTCCTGGCTTGGTGCTCGGGGCTCACTCTTGGTTCTGTGCTCGGGGTTCACTCTTGGTTCTGTGCTCGGGGCTCACTCCTGGCTCTGTGCTCGGGGCTCACTCCCGGCTCTGTGCTCGGGGCTGGCTCCTGGCTTGGTGCTCGGGGCTCACTCTTGGTTCTGTGCTTGGGGCTCACTCCTGGCTCTGTGCTTGGGGCTCACTCCCGGCTACGTACTCAGGGCTGGCTCCTGGCTCTGTGCTCGGGGCTCACTCCTGGCTCTGTGCTCGGGGCTCACTCCCGGCTATGTACTCAGGGCTGGCTCCTGGCTTGGTGCTCAGAGCTCACTCTTGGTTCTGTGCTTGGGACTCACTCCCGGCTCTGTGCTCGGGGCTCACTCCCGGCTCTGCGCTCGGGGGCCATGCCTGGTGGTGTTCGAGACTCAAGTGCCACGTCTGCGTGCAGAGCAGGCCACTCTGTACTTTCACGGGCCCTGGTGCCCTGACCTCCTGCTTGGGCTCCCCATAGCGAGCACGGCCAGCAGCCCCAGCTGGGGCCAGCCCATCCCGCCTACCTTGGTGAGCAGCCCTTTGAGCGTGGGCTTGCCCTCCGGCTGCAGGGGGGGCGGGCTGGCCGCCTGCACGCGCACAGCCGCCCGCAACACCGTGAGCCACTCCTCCAGCAGGTTGGGCGAGTCGGCCGTCAGGTAGTGCGTGTGCTTCTCCGTGACCAGCTGCGGGAGAGGCAGGAGGGAAGCGCGTGAAGAAACCACGTGGCTCAGCACAGAAGCCAACGGGAGACCCGGAGCCCTTCGAAGCGCCCGCAGGGAGCGATGCTGGGGCCGGCACGGTCAGCTCCCTGGGGGTGTGCCCGGCTCCACCCTCGCCTCCTTGCGTTATACCCAGCCGCGCTCCTGGCTCCTGCCCGATGGGGTCAGGGAGGGGGAGTGGCCAACAACCCACCCGCAGCACAGGAAGGGGCTCTTTGTTGTGGGAACGAAGAAATCACTGCCAATAAAGGAAGAAAGACGGGCTGGAGTGATAGCACAGTGCGGGGGGGGGGGGGGGGGGGGGGCGTCTGGCTGACCCAGCTTCGATTCCCAGCATCCCATATGGCCCCCTGAGCACCACCAGGAGTAATTCCTGAGTGCAGAGCCAGGAGTAAGCCCTGAGCACTGCTGGGTTTGACCCAAAAAGTTAAAAAAAAAAATTTAAAAAATTTAAAAAAACAACCAAGGAAGAAAGAGTTGTTGGGAAAAAGAGAGCTCTTCCTGGAGAAACTGAGTGTGGGTCCTCTCTGAGACGGGGCCTTCCCCCAGCTGGATCCCATGGCTCCAGGGGCCCGGCCCTCCCATCACAGCCACCCTGGGGACTCGTCCCCAGCCCTCTGCTGTGCTCTCAGCCTCACCGTGCACCTCGGCACAGCACACAGAACAGGGGGGCACGGAGGGGACACCGTGGAGGCTCGGGGGCACGGACTCACTGCCAGCCAAACACGCTCAGGGATTAGGATGCTCGGGATTTCAATCTCCAGCTAATTACAGTCCAATTTTCCAAATATTTCAGAAGCCTCCAAGTAACTCTTATCTGCCCGAGACAAAGCTTTCTCTGCTCCTCCTTCCTGCATCGCGGGGCATTTCCCGGGCACTGCTGCTGAAAACATCGCTGATGGACTTTCTGATAAACTTGTATTTCACCCGCCAAGGGAGCAAGATAAGGAAATCCTGATTGTGGAGGCGTTTCAGAAATGGAGTGGCTGGGTTTTATCTCCCGGCCTCTCTTGGCAGGCCTGTGGGACAGGGCAGCTCTCTGGCCAGGTGCTGTACCCGGACCCAGGTGGGCAGCCCCGGTCGCGGGACCTGGCAGGAAGTCAGCCCCTCTGCTCGCCACATACCCCGTGGGGCCCCGCATGGACGAGGCAGAAGGAAGGCAAACCCTTCTGCATTCAACAGATGTTAAATTTCTAACACCTGGGGCTGGAGCGCTAGCACAGCGGGGAGGGCATTTGCCTTGCATGCGGCCGACTCAGGTTCGATTCCCAGCATCCCATATGGTCTCCTGAGCACCGCCAGGAGTAATTCCTGAGTGCGTGAGCCTGGAGGAACCCCTGAGCATCGCCGGGTGTGACCCAAAAAAGCAATAAATAGATAAATAAATAAATAAAACCTTTAAAAAAAATTCTAACACCTTGGGAGCCCGTTGGTCAGAAAACTGACCTTAAAAGACCCGTCAAGCTGCGCTGAGAGGGGACGAAGGGTGAAGGGCCGGGGGCCTGCAGCCTTCGGGCAACGCCCAGCCAGGACTCAGCTTGCCCTGCAGACAGATGGCCTGAAGTCTGGGCTTCCACATGTCTTTTTTTTTCTTTTTGTGTCACATCCGGCCGATGCACAGGGGTTATTCCTGGCTCTGCACTCAGGAGTTACTCCTGGCGGTGCTCAGGGGACCATATGGGATGCTGGGAATCGAACCCGGATCGGCCGCATGCAAGGCAAACGCCCTACCTGCTGTGCTATCGCTCCAGCCCCACCACATGTCTTTTTTTGGGGGGGGAGGGGAACCCAGCCATGCTCAGGGTTTCCTCCTTGCCCTGTGCTCAGGGGTCGCTCCCAGCAGGCTTGGGGAACCCTATGGGATGCAGGGACGGTACCTGGTTGGCTGTGCGCGGGGCAAGTGTCCGGCCCTGCTGAGGCAAGAAATGGACCCCCGGGGATGCAGATACAGGCAACCCTGTCTCCGAGGAAACGGGGCTCGGGCTGGGCTCAGAGGGACCGAGATAAGGAAGGGCTGTGGGGATGGGCAGTACCTGGACGGTCTGCTTGCTCTCCCCCCTCACAATACTGCAAGAGGCGCCCAGCTCAATGTGGCCCTGGGGTCTCCGGATGACGTCGCTCTGCGGGGAAAGACACATGAGCCAGGCGGGCAGCGCACTGGACAGGGCAGAGAGAGCTGGACCGGGCAGCGAGCCGGAGGAGAGGGACAGGCCTCCCTGGGTAGCCGCTGGGCGGGCAGCCGGGCCTCACCGGGGACTTGTAGTAGAGCAGCTCCCCGCCTTTCAGCACGAACCAGCGGCGCCGCCAGGCCCGCACCCGGCCGCTCAGCTTGAGCAGGTAGCCGGACTTCTCCAGGGGCTCCTGACCGGAAGGGGGAAGGGGGAAGTGGGTCTCCTGCGGGAAGCCCGGGTGTGCCACGGCGCCAAGACCAGCCCAGATCCACGTTTACGTTTTTCCCGGCGTCGCTGGCGGAGGGGCAGGTCCGCAGGAGCTTCTGCTCGGGCTGCGAGCACTCGGGGTCCACGGAGTAGGCGTCTGGGGGGATGGCGTAGTCGCTCTCAGAAGGCACGGGCGACACAGACACACCTGGGCCAAAGCAGCCGGGTCAGGGTGCACCCGCCACGGGGGGCTCGGGCCTGAGCGCGCCCCGAGGGAGCACCACCGAAAGGAGCACCACTGCAGAGAGAGAGCCACCGGCCAGGCCCTGGGCGACTCCCTGCCAGAACAGCCTTTAGAGAAGCACAGACTAATACTGAGCAAAGCGGACACTTGCCCTGAGCCCCCGGGGCTCGCACCCCGATCACGCTCTAGCCCTTTGTTTGGGGAATCACCTCTAGAGGGACCGTAATCGAGATTTTTAAAAGGCTCATAACTTCCATGATGTTCGCATGAGTCCAATCCCATGAGTTTCTGGATGTTGTAAAAGCCTTCACGGGGGGAGCGGGAGACTTAATGCGGACAGACGCCCCCGGCAGCGGCGGGCGGGTGGTCTCCAGCGTCCGCTCCCGAGGACAGGACCAGGCTGGTGTGGGCAGGCGAGACTCGGGCCGCCTCTCACTCTGCTCCCGCCACGCCAAGGCAGAGCAGGGTGACGGCGAATCCCCAGAGCCGAGGGGGCTGCGAGGGACCTGGGGACCGGCCGCCGCCGAGTCCCCAAGCACGTCCAGTACCCCCTCGGGGCACCCAGAAGTCTCTCCTGTTAGGGGACGAGCAGCAGGTGGCGGCAAGGCTGCTTCACCCTCTGGGTAACACTGCTCTAGGGAGGAAGGGTCGGGCAGGCCTGCACAGTCGGGAAGGGGGCTCAGCGGTAAGAGCAGACCCACACGCGTGAGACCTGGGCTTGGTTCCCTGGCACCACACACAGACACGCACTCACACTCACAGAAACTCAACACACAGACACACATACACACTCACACTCAGACACAGACACACCCACACGCACTCACACATACATTCACACATACACTCACACTCAATACACAGACACACCCATATACATTCACACACAGACACACACAGACACTCAGACACACACTCATACTCACACTCACACTCAACACACACAGACACACACACAGACACTCAGACATACCCACACACACATACACTCACACTTAACACACATAGATACACACTCACACTCACAGACACTCAACACACACAGACACACCCAGACACTCACACACACATTCACACCAATACACACTCACTCAGACACACAGACACACCCACTCACATTCACACACACATTCACACACACTCACTCACACACATTCACATACAGAGCCACACTCACACAGATACTCAGACATACACATTCACATACACACTCACAGATACACACACTCACACACACTTGGACACACAGACACACCCTCACATACAGACACACACACTCACAGATATGCACTCACATTGACAGACACACTCACACACAGACACACACAATCACACTCAGACATACATACACTCACACAACACTTACACATGTACACATGTACACAGTTTTCTCACATTCACACACATATTCACACACATACACTCACATGCATTCACACAGCTCACACATTCACACACATTCACAGTCACACGCACTCACACTCACACTTACACACATGCACTCATGTACACGGCTGGAACTGGGCAGCACGTGTGCAGACAACCAAGACAGGACCAGAGGGAGGAAATGAGGGTCAGAGGGCAGAGGAAGGCACGCTTGGGGGTGAGCAGTGCACTGAGGGTCTGGGGGAGCCGAGCACCCTGGGGAGCCGCAGGCAGAGGAGGAAGAGGATGGGTCGTCCCTCCCAGGAGGCTGAGGGGGGACAAGGAAGCCCGAGCACAGTGCTGGCGTCTGGAGCGGGTGGGGGCTGGGGCGGGGCACGGGAGGCCTGAAGGCAGAGCCCCTGCAGGCAGGCCAGCTCCAGCCAATGCCGGGACAACGCAGCCGGAAGCGCACCACCAGCACACTGAAGGCCTCGGCCCAACACGGAGGTTCTGCGCAGCCGCTGGCTGTGACTCTGCCAAGCCCCGAGTGCCGGCTGCTCCCATCACACCCCAGACAGGCGTCACTGCAGACACCACGTGTCCATGCGTCCCCCCACTTTGCAGAGCCAGGGAGGAACTGAACGAGACTCGCCCATAAATCATCCCGAACACCACCCTGGGTCCCTGGGAAACCTCCCCTGGCCAAGCGTGTGCAGCGACCTGTCTTTCACAGGCAAGATGGACTGTCGGTTCTGTGACTTCTCTGGAGTCAGGTAGAGAACCGGAAGGACTTGATTCTCTCTGAGATGGTGGAGGGGCGGGCTGGGGGCCCCCTGCCCTGCCCAGGAGCGAGCACAGCCTCACCTCTCTTCACGGCCCTGGGGCTGCCTGGCCCACCGCGTCCGCGCATGGCCGGCTCTGACGTGCGTGAGCTGGACCGCGAGCTGTCCTCTTCCTCAGAGCCCGAGGAGTCGTCCAGGAAGGGGCCACTGCTGATCAGAGTCGCCTTCTGGGGGGGACAGAGGCCCTTGGTGGCGGCGCCCGACCCCCGAGCCCAGAGCCCTGAGGGCCTTGTGGAGCGCCCTGGATCCCAGGGGGAAGCAGCAAGGTTTGGCCCAGGAGAGCGGCGGTCACCAAGCCCCTCTTCTTAGCCAGCTCCCTCTCCAAGGACAGTGGTGGCGGGCCTGGGAGCACTCACTCAGACCTGGGAGGATTCACCCAGGGTCCAGGAGGACTCACCCAGGGCCCAGAAGCATTCATCCAGGACCTGGAAGGACTCACCCAGGGCCCAGGAGCACTCACCTAGAACCCAGGAGGACTCACCCCTTTCAAGGTTGTGTACACAGGCGCCGTCACATTCCCGTAGACAAGGCCGGTGTAGAGGCCAGAGGTGCTGCAGGCCAGAGGCGCAGCCCCATCTGAAACAGAGCAATCTCTCTCGGGGCCGGCACCCGGCCTGTTTTAAAGGAGCTACAGACAGCAGCGTGTCCTGGCATGGACGGAGCCAGCACACCCGCGGCCTGTGCAGAACACGGCAGTGCAGGTTCCCACAGGGTCCCAACCGGACAGAAAGCTGAGAGCCCGGCCCTGCACAGGCAGAATGGCTGGGCACAGGCCGTACCCCCTGACCCCAGGGAGCAGCACCCAGAACAGTGTCATGAAGGTGGCCGCCCACCCTGAACATGGAGCCTTGGAGTGGGCCTCAGCCTTAGTGCCACGACGCCCGAGCCAGCGGGGTGCCCTCGCGGGGCAGCCAGTGATGCCCTTTCCGAAGCTGTGTTGTCAGTCAGTGACATTCACCCTGCTGTGAGGCAACTCTCCAGAACTCTTTCACAAAGCTGATGTGCTAGTTTTGTGAGCCCTGATTCCTCCCCTGCCCACCACCCCCGCCCCGAGCCCTGGCCCCCGCCCCCGGGACGTCGCCAGGAATCTGGCCATGGCACAGAGTGCCCTGAGTCCAGCAGTGTGTCCTGGGGACGCCCCACGGAGGGTCAGGCCCAGCCTCGCTGTGGCGCAGACTCACTCACTCACTCACGTTTGTGAACCGTCTCTGGGTTCAAGACCTCAGACATCCGGATGCCCGTCTTGGCGACAGCGTAAATCCTGCTCTCCTGGTGGAGAAGAGAAACGTAAGCCGAGGCTTAGGAGTCTGACAGCAGAGACGGGTCCCCTGGGAGACTTCCTGTGACGCCGAAGCATGCCAGCTCCTGGGCTGCAGCCGCCCAGCGACGTCTCGGCCCCCAAGCTCCACGCGGCTCTCAGCTTTTGTTGAGGACAGCAGGAGAGTGAAGGGAAGCCAACTCTTCATGCTGACTCTCCACCGTCCAGCCCAGGCAGTCTGCCACCGAGAACATGGTCTTGGGGGAAAGTTTGGAACACAGAGCTGGAGACTCCGCACAGCAGCCGAGCCGCAGAAAGAGCCTGACCCCTGGGGTGCTGTCAACAAGGAACCCTGAAGCCTCTGGGCTGGAACAAGAGCCACCCCCGCACCTCTCAGGGCCATCCCCTTTACTTTAAATTACATTTCACCCAGCCGAACACTAACAAACTTGAGAACTGCAATGGAATCTATAAGCTAGCTTATTTATTTCAAAAGCAGTTCATCACTTTCTTTTTCTTCACGAGGCTGCCTGCCTCAGCCCCAGCCCCCCTCCGCTCCCAGGAAAGGCTCTCGGGAACCCCCCAGCAGAAGTCACCCAGCCCGGAGCTTGGCGGCACAGCCGACCCGGACATGGCATCCGGCTAGGCAAGGCAGTGGTGGAATGCGGTGCCAATAAGTGAAATGTACTTGAATGCCTGGAAATCTCTACACTGTGAAAGAAGCTGAAGTCGGGCTTCTCCCAGCCTGGAGGGGACCCCAGGGGCCGTTGCAGAGCCAGACACGGCCACCAGCACTGGTCGCTAGCTGCCAGGGTGAGCTGCAGACGGGCCTACAGGGCTCCAAAAGGAGGCTCAGACGTGGCTCATCTGACATGAGCAGGGCCACGAGAGCCATTGGGCCCCTACATGGGCGTGGGAGCAAGCGCCAGGCTGAGGACAAAGGCTGAACACCAGGTGTGAAGGAGAGCCGACCCTCCTCAGAAGGCGGTGGCCTTTTAAGGACACGGACAGGGGCCCTGGGGTGGGGGCAGGGCCTGCGCAGGGGGCTCTGAGTCGGGCTAGGAGGGGAGATCCTGGGGCACTCCTTCCCTGAGGGGTCTGCAGCTGAGGAACCGGAAACAGGTAGATTAACCTACTTCCACTCAAAAGGTGAATGTTTCCACGGAAGACACTCCTGTCTCCTAGATGTGTAGGCTGTTTTGACAGTCTTGGATCTAGAAGGGCACTCAAAGGAAAATCAAATTTCTATTAAAGTCAATCAGGCCGTTGGCCTTTTCAAATGCCTGGGTCTGGAGCTAGAGTGACACACAGCAGGGAGGGCGCTGGCCTTGGAGGGCGCTGGCCTTGCACGCAGCCAACCTGTCTTCAGTCTCTTGCACCCGTGTCATTACTGGCGGGAAGAATCCCTGAGTGCAGAGCCCGGGGAAGCCCTGAGCGTCGCTGGGTGTGGTCCCAAAACTAAACAAAACAGAATGCCGGAGCCCAGGACAGCTTCTCCTGCCAGACATGTGTAGGCCTCGCTTGACCCTGACACGCCCGCCAGCACCAACTGGTGAGGCCCTCAGGCCTTGGCAGGACCAGCAGCACTGACCTGCAGGGCCAGGGCCCTCGAACAGGACCCAAGCAGGACCCTGTGTCCAGAAGGTTACTCCCGCAAAGGCAAAATCAAAAACCCCAAATCCCTGATGCCCAACCACTGTCCTGGGGTGCAGTGTACCCACAGAGGCTCAGGACGAAGCCGGTAGGGGCCTCTTCTGTCTGGGGGAGAGCAGGGGTCAGGGTCGGTCAGGGAGGGCAGCGTCCAGGGGCCTGGCCTGTTCTGACTGCCTCAAACCCATGTAGTCCACAAGCACATCCAGAACCATTTGCGGCCTGGAAACTCAACTGACCAAGGATTCTCCAAATGGGTTCTGAGCAATGAAGGCGTTTCCGTTCCCGCTCTCCACCCCGGCCTCACTCTCGGCGACTCGGAAGGGAGTGCGAGCGGAAAGTACTGCGGTCGGGAAGCTGCGAGCTGCCGCCGGCAACCCGACCAGACAGAAGGCAGGTCTGGAGAAGAGAGTGCAGAACCCGATGCACGCCTGCATGTGTATATACGTGCGTGGGCCTGAATGTACAAGCGTGTGCAAACTTGCATCTGTGCATGTACGAGTGTGTATGAATATATACACATGCCTGTGTGTGCACTATGTGCATGTGTGCATCTGTGTGTGCACGCTTGTGTGCCCACGTGTGTGCATGTCTGTGCGTATGTGTGTCCTGCAGTGTACATGCCTGTATGTGTGCATGTATGTGCGTCTGCATGCATGTGTGCATGTCTGCCTGTGTGTGCTTGTGAGTGCTTGAGTGTGTGCATGTTTGCCCATGTGTGTATGCGTGTCATGTGTGTGCACTTACCCAGGAGGGGAAGCGGTGCAGTGGGGGGGTGGGCGGGGTGCCACAGACCCCCAGTGGCAGCTCATCAGAGCCGGGGGACTCCTGGGAGCCACGGCAGGAGGCCTGGTCACAGCTTGAGTCCCTGCTGTCCACAGTGTCTCTGCCATGGTCTTCGAGCAGGTCCAGGTCTGTCTCCTGGGGTCGGGGCGGTCGAACCATGCTGATGGCATTTCTGTTGGCGCCGAACATTCTGTCGGAGCTCAGCTGTGGCTGGCTCAGGTGCCTCCTGGCCAGTGCCATGCTCAGGCTGGGCACAGCTGGGGGTCGCAGCTTCGGGGGCGGCAGACCCAAGGAGGGCATGGCCACGGCTCCCCTCCCGGGAGCCCTGGCCGGGTGCCTGGGGGTCAGCGCTGGGGTCAGGCTGGGGCTGGGCGTGTTGGCCTCGCTCGAGGAGGAGGAGTAGTCCAGCCGCTGGGAGCGGAACCTCTTGTCCAGCTCGTCCGAGGAGCTATCGCGCTCCTTCCTGGCCGCGGCCGACGCCGCAGTGCTCTGGGCGCGCCACTTGGCCTCCTGCTGCCAGGAGAACAACTTCCCGTGGCCCGGCCTCGCGGGGCCCGTGGTCTCCTCCTCGAACACGGAGCTGCTGTCGTCGGACGCTGTCCAGTAGGGCTCGCTGCCCAGCCGGCCGCTCCGGGCTCCCTCCTCCGACGTGCGGCTGGACTCGCGCCCCAGCGCCCCGTCGTCCTCGTCTGAGCTGCACTCGCTAGCGGCAGCCACGGAGCTGGGGGAGGGGCCGCGGCCCAGGGAGCCTGCCCGCCCACCCCGGCTCACTTCTGCCCTCGGACTTCGCCCGTCCCCCTGCACGGGGTCCTCAGCAGGCTTCTCTGCGATCTCCATCTCTGGAAAACAAGGCCAACCTCTGAGTCCCCTGCGCACGAGAGCTGGGCAGAAGCAGGCGACGGGCAGAAAGGCCCAGTGATGCTCCTGCTCCCGTGGGGCTGTGAGTCTTTTAAAACACGTAGTTACTGTCAGTGTTTGCTTGGGGGCCACACATGGTGGTGCTCAGGGGGCCGCTGCCAACTCAGTGCTCAGGGGACCGTGAGGTGCTGGATGGGCTGAGCTTGCACCCCAGTCCTTGGACCATCGCCCAGCCCAAGTTACTCGCTTAAATTCTCATCGCTGTTTCATTCTGATGCCAGGGTTTGAACCCACGATCAAATCAACATCACAGACAAGTGCTCTGCTCTGCAGCACAACTGGCCAAGAAGACAAGGATCTGGAAGACCATGAATCCATTGACACTCAACAGACTAGGATCCATAGGAATCCACTGACATTCACAGACTTGGACCCACAGGAATCCACTGACACTCACAGACTAGGATCCACAGGGATCCACTGACACAGACCAGGACCCACAGGGATCCATTGATACTCATAGACTAGGACACACAGGAATCCACTGACATTCACAGACTAGGATCCACAGGGATCCACTGACACAGACCAGGACCCACAGGGATCCACTGACACTCATAGACTAGAACCCACAGGAATCCACTGACACTCATAGACTAGGATCCACAGGGATCCACTGACACAGACTAGGACCCACAGGAATCCACTGACACTCACAGACTAGGATCCACAGGAATCCACTGACACTCATAGACCAGGACCCACAGGGATCCACTGATACTCATAGACTAGGACCCACAGGAATCCGCTGACACTCACATACAAGGATCCATAGGGATCCACTCACTGACACTCATCGACTAGGACCATAGGAATCCATTGACACTCGCGGACTAGGACCCACGGGGATCCACTAACACTCATAGACTAGAACCCATAGGAATCCACTGACACAGACTAGGACCCACAGGAATCCACTGACACTCACAGACTAGGATCCACAGGAATCCACTGACACAGACCAGGACCCACAGGGATCCACTGATACTCATAGACTAGGACCCACAGGAATCCGCTGACACTCACATACAAGGATCCAAAGGGATCCGCTGACACAGACTAGGACCCACATGAATCCACTGACACTCACAGACTAGGATCCACAGGAATCCACTGACACAGACTAGGACCCACATGAATCCACTGACACTCACAGACTAGGACCCATAGGGATCCACTCACTGACACTCATCGACTAGGACCATAGGAATCCATTGACACTCGCGGACTAGGACCCACGGGGATCCACTAACACTCATAGACTAGAACCCATAGGAATCCACTGACACAGACTAGGACCCACAGGAATCCACTGACACTCACAGACTAGGATCCACAGGAATCCACTTACACTCAGAGTAGGACCCATAGGGATCCACTGACACTCAGACTAGATCCACAGGAATCCACTGACACTCACAGAATTTGACCCACAGGAATCCACTGACACTCCATAAACCAGGACCTATAGGGGTCCACTCACTGACACTCATAGACTAGAATCACAGGAATCCGCTGACACCCACAGACTAGGACCCACAGGGATCCACTGACAGTCACAGACTATGATCCACAGGAATCCACTGACACTCACAGACTAGGACCCACAGGGATCCACTGGCACTCAGACTAGGGCCCACAGGAATCCACTGACACAGACTAGATCCACAGGAATCCACTGACACAGACTAGGACCCAAAGGAATCCACTGACAGTCAGACTAGATTCACAGGGATCCACTGACACTCACAGACTAGGACCCACAGGAATCCACTGACACAGACTAGGACCCACAGGAATCCACTGACACTCATAGACAGGGATCCACAGGGATCCACTGACACTCACAGACTAGATCCACAGGAATCCACTGACACTCACAGACTAGGACCCACACAAAATAACTCTTTTTGGTGAGGTGGGAGACACCCAGTGTTGCTCATGGATGACTTCTGGTTTGCGCTCAGGGGTCATTCCTGGAAGGGCTCAGGGGAACAGACAGGGTACAGGGGATCTGTGCACTGGCTCCAGCCCCATGCAGCCCTATTTTATGAAGAAACGTGCTATGGGGGAAGCCAACAACTGTCTCAGGGGAGATAATAAAAGCAGCCACCTTGAAAGAGGACCCGGGTCTCAGGGACGGCACAAGACCGCGCAGGTCAGACCGGCGAGCAAACAAGAGCCCGCCCTGAAACATCCAGCACCGAACACGTGGCAAATGCATGCGAGCATCCTGCAGCTCAACTGAACGACGATTAACACAAACGACGGTTTCAACAGCAACCTCGCTGCCAAGCTTTCCTGCACGGGGCGCAACAGGCAAGGGGCCGAGGAGCTTGTCCTCGCTCCGCTCCTGGCTCCGTCCTCGGCACGGCCCGCGCGCTCTTGAGCAGCTGCCTCCTTGTCTTGGCGACATGATTATCTCTGGCTCCATGACCATAAACTGAAAACCTAGGTGGACGGTTACGTCACAAAGGAAAATGTTAAGAAGCTTCCAGACCAACAGGAGGGCAGACATCTGCTCTGGCTTCCAGGCCGAAACAGCTGGGCGGACGCTGTGCTCACTGTGAGCCGCCACTCCCTGCCAACTGCCTTTTCTCCTGTGCATCTGCCGTACCATAAGGGTCTCATCTTTAATTTGGGCAATTCCTACGTGAATCAAGAGCACAGAGTCCAGCGCTCCACAAGTGTGTGTGGGTCTGACGACAGCTTCCCCGAGAACTGCACTGCAGGCAGGGCAGGTGGGACACAGGTGCCTGCCGGGTGTGAGGAGGGGGCTCCTTAGAGTCACTGAGGAGGGCAGGGGGCCGCACTCCCTCCCGCAGATGCCCCCCGCCACGGGTGGCCCTACCTTCCACGTCTTTTCCTTCGGGGGACCCGAGCTCCGTGGGTGACATCCTGCCGCCACGCTCAGCCGTGTCCACCGGAGAGGGGCTCCTGGCCCGGGTCGGGAAGCACCCGAAGGTCAGGCCGCTGAGGCGCTGGCCCTCCGACAGTCCAGGCGTGCAGGCCGTGGGCGGCTTCTTCCCCTCCGCCTCTGTAAGATCGTTCGGGAAAATGCAGACCAGGGTCTCCCTGTGGGTCTAACAGGGAGCGCACACAGAGCCCCAGGACACATGGGCTGACCAGAGGGGGGTCCCCACACAGAAACCCCTTCTACATGCCTGGGGACCATCTTTTACATACTTCAATGTTCAAAATTTCCTTCAATAGCAGACAGCCAAGTACTGGATCTTTATGAAAACGATTCTCAAACCAAAAGGACAGACTCGGAGAACTAGGGCATTCCATCCTGCCGAGTCCAGAGGGGTAACTGCCAGTCACCCACAGGTACAAGACCCTGGTTGCCAAGACAACCAAAAGCAATTTCTAGGGTCAGTGGGGCCCAGATCGCATTATCATTGTAATAACTCTTGCTTATCTTAAGTTTCCAGTATCTTCTCCCGAGGAAGCCCCTGGTGAAGCCGTTCCTGGTGCCCCGGACGCCGTGCCTCAGCCATTTCGTGGGGGAGAGGGTGCAGGGACAGTGTGGAGGAGTGCAGAGACCACACAAGCACCCAATTGGGGTGCAGCCACTTCCTGCAGTCTGGGGGGCCACACCCGGCAGTGCCAGGATGCAGGCCTTGGGGCAGGGGTCTCTCCGACACAGGGGCTAGAAGGCCTCGTGGATGCTAGCGGGATCCTTCTCTTCTGCCACCCCTGAGTGCTAACGTGGCAGCTGCCTGAAGAACCCAGTGACGACCATGTCCAGGGAAGCCAAGCACCTGACTGGACAGCACCGAACCCCTCAGTACTAGAACCACCGTCACACAGTGTGAAAACAGGGGCAAGGCTGAGACATGAAATCCAGTCAGTCCGCACCTCCCCTCTGCCCACCCTACTGTCCAGTCTCCCCTCTGCCCACCCCACTGTCCAGTCTCCCCTCTGCCTCCTCCATGTCCGGCTCTGCCGCCTGTTGGGATTGAAGTCAATCTGAATGAAGGGAAGGGTGACATTCAGCTCTCCCTAGCCTCCTCCTTGGTGCCCGGGGGGCAGGTGGGATCCGTGCAGCCAGAGAGAGGCAGGCAGCCCGCCAGGCCTCATACCTTGGAGCTTTGCCTGTGCTATTCTGATCTCTTCCGTTTGGTTCTGGTTGATCAAACGAAGATTCTGATTCTCCAGTTCCAGCTAAAAGAATAAATTGGCATTCTTTTATCCAGAAAGAACATTTCTAAAATGCACTGGCAAGTTATACTATTTAGGAAATGCTAATATCTGAATATGTACAAGCTAAATAGAAAATAACGAGTATCAGATATCAATCCAGTTCACTATGTTTTCAATGTTTACTCAAAATTCATATTTTTGTATTGTAGCTTTTTTTCTCAATTAAGAATTTTGAGGGCCTGGAGAGATAGCACAGCGGGTAGGGCGTTTGCCTTGCATGCGGCCGACCCGGGTTCGATTCCCAGCATCCCATATGGTCCCCTGAGCACCGCCAGGAGTAACTCCTGAGTGCAGAGCCAGGAGGAACCCCTGTGCATCGCCGGGTGTGACCCAAAAAGCAAAAAAAAAAAAAAAAGAATTTTCAATGCTTTCACCCTATGCCTTTTCATTACAATTTAATTTAAACCGAATCATCTTTATCTCAGCATTGAATCTACCATTTAAGTACGCAATGTAAACTTCTCCTATACTAAGCACATCGATTTTATGGCAGACATCTGTATTCTACAATGACTTTAAACAAACTGATTAGAACTAAAGTCAACTAGAAGGTCGCTCTGTCCGCTGATGGTCAGGGCAACAGGGATCCTCTTATTCTGGGAGAGCGTCGGGCAGGACAGTCGCCTGATCTCACGCTCTGTGACGTAGCAGCTCCCCCAGCTGACCGGAACCGGCCTCCCTCCCCGCGCCCCAGCGAGCGAGGCGGACTGCACCACCAATACCTCGTTTAACTTCACGGTCACCCATTCTTTGATCTTAGCGGCTTTCTCTTCTATTATTTTAGCTTCTTGTATCCTCATCTGCTTCTGAAATAAATAACATTTTCACTTTGTTGAGTTCAAACATAAGCTCCTGCTAGAACGATAGCACAGCAGGGAGGGCGTTTGCCTTGCATGCAGCCTGACCCGGGTTCAATTCCCAGCATCCCATATGGTCCCCTGAGCACCGCCAGGAGTAATTCCTGAGTGCATGAACCAGGAGTAACCCCTGTGCATCGCTCGATATGACCCAAAAAGCAAAAAAAAAAAAAAAAAAAGATAATATTCCAAAACATTTCTAACACCTACTATCTAAAGCAGACTTCTTTTGAACTTTTACAGACATAAAAGCCTGTTCATAACTAAACACGACTTCAAGCTATTTTTTGTTTTTTGTTTTTTTTGGACCATGTCTTGCCATGCTCAGGACTTACTCCTGGCTCTGTGCTCAGAGATGACCCCTGGCGGGGCTCCAGGGACCACATGGAGTGTGGGGGTCTAACGGGCCGGCCACGTGCAAGGCCAACGCCTGAACCCCTGCAGTATGGCTCTGGCCCCACATCAAACCTTTCGTGCAGAGTTCTCGTGAAGGAGTCTGGTTCCATCTGAAAAGGATCAGGCGACGCCTCTGGGAAACGCGACAAGCATTTGACCCTATGGCTTGGCCAACAAAATGTTTCCTGCCTTCTCAGCAAAGGCTGCTGTTTCTGGCTGGGCAGAGTTCCGTGTGCGTGAGGCCCGGTGCCCGCTCTGCCCTCGGCCTGCCCCCCCCCCGCCCACTCACAAGCCGCCCCTCCTGACCTGCTCCTCCAGCTGCCGCTCCAAGCTCTGGATGGCGTCATTCCTCTCCTGGATCAGGGCCTCCAGATCTTGGCACTTGCGGTACAGCCGCATCTCTGATTCGCTGGTCTGAATGTTAGCTGCTTTTAATTTCTCTTCCATGACTTGTACCTACAGGCAAAGGAGAAACTACTAAAAGTATGCATGCACCGCGCTGGGCAGATTATGGATGCTAGAACCCAACTCGGACACCAAAGCGATGCCTGCAAGTCAGCTCGCCCAAGGGCGATAAAGACCAGCAAGTTCTGATGTACTTAACGTCTCTCCAACCTCAAGGTCTTTAGCTCCACAGGACTTGGGACACTGCTGTCCTCGAACTAGACAACGACGGTCCAGGAGACACCCCACAATCCAGTCTCCCGATCCCACCGTTTAAACAAGGAGGGATACAAGGAAGGTCAGTGTGAGCGAGACTCTGACGCAACGACTGGTATAAGAATACATTTGAGAAAAAAAGAATTTGAGCTTAGACGGGAATTCCCAGATGGCAATGGGAGGGCCGAGGACAGGGACAGTCTTGGGTGCCCCAGCTCGAATCCCAAGAAAGGCTCAGCACAGAGCCAAGTGCCTCAGGAAACGCTCAGGAGGACGTCAAGTCCCTGAGCTAAAATGAATGTCCATTCTTTCCTACCAAGGTCCAGCCTGGCCCAGAAGGACAGACACCCACTTCTGCACACTAGTGAGGATGAGACGCAGAGAGAAGCAGGGTAAAAATCTATCAGGGACCCAGCTGAGGCTGACCTGAGAGAGAGACAGAGCAGGACAGGAGACGGCGCCAGCTGGGCTTGGCAGCCTCAGGGCTGTGACCACAGGGGCAACGGGGAGATGGGGAAGGCAGGAAGGACGCGGGGAGGGGAGGACAGGCCCGCACGGCATGGCCCTGACTCCAGCTGTGTGCTGGGAGTGAGGGGACAAAAGCGCGTGAGACAGCTGCAGAGTGGGCCTCAGACTCGGGGGCTGGGGGCTGACTCCCCTACCCCTGCTCCTCTGCTCCCAGCACAGCTGGTAAACGCGGGACGGTGCGCCATCGGCATCTGGGGGTGAAGCGGATGCGTCACACGGAGCCACCCGAGTCCTGCGTGGGACCGGAAGGCCTGTGTGGACAGTGGGCAGTGACTCCACTGACCAGGGCAGGACGTCAGTGGGGCCTTCGGGAAACGTCTGTCCCCTCCGAAGGCCTGAACACTCTCTCTTCGAAAACAGAGGAACTGACCGACCCGTGAGCTGTCACTCGCTTTAACAATGCGGCGCTTGAATACTCCATGTGCTCTGCCCCCCTGACCCCACATTCTACCTCCTCTCTCTATCGAATCCGGAGACACCACCTGTGACCATCCGCAGAACTAAATCGGAGTGACCTAATAAGAATAAATCAGGTTCGTTTTTAAAAATCAACAAAAAGGGCATAGTTATGATGAAAACCTTTCAACTTAAATGCCTTGGGGCAGGGGCTGCCCTGTGGCAGGAGGGTGCCTGCCTTGCACACGGCTCACTGGGGTCGATCCCGGCTCCTCATATGGTCCCCTGAGCAGTGCCAGGATGAACTCCTGAGTGCAGAACTGCAAAGAAGCCCTGAGCATCCCTGGCATGGCCCAAACAACCCCCTCATATAAATATACATATTCATATATCTTTAAATTTAAAATATATATATCTTTTCATAAAAACCACAGCACACTCTTGTTTAAAGTTCAAATACATGCAACAAGCGAGGAGGTCCAGAAGAGAGGTGTTCCGGGAGTTTGGGCAGCTTGCCATGGAACCGGGTCCCAGCCATGGCTGGCCGTGTCATCAGACCCGTCTACGATGGACCCCGGGGCGGGAAGACAGCTTAGAGGAGCTCAGAGCCAGGGAAATGTCCCCGAGGGAGGCCCGGGTTTCCTGGAGCTCAGCTGTACCCAGAGCCCACCCAGCCGAAGGCCACCGCATCCTGGCCCTATGCCATCAGGAGGGCAACACCCCCATAGTCGGGAACCTCCAGCACCTTCTGGGAGGCTCCCAGGGCCCCAGGCTAGTCCTGGCCTTCATTTTCCCAAGGGAAACCTCATGTTGTGAATCAAGACAGCCCCTAATGTACTATAAAGTGCACAAGTAGTCTATGATATCAGTCAAAGTTTACGTGTATGAATACTTGTGTCACTAGACAATACCAGGGACACGCTGCAGCAATCTCCCTTCCGGCTTCTGCTGGCGTTCCCACCAAGGCGGCCAAGAGTCTGATCTGATCCCATCAGCGCCCTCCCATGTGCTGCTGCCATGTGTGTGGGTGGAATTACACGGCAGATTCTACCCGGGGGCCAGTTCTCTCCCTGCCCATGTGCACTCCCCCCCCACCCCCGCTGTCCAGCCTCAGGCCCCTCACCCTGCCCCAGCGCGGGAGGCCAGCGAGAGGCCGCGCTTCTGAGTGGGGAGTTTCTGTTTCTACGTGTGTTCGCTGTGCTGGCCGAGAGTCCCGACAGTCCTGAGGTAGGAGGAGAAACCCGCGGCGGGGAGTGTGTTGGTCCCAGACCATGAGAAACACGCAGTGGGGAGTGTGCTGGTCCCAGCCATGGCCCAGAGACCTGCGATCCGTCCTTGGAGACTTCTCAGGCACGTGTCACTGCCTCGTAAGCAGGACCAAGCAGCCCTAGGCCGTGAGGCAGTGACCGCAGGGTCCCAGAACACCGCATGGCAGAGAAGAGACCACCACTGAGATCAGACCATATTGGAAGTTAGAACATCCCTGTTGGCAGGGCAAGTGTTCATGGGACAGAGCCCAGGGCAGGAGGAAACTGCAGGAAACCTCCCTCCAGGTGGCCATCAAGCAGGCAGAGTGTGGCCAGGCAGAGTGGCCCAAACAAGGCCTGTGCTCATGTCTCCTACCGGGCACTTGGGTGCTGCCCATTCTCCTGTTCCACCAGGCTACAGCGGGCTCTGGGCTGTGAGCAGACTCTGGCCGTGGGCAGGCTCTGGGCTGTGGACAGGCTCGGCCGGGTGCACACAGAGTAACTGTGATCACTATCCTGAAACTGTGCTGCAGCAGTTCGCATCAAGACTGCCAATATTTCTCTGGGAAATGTGTGGTTTTTCCTACCAACGTTTTGTTTGATCTTTATGCCACTCATTAATATAAACAAGGGGAAGCTGTGGGGATCAGCAGCGCGGAGCATGTCAGCTGACTGCGCCTCGGAGAGGAAAAACATTCCTTTTTGGCTAATATAAATACAGTTCAAGTCTTAGAATGTGGCTCGGTGCAAATGGAAGCCGAGTCTTGGCGACATAAGCAGCCCCGGGCCTCTGTCCTGCGGACGAGCGCGCGGCCCTGGCTCTCCAGGCTGACAGCACTGGCTCAGCCGGCCAAGGCCGGAGGAAGCTGACCGAATGGGAGCGTGTGTCTGCGGCAGCCCAGGGGCCTGGCGGTCACCAGGAGCAGTGCAGGAGGCCCACCACATAGGCTGGGCGGGGGCAGAGCCCCGCAGCCATGCACACGGCCGAGCTGGTCCATCCTGGCACCCCTTACGGTCCCCCAGCCCTCCTGAGTGATCCCTGAGCACCGCTGGATGAGGTCCCAAAGCAACAACAGTAAACAAGCCTCAAGCTGTGAAAAATGATCTGCACATTTTGCTACTTTACTCAGGAATTTAAGGGGATTTGCCCAGACCCTGACAGCTACAAGCACGTTTGCTTCCCTTGAATTAAAAATGAGGATTCTTTTCTTTTCCCCTCAAGACCCAGGAAATTGGGGGAAGAATTCATGGAAATTCACAAGTAAATATACTTCTGCTTAATTTTCAGAACTAAATTTGCTTCATATATAAATAAAAAGATGTTTCTTTCTGTTTTGTTTTGGTTTTGTGGCCTGGCAGAGAAGAGACCCCCCCAGCAGTGTTCAGGGCTTGTGCCTGGCTCTGAGCTCAGGAATTACTCCTGGCAGAGCTCGGGGGAGCATACGGGGTCCTGGATTGAACCTGGGTCTGCCGCATGCAAGGCCAATGCATCCCTGCTGTGCTATGTAGCAGCCCAAGTGAAGAGCTGTAAGGTAAGAAAAGGCAGAACTCAGGTAATCTTCCCTTCCTAGGCGATGAGCGGGGAGGGGCGCAACGGAAGAGTACGGAGGCGAGCGGGCAGGGGCGGGGGTCCCGGGGAAGGGGCCAGTGTGGCTGCAGGCCACGAGCACTGCCGTGCCCAGTCTCCGTCCAGTGGCTGTGAGGATCTCCAGAAGGGCCTCAGGACCAGGACCAATGACGACCTGAAGTGGCGGGACCCCAAGGAGAGGTTCCAGTGTGCGGGTCAGATGCAGGCGGCAGTGACTCAGCCCGGGTGCCCAAACACCAGTGCTCTCAGCAGTACCTGAGGTGCGGCAGTAAAGGGTGTGGTGACTTTCTGGGTGATAATGGGGCTGGTTCAGGTGTTCGTTTCATGAATCACCACAATATTCATGGGTGAAGGAATACAGCGGCTGGGAGCTATTTCCCGAAAACAACACATGGGGAAGGAAAGTGGCAGGAGCAGCATCTGCAGCAGCTGTGAGCTGACTGTGAGCTAACTGTGAGCTGGCTGAGAGCTGCATGTAAGCTGACTGTGATCTGGCTGTGAGCTGACTGTGTCAGCTGTGAGCTATGTATGGACTGTGAGCTGGCTGTGAGCCGACTGTGAGCTGACGTATTCTGACTGTGTGCTGGCTGTGAGCTGTGTTCCGACTGTGTTAGGCTGTGAGCTGGCTGTGCACTGGTTGTGAGCTGACTGTGTGCTGGCTGTGAGCTGTGTGCGGGCTGTGCGCTCTCTGTGAGCTGACTGTGTGCTGGCTGAGCGCTACATCTGAGATGACTGTGTGCTGATTGTGAGCCAGGTGTGAGCTGACTGTGAGCTGGCAGTGCACTGGCTGTGAGCTGACTATGTGCTGGCTGTAAGCCAGCTGTGATCTGGCTGGGAGCTAACTGTGTCAGCTGTGAGCTGACTACGTATGGACTGTGAGCTGGCTGTGAGCTGGCTGTGAGCCGACTGTGAGCTGTGTTCTGACTGTGTCAGCTATGAGCTGGCTGTGCACTGACTGTGAGCTGACTGTGTGCTGGCTGTGAGCTGTGTTCCGACTGTGTGAGCTGTGTGCAGGCTGTGCGCTCGCTGTGAGCTGACTGTGTGCTGACTGTGAGCTGGCTGTGTGCTGACAGTGTGCTGGCTGTGAACTGTGTGCTGATTGTGAGCTGACTGTGAGCTTATCATGTGCTGGCTGTGAGCTGGCTGTGCACTGTGCGCTGGCTGTGAATTCACCGTGTCTGGCTGTGAGCTCACTGTGTGCTGGCTGTGAGCCAACTGTGTGCAGGCTGTGCGCTGGCTGTGTGCTGGCTATGAGTTGTGTTCTGACTGTGTCAGCTGTGAGCTCACTGTGTGCTGGCTGTGAGCCAACTGTGTGCAGGCTGTGCGCTGGCTGTGTGCTGGCTATGAGCTGTGTTCTGACTGTGTCAGCTGTGAGCTGACTGTGTGCTGGCAACTGTTGAAGGTGGAGACTGCATTAGCTTCTCTACTCAGGATACTAAAAGCTTGCATATAAAGTTTTTGGATTTATTTTTTCAAGTAAGATTAATTTAAGAAAATCAAGGATTAGATTAGCTTGGGTTTATTTAAAAATGTTGCAGGCCACCAAAATAATCTACTTTGTATGATCAAATCTTTAATTTGAAAATAAAATATGGTTGTACCAAACTGAAGGACCGGAACAAGACAAACAGATCAAATTAAGAAATGGAACATACCTGCTCACACCCCACAGCCGCTGCCGTGCTCCGGCAGGACCCTTACCACTCATGACTGAGCTCCACAGACCGGGCTGCCGAAAGGTTCATGTGCACAGGGTTTGGTTTTTTCTCTGCTAAGAGCTCTGGGCCTTTTGGGGTGGGAGTGGGCCGCCTCCTCTGACCCCTCCACCCCCCTCCAGTGTACTTCCAGAAGCCCTGGCAGCCACACCCGCATCCCACAACAGCCTCCAGGTAAGCTCATTGCCCCCCCAATATTCTGGAGTTTCTGGTGCAGAGCACTGCAAAGGCAGCCGCATGACATCTCCAAACTCCAGTGCTAGCATCCCAGCAGGAGCACGCCAGGCTGGATGGGAATGGAAAGTCAAAGCCACCTAAGCTCGACTAACAGAACACTGACACGAGGCTCAACTCGCAACAAGCAGCTTAGCAAACCCTCAGACAAGGGCCTACTGTCCCCATGGGGAGATAGTACAATTTTCACAAATTTTCTTTGAGTTTTGTTTTTTATTTTTATTTATTTTTTTATTTTTTTGCTTTTTGGGTCACACCCAGCGATGCACAGGGGTTACTCCTGGCTCATACACTCAGGAATAACCCTTGGCGGTGCTCGGGGGACCATAAGGGATGCTGGAAATCGAACCTGGGTTGGCCGTGTGCAAGGCAAACCTCCCTACCTGCTATGCTATGCTATCACTCCAGTCCCATAACTGAGTAATTTTTTTAACAATTCCACTAGCCAATTAGGTGGGGTTTTTTTTCTTTTTAGGCCATACCCAGCAATGCTCAGGGGTTACTCCTGGCTCTGCACTCAGGAATCACACTCCTGGCGGTGCGTGGGGGACCACATAAGATGCTGGGGTTTGAATCCGGGTTGGCCGCGTGCAAGGCAAACGCCCTATCCGCTGTGCTATCACTCCAGCCCCATAATTGAGTATTTTTTAACAATTCCACTAGCCATTTAGGCTTGTTGTTGTTTTGCTTTTTGGGCCACACCCAGCAATGCTCAGGGGATACTCCTGGCTCTGCACTCAGGAATCACTCCTGATGCTGCTTGGGGGACCATATGGGATGCCGGGGCTTGAACCTGGGTTGGGTGCGTGCAGCGCAAACGCCCTACCCGCTGTACTATCACTCCGGCCCCTAGCCATTTAGTTTTAACAAGCAATACAAAATCAATTTTGAGCCTAGTACAGGCTTGAGGGGTGTCTGGGGAAATGAAGACAATGTGGAGGGAAGGTCAGCGTAAAGGGCCTGGTGATGGAATACTGAATGTCTGTGTCAAACCATCACGGACAACTTTGTAGACCACAATGTTCAAACAGAGTGGAAAAAAAGGAATGGAATATGCACTTCTTAGAAGTCATAGTTTTGGAGAGAACAAAAGGGAACGCCCTGCCACAAAGGCAGGGTGGGGCGGGGGGAATGGGGGGTGGGAGGGATACTGGGACCCGTGGTGGTGGAGAATGGGCACTGGTGGAGGGATGGGTGCTCGATCATTGTATAATTGAAACCCAAGCACAAAAATTTGTAAGTCTACAACTGTACCTCATGGTGTTTCACTAATAAAAATTAAAAAAAAAAAAAGAATAGCTTCGAATTAAAAGTTCTGTAATTCTTAGCTCTGAGAGAGACCTTTTGAAGCTATGATCATGAGACAAATTTTAAGGTTGTTGGAATCATTCAAATTATTTTACCGTTAGGAAAGTCCAGAAAAGGTCAAATAAATTATCAAAATATTTTTTTCAAAAATAGTACAAAAGAAAATTAGAAATTATAAAAATACAGGAGAAAAAAATGTAATCCCCAACTGTATAAATTTAAACATTGGAGTATTTCCTATCAGCCTTTTTCTACTCTTAGAAAAATTACTTAAAAGGTTGGTTTTATGAACTGTTTTCATTTCTTTATTCTGCTGGGACCCGGAACAAAAGGATCACTTCCAGAATCTTGGGTGGGGCATGGAGCACTGGAATAGAACCCCAACTTCACAAAGGAACCTCCCCACAGAACCCCACAGATGGAACTCCCACAGAACCAACCTCACCCAGGTGCCCCCACAGGGCCCCACCCTCTCCCAGGCATCCTCTCAGGACCCCAGCCTCACATGAGAAGGCTCCACACTAACCACGTCCCCGGTCGGGTGTCGGCGAACATTTTTCCTCAAACCACACGGCATGGCCCCTGACTGGAATGTGCCCTCAGCTCAAGGGCTGCCAGCAGTCCTGGGGGCAGCGTGTTCTCGCCCTCTCCACCTCTGCGGACACATCGAGCACGTGGGCTGCTACTGGCTGACGCCGATGCCTGCTCACGTGTGTGCAAAGGTGCATGTGCACATGTGAATGCATGTGTGCATGTGTGTGCTTGCAAGAGTGTTGTGTATGCATGAGCGCACATGCAAGTATGCATGAGTGTGTGTGCGCGCAGGCGTACATGTGCTCGGACACGATCAGAGTCCCACTCACGCCACCTGCCACTGTTGCAGAGACCCAAGGTAGCTGTCACCGAGTTGTCGCCTCGGATCCTCTGCTAAGACTAAACAAAGAGACTGTCCACCTTCTCCCTGACCAGGGTGCTGGCGGGGCACGAGGACCAGGTTGGAGACTTCGGGGCAACAAGCTTCCTAGCGGTAGAAGCTGGTAAAAAGAAAACGACCCTGACCTGCTGGAACGCCTTGTCTGCTTGCCGCTCCGCGTCCACAACTTGCCTCTCAAGCTGCTGCATCTGCAGAGAGAAGCGAGGCCGTCGTGAAGATGCGCCCAAGCCCCGGAAAGGCCCCGCCAGCAGGCCCACACCGCAGCAGGGCGTCTAGGAGGCGTGGGAGACCAGGGCAGAGGCTGGCTGGATGGCTGGACAGCAGCCCCTGGGGGCTCCACAGAAGCCCGGAAGGCCCCGGAAGGGCCGGCATTGAGCACCGCGAGGGCACCCAGGAGGAAGACCTCAGAGCCCAGCTCTGAGTGCCCACAGGGGCACCTGGAGGCCAGCACCAGCGCTTCTGCCCAGGCCTGTGCCGTCTCCACAGCCCCGCCCTGTCCACAGGCCCGCCCCATCCCACAACCCCGCCCCGTCCCACGTCCCCAGGCACCCCCCAGGGTTCCCCAAACTAAAACCAACAAACAAGCAAAGGCCCCACTGTCCCGCTCTGTCCTTCACGTGCGATGGGCCCGTTATTCTGTGGACGGCTCCTTCCTCCCGCTCCCTTCCGGTGACCGCTGGGTGGGTGTCACCGTCCAAACGTTGCTCTTCGTTTTGTTCCCTGAGCGTTCTGACCCAGTGCCCCGAGTGCCAGGCCCACATGGGGTGGGATCTCTGGATTTTGTTTTGAGCCGTCACAGTCTCCACAGTTCCTGCCCTGATTTCCACTCCCACCTGCCACGCGCGGGTTCACTTCTTTCCGTTCCTCTTTGCGTGCGTTGCCTTACACTTAGGGTGTGATGTCAAACCGTCAGCTCTGAGGAGACGCCCCTATCAACTGCCTCCTTTATCACTGCTGGGGGAAGCGCAGCAGCGCCTCGGGCTGGGCCAGCCCACCCTCCCCTACGGAGACCCCGCTCTACCGTCTCTCTGAGCTCAAGCCCAGGAGGCACCGCCTGCCTGCGTGTCCACAGCTGTCACACCTCAGACAGCGACTCTCACATGGACCTGTGACACCCCGGAGGATGAGTCTGTCACACTGACCCATGACACCCCAGTGAGGACTCTGTCACTCTGACCTGTGAAGCCCTGTAGAATGACTGTCACTCCTGTGACACCCACAGGATGACTGTCACTCTTACCCAAGACACTCTGTGGCTCTTGCCTGAGAAATGCTGGGTAACAATGGTCACTCCCGCGATACCCCTGTGCGAACTCTGTCACTCTTACATGGGACACCCCTGTGAGAACCCTGTCAGTCTTGCCAAGGACACCCCCGTGAGGACTCTGCCACTCTGACCCAGGGCACCCCATACAAGGACTCTGTCACTCTTAGCTAGGAGACCCTTGCCAGGTCTGTCAGCTCTGGGCAGCAGGACCTGTGACCCCAGCCCTAACCGTCCCCCTCCCCCTCTCCACAGTGCTGTCCTGGCAGCATGACCTTGAACCCAAGCTTTCTGTGACATTGGTTGTGGTCCTCTGTGTGCAGGTTCAACTCACTCTGCCTACTCAAATCATGTTTAGTGACCTGGTCTAGTTGTCAGCGGTCATTCCCCTCTGACGCTAGATGTCCTTCTTTCTTCCTTTGAATGGAGGCCCAAAGAACTATTGTTCGAAATGGCTGGGGGGTGTCGGGGGGCACACTGCGCAATGCTCAGGGCTTCCTCCTGGCTCTGCACTCAGGAATCGCTCCTGGCGGTGCTCGGGGGACCATATTGGGTGCCAGGGTTGGAGCCTGGGTCCGTGTGTGCAGGACAAAGGCCCTCCCCGCTGTGCTATGGCTCGGGCCGCCTCGCTGCTATTTCCTTGCTGCATCTTTTCCCGACTCAGGGCCTCCTGCCGATGGGAGCGTTGGGTCACTCAGATGTGCCGTGCAGCAGGAGTGGCCGTCGCCAACACACTCCTGGTTTCCCAGGAAACATATTCTCCAGAGTGGAAATCACGGTCTTGTGGCATTTTCTCTGATATTCCATCGTGACGTTTTTTTTCTAGGTTAAACATTTATCTTGGTAGGCACTTACGTTTTCCTAAAATACCCATTCTGGGTTTATTTTTCATGAAGTCACCAGGACTTTACTGTTTTCACTGGGTCACTGCACCATGTTGCAGTGCTCAGGCTACTCTAGGCTCAGTGCTCGGTGCAGCTCTGAAACCTGAGGCTGGCCTGCACATCCCTCCCAGTCAGAGCCATCTGCACACCTTGCGGTCCTCAGAGCCGCCCCTGTTGCCTCTCTGCGCCTGCTGGGCACCACGCTGTCCTGTCAGGCTGGTCTGTGCCCCACAGTGGACACCCTGGGCTGAAGGGTCCCCAGAAACACGAGCCTCTGCTCCGTGCCTGAGCCACGGTTGCTTCGCCCCAGATGCTCCCTGGGCTCCCTGGGACTGGCCAGGGCTCTGGGCCGCTCACCTGGTCCAGCTCTGCTGCCCGAGGCAGGAGATGGGGGGCCTGCTCTGCCTCAGGGCTCTGGGGGACCCTGTCCCATATTACGGGGCTGCACAGGTGATGTCACACCCCAGGTGGGTGCGTGTTGGACATGTGTCCTGGCTGTAGCGTTTCCTTGGCTCCCCGGCCCTGGAGTGTGCAGCTGGTGGGAGGGCTGGCCGGCTGGAGCGGAGGGCGAGGCCTCGGGAATGCAGGGAATGTGCTGGAAACCTCTGGGAGGCCAAGAGCGACTCTTCAGGGGTGAGAGGAATCTTTCCCTCCTGGCAGTCTCAGAGGGAGGCGGAAGGAGCGTCTCTTCAGGGCAGTGACATGTCCTGGGGCTCCGCGGGAAGGAGAGGGGGCATGGGAACCCTTCCCCAGTAAGCATCGGGTGCAGAGCCACGAGACAGGCTGCATGTGGGCCTGACCCCGCTCTGGGAATGGGGCTCCTGCAGCTCAGTGGGCCCCTGTAGACAGCGAGTAGAATGAGGGGAGAGGCCGTGGGGCCCATCCCAGGTCGGGAGGAGCCAGGAGGAGATGCTCAGAGCATTACTGCCCACATCAGGGAGAAGGTTCGAGAACCTTCTGCACCATTCTTGCCCTGGCTGGCCGCATACAAGGCAAATGCCTTACCCCTTGCACTAATTTCCCCAGCTCCAGGAAACAGATTTGGGAGGTGAAACTCATATTGTGGGGTCACCTGCTAGCTTATGTTAACATTCACCTGAAATATTATTTCAGCAAATAATGGGTCTTGCACAAACCAGCCCTCAGTAAATATTTGTTGGATGAAGGAATGGACAAGTAGATGAATTAATTTTCTTATTACATATGCAAAATTCCTGTGGCAGAAATGAAATCCTCCTTTCAGGCTTGCAGGATGAGCACTATTAAAGGAGTCTCTAGTTCCCTTGACTCTCAGCCCTGAGGGTGTCCGGGCGAAAGTCAGCACACACACCGCACGCACACGTGGCCGTCGTGAGCATCAGAATCCTGTTTCCCTCCTTCAGCCAAGGCCGACCGGGAGCATCTTTCCTCTGTCTCACACGTCCCCCAGGACCAGCAGGATCCGCACGGGTTTATTTCCCAGCTTCACGCCCACCACCCTAACCTGAAGCGTTTTCACTCGCCCCAAGCACTGAAGCCCCGTGCGGGGGTCGCGAGCAGCCAGGGCGGGCTCACCTTGTCGGCCAGGAGCTGGCGGATCTTGCCGGCCTGGGCGCGGAACCGCAGCAGCTGCGCCTCCAAGGCCACGCAACGCTCCCTCCAGTCCACGGGCGGCTCCTGCGTGGGTGGCTCCATGTCCTGCAAGAGGGCGCTCAGGTGGCCTGAAACCAGCCGGGCCCGGGTGCTGCCTGTTAAATTCCAAGGGAAACTCCAGGATGGGTGGCAGCTTGGCTCAGGCTGTGGCGGGCGCAGGTGGCCGGGTGCGGCAGCCCACCCAGCAGGCCCACTGCTTTGTGACTCGGTTTGCCCCCACCTGAGGCAGAGGGTAGAGACTGCTGCCAACATTCTCCTTCCTGGGATGCACCCCAGGTGACGCGGGGGTGGTGGCCCCCGCCCCAGGCCTGCCTTCTGAACTCCGCCCAGCCGACAAGCTCCGAAGCCCGGCCCGCCCTGGGCTCTGCAGAACCACACGATGCTGCTCCGTCCATGGCCATGAGTGTGAGGGCTGAAGCCGCCAGACACTGCACACCCGTCATGGGCTTAATTCTGAGGGGGCGGGGATTCCTCCCAGGCAACACACAGAGCCCAGGCACCTCTCTGTGGCTCTCAGTCAACCTTGGACTCCTGAGTGCAAGGGCTGAAGGATGTGGTGCTGAGGACCACCAAGGCCACCCAGAGCTGCTGGGGGCCCCCAAAGTCACACCCACAGTGCCGGGGGCTACAGCAGAGGTGCTCAGAGGTGGTGCTTAAACTTACTCTTGGATCTGGGCTCAGGAGGTCTTTTGGGGTGCCAGGGATCAACCCCAGGTTGGTCACAGGCAAGGCAGGCACCCTCCCTGGTGTTCTATCTCTCCGGCCTGTTTTTGTTTCCTTTTGCTTACTCCTGGCTGTGTGCTCACAGCTCACCCCTGGCAGGGCTCAGGAGTCTCTATGTGGTATTGCGGACCAAATCCAGGTGGCCGTGTGCATAGCAAGCACCATCTCTCTGGCCCTGTGAGAACCATGGAGTGCTAGGGCCCAGGTATTTTTCACATCTCAGGGAAACTAGGCTGATATTCAAAAATCAATAGATTTTTCTATTCAATGAAAGGAAAAAAACTGAAAATGGAACCAAGAACGCATTCTTTTGACAAAATCACTGAAAGAATTAAATACTTAGAAATAATAAAATTAGTGCAAAACTTGTCTTCTGAGAACTACAAAATTTCATGAGGGAAATGAACGACGTACATACCTGGTGGTCTGTGGAAGCCCCCCGCATACACGGAGGGGAAGAGGCACTGCAAGCGAATGAACATGGTCTCAACCACCCACAGAAAAACCTGGACTGCACTTTTCCGACAAGTCGGTCTACATCATTTACGGGAGTTAAGGGAACCAGAATAAAATCAACTTGAAAAGTCATGGGAATCAATGTCCGAACTTCAAAAGCTGACCCAGTCTTGATCCCTAGCACTCCATATGCCATACGGTACTCAGAGCCGCACCAGGAGTGACGTCTGAGCACTGAGCCAGGAGAGCTCTCTGAGCACTGAGTGGTATGGCCAAAAAACAAAAGAAAGTTGCATATGACCAGCAACTCCAGTGTTTGCTATCTGCCAAACCTACTGGATACAAAAATCCACACCAACAACTGTATAGTCGCCAAAAACGTGGCGAAAAAACGTGGAAGCAACCCAAGGGTCAAATGAAGAGAGAAGACACTGTGGCAAGTACACACAGGGAGTGTGGGTCTCGGAAACACACCCACTTTCCAAGAGAGGCCTGATGCCAAAGGCCAGGGTTACACGGCTGCACCCCTGGGAACAAGGCAGAGCAGACAGAAAGCACCCAGGGTGCCACGAGAGGGCGGCAAGGGTCAGCTAAGAGGTCTGGGCTTCTTTGGAGGGGATAAAATACTCTACAGTTCGGTTGCAGTGATGGTCACTGGGAAGACGGCCACTGAACTGTGTGCTTTAAAGAGACAGACTTCAGGGGCTGGAGCGATAGATAGCACAGCAGATAGGGCGTTTGCCTTGCACGCAACCGACCCGGGTGTGATTCCCAGTACCCCATAAGGTCCCCCAAGCACCGCCAGGAGGAATTCCTGAGCGTATGAGCCAGGAATAACCCCTGTGCATTGCCGAGTCTGACCCAAAAAGCAAAAATAAATAAATAAATAAATAAAGAGACAGACTTCGTGAAGGATAACTTGATCCAAAGGCGCTTGTGTTTACGAGCAAGTCGGGAACAGGAACCCTGGGGGCTGGGGCGGGGGAGCTCAAAGGATTAGCGGCTTCCTTTGTCAGAGAATCCAGCCCCCGCCACTGATCCCGACAGCAGCAGGAGTGACCCCGAGCATCCATCCGTCGGTCTCTGGGCACCGAGGGTGTGGCCCCAAGAGCCGAAGAAGGGACTTCGAAGCGCAACGCTGCGACCGTCCCTGCCAGGAGCGCCTCGAGGCCCATGATCCAGAGGCCCCGCCAGCCTGAGCGAGCACGAGGGGAGGAAAAGGACCGGCCGGCCCAGGATGCCTCGCGGCTTCCCCGTGAGAGTGGCGGCAAGAAAGTGCCCGGCGGCTGGGACACGCGGGCAGCGTCCACTCACCCCGCCGCGCCGGCCCGGGAAACGTCCTGTCCCTTGGGACGTGTTCACCGCCCGAGCAAACAGTCTGCAGCCGCGCGGCCGCACCCGCGTCCGGCCCTCCCGGGACCCCGAGTTCCACCGCGGTCCCCGCGGGCAGCCCAGCCGGGCCGCCGGCGACCCCCGCCTGCCCCACTCCCGGCTGCGGCGCTCTGGGGGGCCGGGACCCCGCAGCCCCCAGCCCCGCGCGCCTACCTCTCCGCGCCCGCGCCGCGGGACCCCCGGGAGGCCGCCGCCCGCCCCCGGCCCGCCCCCGGCCCGCCTTCCTTCTTCCCCAGACCCCCGCCCCGTCCTCTGCCCCGCCCCTGCCTGGGCACGCCCCCGCCCCGCCCCCGCCCCTGTCCCCGCCCCCTCCCCGCCCCGGATCTGCCCCCGGCACAGTTTACCACTCGCCTGGCCCCGCCCCCGCCCCGCCCCGCCCTCTTTGCCACGCCCACACCTTACGGCCGTCTCGCCCCGCCCCGGACACGCCCACACTTATTCTCCCCCAGGCCCCGCCCAGACACACCCACCGCCCCGCCCCTCGGCCACGCCCCCTACACGCCGCGTCCTTACCCCTTCTGGCCCCGCCCCATTCCCGCCGTGGCCCCGCCCCCGGCACGCCCCCGCTCTTATTCCCGCCCCAGGCCCCGCCCCGTCCTTGCGTGTTGACCCCCCCCCGCCCGCATCCCCGTCCAGGTACCGCGTCCTGTCCCCATCCGCTTGGGGGCGTCTTCCCCGCGTCGCGCTGCGCGTGCTCCGCCCGCCTGCCCACCTGTGACCTCGTCCGCCTCGCGACGCTCCCGCCGGACTCCGGGTGGCGCTAGTGGCCACCGTCCCCCGCGCAGCCAGGGGCGGCCTGGGTCGGGCCCGCGCCTGTGGGCCCCGGGAGCACGGGAGCACGGGAGCACAGCGCGGGAGCACTGCCCGGGAGCTCGGGAGCACGGCCCCAGGAGCGTGGGCACTGTCCGGCGCGGCCCCGCCTCACCTGGGCGCCCGGGCAGGCGCGGGCCGAGCGCGCGGGGTGGCGGGGCCTGCAGGGGCGTCCGTCCGGCGGGCCGGAGGCAGGGGCGGCTGCAGTCTCCGCCCCCCATATTCCTCCCAGATGAGCCGACTTGGGCCGGGCCCAGGCTCCCCCACGCCGAATTCCTGCGCCTCGTGCGGGAGCCGCGCACAGGAAGACGCTGCAGACGCGCCGTCCCGGCGCGGAGTCAGGCCAACAGCGGGAGCGCTGGGCACGCCCCGGCGGCCAGCGGGCGCGGGGCCCGGGCCAAAGGCAGAGGGGGAGGCGGGCCCGAGTCCGAGCTCTGAGCTGACTGCAGTCCCTCATGAAAAGCCGCTTTCTGAGCCGCTCCTGGGGCGGGCCGGGTCAACACTGAGTCTGCCTCTCTGCAAACAGACCGGGTGTGGGGGGCTCGCTGGCGCTGACCACGCGGGCGGGCGGGCGGGCGGAGGCCCAGACAGCGCTGGGAGGAACTGTGCTGCTCCCAGCAAGGCAGAAGTAACCCTTCTAGCCGCGCTGGAGCCCCAGGAGGCGCGCAGGGGCAGGGGCTGGGGCGGGCTTGCTCGCCAGAGCCCGGGTGGCAATGTGGGCCCGGCGCTGCCCTACCACGCACCAGGTCTGCCCAGACGCCGCAGGCACCTTTCCGTGGGCACCTGCTGTCCAAAGAGGGGAATCCAGGGACACAAAGAAGGTTATGGGAGGAGGGGCTGGGGGCGTGGGGCAGACACCTTCTTCTTGAAGGTAAGAATCACCGACCGAGGAAGTGTGGTGGGCCACGGGGCGAGTAACCCACTGTGCTTGCGAAGGAGAAGCGTCCCCTGTGTGTGGGTGCCCACAAGGAGCAGAGGAGGACTCTTTTTCCACCAGGACAGTCTCTGAGCAGTGCCTTGGTGCCTGGGGTGTGCGTCTGCAGGGTCGCTGGGACTGGGCAAGCCAGGGAGAGAATGCCCGCACTGGACCTCTGACTCCAAGCACCGCCCAGTGAGCTGTACCCTGAGGCCATGCAAGTGAGCAGGGAGGGGCCGGACACCTCTGTCTTCCAGAGCTGTGATGCAGCAGGGAGGGAGTGATGCTTGCAGCTAGAAGGCACCCAGTCTCTCATGCTTAGGAACTGGTGGGCATGCAGAATGACCTGGAGAGCCGAGGGACGCAGTGGAACTGGCAACACCAAGTGAAATGGAGCCACTGCGCCCTGGCCTTTGCCTCTAAGTTCCTAGGGTGGCTCATGCAGCTGAGCCCTTTGGGCGGGCACGTCGTTCCGCATACTTGATGCTGCAACCCTGAGTGTCCACGTGTGGTTACGTTCCAGCAGGTCTTGAGACCAGGCTGTGGGATTCTGTGAGGAAGGACTTTATGTCCTGCCACTGGGCTTTTCTCAGGCCTGGCTCTTCTCCCCGTCACCTGTTCAGCATCGGTGACACAGAACCTCCTTTGGCAAAACCATTGCCTGTGTGGCAGGAGAGATGACCCCACAGCGCACGGGTCAAAGATGGGAAGGAGATGGCGGCAGGACTGGCAGACCCTGCGCTGGTCCTGGGCGTCTGCTTTGGGGAGAACAGAATGCCACTCCCGCTGAGCTCTGCGGCCCTGCGCAGAGGAAGACCTTCCACAAAAGACAGTTTTCCCTCAAGACATTGAAGCAAAAGGCATCATCAAGGATGCAACACCAGTGGCCAAGCAAGTGGAAGCATTAGCCTAAGAAGCTTCTCACCTCTGGAGGCTCCTGGTGTGCCTCTGGGCCTGGAGTCCCACATGCAAGCCTGTGCTCCCGCCCTTCACACCCCCTCTGGTACCAGTGCTCCAAGAGCGGCAGCTTTCCACGTTTCTGGCCTGGTCACTAGCGCCACCTAGTGGGAGAGGACAATCCCCACAGTGCGACCTGCTGAGGAAGTTTGCTCCAGGAGTGTCCTGCAGGCCTGGGGCCAGGAGAGGGCCAGAAAGGGGCACAGTGTGGGGACAAAGACCCTCCCAGACTCATCAGCACCCTTGGAGGTGCCCCTCCCACCCACCCCCAGCTCATGCAGTACCCAGCGACTTCGGGGAGGCCCTAATAACTCAAGAGTCCAGCACACCAGGGACCCCTCATAGCTCACTCACACAGTGCCCAGGATTTGGGGTCTGATAGTGACCCCTGCAGTCCAGAGAGGCTGGCACCCATGCGGAGCAAGAAGTTCAGTGGGAAACAAAGCCCACTCAGCCGCAGAGAACCCCAGGTGGAACCCCCTTTCCCCGACAACATCTATACAGAAACCCAGGCTGGCCAGGCTGGGAAAACCCCAGAAACAACAGGGGTGCATTCCCATTTGGGGTGCCCGGTGGTCCACCTTGGCATCTATGATTCACTGGCTGCTTCCTGGGCCTCTCTCATTACCCGTCCCCTGAAATCTCTCCTGGAATTTCCTCCCAGAGTGGAACCAACAGGGCAGCTGGGGGCGGGAAGTCAGGCGTGCCTCTCTGGAAATGAGGGTGCTGGTCCCCAGCGTCCGCACTGCAGAGCCCAGGTGACCTCAGGTGCTGTGGCCCCAGCCAGGGTCTAGTGCCCACACGCCGACTCTCCTTTGCAAGGACTTCCCCCTGACATCAGGACATTCTGGAAGCACAGAATCACGCAGTGTCTCTTGGGGGCCTTTAAACGTCAATTCAATGACGCGTGTTTACGATTCCGCTTAATTTCTGAACAGTTGACCCATGAGTCGAACGCACAGAAGCACAAGCGAGGGCAGTGAAACGTTGACGCGCTCCCGTAGGATTTGCTCATCAAGGTGACCTCGTGCAGAGAGGGAGGGAGTGAGCGTCATCTCCCAAGTGCATTCGAGGAGGGGCGGCGGGGAGGGGAGTCCTCCGCCCTGGAAGGCCCTGGGCAGGGGCATCACTGCGCCTCCGAGGAGGCCGGGCGGGGTGGGCAGTCCAGCGCGGGTTCCAAAGGCCACACTCAGCCGCAGGCGGGCCAGAGGCACGCAGAGCTCACGGGCTCCCACGGAGTCAGGGCGGGGCACCTCGCTCCCACCTGCTCTGAGCTCCCCCTGCCCCCAAAGCCGCTTGTGTGGATCCTGGGAACTGTGTCGGGAACGGGGAGGTCGCATCGGAACTGCAACTTCGCACGCCCCAGCACCCCCAGAGGGCAGACCCGTGGGGCCAGGGCTCGGGAGCCCCGGGGAAGCGACGGGCGACGCCCCGGCCCGCGGGCTCCTCGCGGCAGCTGGGGAGGCTCCGGCCTCGACGGCAGAGGCCGGCGGCCCCGAGTACTTGGCCGAGCACCGTTTCGACGCCGACGGCGATGGAGGCGCGCGGGCGTCCCCCCGGGGGGAGGTCGCCTGGGCCGGGGCACGGGGCTTCCGTCGGGCCCGGGACTAAGCCCCAGCACCGCCTCGCCCGGGGGCCCGGGTCTGTGTCCCCCGCGGGCCTCCTCGGGGTCTGGCTCCGGAGCCTTCGGCGCCCCGTCCCGAGGGGCGACCCGCGCCCGGGGCCGCCGCACCGAGGCCGCCGCCGGCTCAGCCGCCGCGCGGGACGTCACGTGCCCCAGCCCTCGCGGCTCCTGATTGGAGGAGCGGCCATCGCCAACTCTCGCGAGGCTTCCCGCGGGCCGCGCAGCCCCGAGCCGCTTCCGGGCTCCGTCCCGCCGCCGCCGCCGCCGCCGCCGCCGCCTCAGGAGCCGGGGCCGGCGGGAGCGCGCGCCGCCCTCACGCGCCTCGCGCCCACGCGCGGACAGGAGGTCGCGAGCGGCGCCCGGGCCACGGTCAGTCCCTCGCGGGGCCGTGGGGGCGGGGCGGGCGGCGGCGGTCGGACCCGTCCCCACCCAGACCCCCGGGCCGCGCTCCGGCCGCTGCTTCCGCCCCTGGGCTCGCCCGAGGGTGCTCCAGACCCCCGGCCCGTGGGGTCGTCAGGGCGCCCCCAAGTCTGTCAGGCTCGGGCCCAGCTTGCATCTCTTTTCTTTGGCTTTCTGGGTCGGCGACGCTCGGGGGTCCCTCCTGGCTCACGCACGCAGGAACCGCTCCCGGCGGTGCTCGGGGGACCCCAGGGGATGCTGGGACTCGAACCCGGGTCGGCCGCGTGCCAGGCACACAACGCCCTCCCCGCGGCGCGATGGCTCCAGCCCCTCACTCCGCTTCCGTTTCCCAGCAGGAATCGCGGGGCCCCGGCTGGCGGGGCACGTTCGAAACCAGGACGCCTCTTTCAGGGCTGCAGTTCCCCCGTGTGGCCCTGTGGCCGGGCTGAGGCGGCTTCGGAACCCGACTTGGCTCCGCCGTCGGCTCCCCTGCGGCCGCCCCGCGCCCTGCTGCGATGGGGGTGAAGAAGAAGAAAGAAAGTCAAGTCACCGCGCTGGCTCTGGGCCAGGGCGACCTCGAAACCTTGAGAGGTGGGTGCTCCCCGATGCGCCTTCTCTCCCGGGTCCCATGATGTTCAGCCTCTTGACCTCCTTGCTCTTGCAGTACAAGAACCCGGGGTCACGCCTGCGGGACTGCGCTTCCTTCGCCACTGCGCTGCATCTTTGGTCCCAGAGTCCTGCTCCTGCGAGCCCTTTGTTGATGCCAGGCCGAGCTGGGGCTGCTTCCGGCTCTGTTCACTGATTCACTCCTGATAGTGCCCAGGGAACCGAGTGGTGTCAGGGTTTGAACCTGGGCCTCTTGTTTGCAGAGTCTACTCAGCCCTGCCCAGGATCTCTCTTGCCCTACGTTCGGTTTTGCCTGTCACACGGTTTTCTTAAAAATGATGACTTTCGGTTAAGTTCGGCTCGGTTTTGGCGTTCTCGTTTTTAGTTCGAGCGCGGTTTGTGCGGAGCGCGTGGCCAAGGCTGCCTGGTGGGCTGTCGTGA